ACGTGAAGTCTTGTTGCATTTGGTGAAAGTTTGAGTGCTTTCTAAAACTTCTTTTTATGGCTCTCAATAGTGACTGTTCTTTCAGGCAGTAATGTGAACTGCCATGTAAACTGTTTTGGTTACTCTGTGTCTGTTACCTAAGTGACTAACACACATACAGGTGGTGTTTTGCTTTTTTGATTAAAGACCCCAATCAAATTGATCAAACAAGTAATGAATTAAACAGCCAACGTTTCGCAGTGGACGTTATTATGACGCATATCAGAAGAAGATCTTGCTTATACTGTTACATATTCTATGTAATTCTAATTCTAAATATTAAATTCCTGGGAATTTTCCTCATGTTTCTGTGGACATTTCATTTAGAAATTTCATAAAAATACATCTAATATAGAGGAATATAATGAAGCTGTTATGCAGCAATTTGGTAAAGGAATATAAGGTGGTCGTTAACAGGTTATGGGATGATTTAATAAGGGCAGGAAAGAGTATTGCAAAAGCTACTGAGATCTGGGAATCCATTAACAATGAGCCAACAAAACCAAATAATTTTTTTTGCCAGAGAATCCCTAAAGAAGCTTTAGTCAGCTGTAGACAGTCATCAAATACAAGTACGACTGCAATACGGCTTTATATAAAAAACCTCCTACCTCATACCCACCTATACCCACCTAAGTGGGACATGATACAGTCATTGAAGGGTTTAATTTTAAAGATTTTTAAATCTCAAAATAGCTCTTATTATTAACAATTCTAAATTCCGGCTTTATTTTATGACTAGACAGATGACAGATCCATAAATAAAGGCATATGGGTGCATTGTAATGTGTAATGACCCGGGGGCGCCCCAGGGGAATAACTAACTAACAACCGCGAGCTTAGGTCCAACAAGCCAGATAAAGAAATTGAAAGAAAGTGTGCTAAAAGATGCCCCGAGTGGGAATCGAACCCAGCTGGTCTGTAGTAGCAACTTGCTATCAAGGGTCGTTACAAATGCATCTATAATTCATCATTAACTAAGATTAAATAAACTAAAAACTAAACTAAATAAACTTTAAAATTAAACCCTTCAAAGACTGTATCATGTCCAACATATGTGGGTAGGTGGGTATGAGGTTTTTTATACAAAGCCCTGCAGTACAGCAGGATTGAAGTCTAATCCACAAGCCCACAAGTTGTTCACTTTAATACATATCTCATTTAGGTTATTAAAAGTCATAAAACTTGGAGCCTGTTGTGTTAAGAGAACTCTTGAAAATGTGTCAATGGTGTCAACATTTTTCATATAGTTGACAGGGGAAGATGGTATCTGAGAGTTAACTACCATATATGAAAATGTAGTTAGCCCTCGTATTGAAATTTGCCTCCTCCCACTTGGGGATTCATGTAAACTTAAACCTGCACATCGCTCCAAAACGCAATCTTGGGTTGTTTCGGGGGTGAACTTTATCATTTTGAGCTTAATGAAAGATTATAGAATGATGAACAAATGGGGCAAATCTTGTGTATAAATACTTACGATAAATGTGTCATTTCAAAGATTGTTCATTGAATTGCTTTGATTGGTGACGACGATATGATTTTGGGAAGGTTTGTAAATTAAGAACGTGACGTCACTTCCAAATTATAGCATTCGATATAAGTAGCGTTTAATTACTTCAAACTTTCATAATAACTCGGTGGCCTTGTGGTAGAATGTTCGCTCAGCATGCAGGTGGCTCAGGTTCAAATCCTGCACAAACTTTTTTATTTTTTAACTAAATGATTGTTCTTTGATATTACGCAGAAAAAACAATTTTTATTTACATAAACTTTATATTAGAGCTTAGAAATGAAGAAACAATGTATGTCAACATATTGCATTTTAAAGCGATGTGTAGGTTTAATAATGCACTCATTTATTAACTCATTTTTACTGTGATGTATATTTTGTATAATATATTTTCAAGTCAAAAAACGTGCACTGTAGTTATCTTGATTATAGAAAATTAACACGTTTTGTTGAGGCACTGACAAGTTAAGTTGGATATTCTTGAATTGCACATGGGACTTAATTAATTGTATGTAATTCACACCACTGTGTTACAAATGTGTTTGGTCAATTTACTGGGTTTTTATCACACCCTTAGGTGCTATATTGTAATCAGTTTGCCGGGCGGGCGGGCGTCCCGAATAATCTTGTCTACAGGATTCCAGCCAAACCGTTTGAGTGATTCATTTGAAATTCTCAGGGATGTTTCTACTTATGAAAGTTTAGAACTGATTAGTTTTTCGGCATTCTGGGTAAATGTTAAGGCGGCCATTTTGGATTTTCCGTCCTAAAATCTTGTCTGTCAAGGCTTGTCTACAGGTTTCCAGCCAAACCGTTTAAGGGATTCATCTGAAATTCTCAGGGATGTTTCTACCTATGAAAGTTTAGAACTGATTAGTTTTTCGGCATTCTTGGTAAATGTTAAGGCGGCCATTTTGGATTTTCCGTCCTAAAATCTTGTCTGTCAAGGCTTGTCTACAGGTTTCCAGCCAAACCGTTTGAGGGATTCATTTGAAATTCTCAGGGATGTTTTTACTTATGAAAGTTTAGAACTGATTAGTTTTTCGGCATTCTGGGTAAATGTTAAGGTGGCCATTTTGGATTTTCCATCCTAAAATCTTGTCTGTCAAGGCTTGTCTACAGGTTTCCAGCCATTAACCTTTGAAGGGATTCATTTGAAATTCTCAGGGATGTTTCTACCTATGAAAGTTTAGAACTGATTAGTTTTTCGGCATTCTTGGTAAATGTTAAGGTGGCCATTTTGGATTTTTCGTCCTAAAATCTTGTCTGTCAAGGCTTGTCTACAGGTTTCCAGCCAAACCGTTTGAGGGATTCATTTGAAATTCTCACGGATGTTTTTACCTATAAAAGTTTAGAACTGATTAGTTTTTCGGCATTCTAGGTAAATGTTAAGGCGGCCATTTTGGATTTTCCGTACTTAATTCTTGTCTGTCAAGGCTTGTCTACAGGTTTCCAGCCAAACCGTTTGAGGGATTCATTTGAAATTCTCAGGGATGTTTCTACCTATAAAAGTTCAGAACTGATTAGTTTTTCGACATTCTGGATAAATGTTAAGACAGCCATTTTGGATTTTCCGTCCTTAAATCTTGTCTGTCAAGGCTTGTCTATAGGTTTCTAGCCAAACCGTTTGAGAGATTCATTTGAAATTCTCAGGGATGTTTCTACCTATAAAAGTTTAGAACTGATTAGTTTTTCGGCATTCTTGGTAAATGTTAAGGCGGCCATTTTGGATTTTTCCATCCTAAAATCGTGTCTGTCAAGGCTTGTCTACAGGTTTCCAGCCAAGCCGTTTGAGGGATTCATTTGAAATTTTCAGGGATGTTTCTACCTATGAAAGTTTATAACTCATTAGTTTTTCGGCATTCTGGGTAAATGTAAAGGTGGCCATTTTGGATTTTCCATCCCGAAAAGTGTATTCTGTTCAAGGGTGCGATTCTGTTCACCGTGTGGCTTATTTCTTCATGCTAGCTGTTACAAAGCCTGCCATTTTTTGGCTCACACAGTGAGCCTATGGGATCGACCAGGCGTCCGTCTGTCTGTTGGTCCATCCGTTGGTCCGTCCGTCTGTCCGTCCATCCGTCCGTTGGTCTGTCCGTCCGTCAACATTGGCCGCACAAATTAAAACTGCTATTCGGATTGAGTCATAGCCACATTCATTTTATGCATATCCATAATGCCTTTTTGACCTATCATCGCCATTTCCCAAGTTCGCCCGGTTTCCGAGAAATTGCGGATTTTGACATCAAAAAGTCAAATTTTCTGTAAATACTAGACACTTTGTTGAAGTAGAACTTTCAAATAACTTTTAGTAGTTGCTGTATATGCAACTTATGTCCTCTGAAGATTTCAAAGCTTTTGGAATTACAGTTTTTAGTGTTTACTCTATAAAATTTGACAAAAAGTAGGACTTTTCAGGAAACTTTCTCATGTATAAAGTCAATGGCAGGTTTTGTGATTGACAAGTTTCTCAAAGTTTGCCTTATACTTGATCATTTATTGCAATGAATTACATCATTTCTAGATTAAAGCATTCCCTACATATTGCTCAATATATGTCAGTATCAAATTTTTACAGTTTTTGAGATATTTGACGTCAAAAAATTTTTCAACTTGCTTCAATTTGACCAATTTTTTTTTGGAAAATCATCTACAAGTTTCCAGAAGTTCAAATCTGACATTAGTTTTAGGATTTGACCTTTAGTTGACCTTCAGTGGCCTTCGAAAGGTCAAAAAAGTTGATTTTTCAAATTGATTTTTGGATGTAAATTTTGGTCAGCTTAATCACAAAAGACCTTACTGAGCTCTGACTTAGTAAAATTTTCAAGGTCAAAGGTCATCAAACTAGGTCACACAACTGTGCTATCTAAGTTTCTCAAAGTTCGAGACTACAAATCCAAATCAATATTTTTGTTTGAAAGTCAGTATATACATTCCTCTGAAGGTTCCAAACTGTGTGAGCACAGGACCGTGGGTCCTTCATATTTTATTTTAGACAAAAGTTGTGACATAATGTTATATAGTCTCTCTTGTCGGTGTCTGTAACAAATTCTTACAACTTCCATTAACTTACCAAGTACTATTTAGACTGACTTCAAATTTTACTGTCAACATGTAACGGAGTTCTGTACTAAAATCTTGCCTGTAAAGTCTTGTCTACGCATTTCCAGGTGAACCATTTGATGGATCCATTTCATAATTTCAGGGATGATTCTTTGTATGAAAATGTCAACTGATTAACTTCAATTGGGCATTCTAGTTAAGGCAGCAATTTTTGATTTCTTGTCCTGAAATCTTGCCTCTTCAACTGATTAGTGTTGGGCATTCAGGATGAAAACTCAACGTAGGATCACCCATTGTATTGGTGGGGACATGTCTTGTAATTTTTTCATTGTTTCATTTATTGAAATAATAATAATAGGACTAAAAGAATATTACTCTATTTTTATAGCTGACTTTGGTCTTGCTAGAAAGTTTGAGTTCCCAATGAAGCCAATGACACCCAAGGTTGTTACACTATGGTACAGGGCGCCCGAGTTATTACTAGGCTCAAAGGACCAATCCACTGCTATTGACATGTGGTAAGTTTTCATACATGGGTGAAAGTGTGCAAGATTAGCCCCACTTCACTCAAAATCATGGTAAAATGGCGATGAAGGGGGGGGTGCAAAAAATATCCCCTGGGGAAAAAATCCTCAGAGAAATAATGTTATACTACAACAGTCAGTTCTAAATTTGTAATTTAGTACAATGATCTTTGTAACTTTATACTGTGTTTATACATTTTCGGGAAGGGACTAATTATGAAGTAATTATAAAGGTGAATTAATCAATCGTGACCTGAATCATTATAATTATCTCTGAAATCATACAAAAAGCTGTGAAAATGCAACCCCTTTTTCTAAAGTGTCTGACAGACCTGTGTTGCATGTTACAAAGACTGATTAAAGCAAATATTCTTACTTGATATAATTAATTGAAAAATCTAGGCCCTTAAGAAATGTTTCTTCTATTACAGGGCTGCAGGTTGTATTCTAGGAGAACTGCTGGCCCACCATCCTCTAATGCCTGGTAAATCTGAGATCCACCAACTAGAGTTGATTGTAGAACTACTTGGTACACCTAATGAAAGCATCTGGCCTGTGAGTGATACATTAGTACTATATATTGTATATGATGAAAAGATCAAAATTGATAAAAATGGAAAAAAGTTAAAAAAAATTAAAGTGATCGATACACAAGTTTATAGTGTGTTTAACCAGGATCCAGTGTTCAAGATTGTGTCTGAAAAGAAAGGTAATTACTTGCTCACAGAAATTCTGTTACTTGCAAGACTCGATACCATTGAATGAATTTGGTTCATATTTTACATGCTGATGCCTAGGGACATAAGAGCTCTGCTCGAGAAGGGATTTTCAAGATGGCAGCTAAATTTCAAAATGGCCGCCATTTTTCATAAAAGAACGTAACCTTTGATAACTCAAATACCAGTTGATGGATTTGGTTCAAATTCTATATGCTGATGCCTAGAGACAAAGAAGTTCTGCCCAAGAAGACATTTTCGGGATGGCCACTGAATTTCAAAATGGCCACCATTTTTCTAAAAAAAACGTAATCGTTGATAACTCAAATACCAGTGGATGGATTTGGTTCCAATTTTATATGCTGATGTTTAGGGAAACACGAGATCTGCTTCAGAAAAAATTTCAAAGGCGTTAGCTGAATTTCAAAATGGCTGCCATTTGTCATAAAAAAGGTAATCTTTGATAACTCAAATACCATTGGACGGATTTGCTTCAAATTTTATTTACTGATGCCCAGAGATAAAGGAGCTCTGCTTTAGAATAAATTTTCAAGGTGGCTGCTATTTATTGAAATCTCCGCCATTTTTCATTAAACATGTAATCCTTGATAACTCAAGTACCAGTTGACGGATTTGGATCAAATTCTATATGCTGATGCCTTGGGACATAGGAGCTCTAAATCTAAAGATGACAGTTGAATTTCAAAATGGCAACCATGTTTCATAAAAACATAATCTTTGATAATTCAAATACTAGTGGATGGATTTGGCTCAAATTTTATTTGGCCGCTATTTATCAAAACATGTTTTGTTTGGTGGGATTTGCTACTCAGTGGAGTTGCTGTTTCTCTAGTTCACAATGAAGCCATTTTGCTCTTATATTTGCCACTTTGTGTCTTGTAGTCATATGAATGTGGTACAGGATGATTCATATGTTTGCATACCTCTTGCGTTCTTTGTGGATAATATTCTGCGCCATAATGTAACTTTGGATGGTATTTACAATGATGTATTACAGTTATGTCTGAGACATCTTAACATATGACCATAAGCTGGAAGATGGTGCAGATGAATGAAACTTGCTATATTGATATTGTTTTGTTATGTATTATTCAGGGGTTCCAGTCGCTTCCTGCTTTAGAGCACTTTAGCTTGAAAAAACAACCATACAATAATCTCCGTCATACATTCCCTTGGCTGTCTGATGCCGGTGTCAGACTACTCAACTTCCTGTTCATGTTTGATCCTAAGAAAAGGTTAGTATCTCTTATTAAGCAACACATTTCTAAACATTTTGCATCTTAAGAACGTCTACAGGGTGTGCCACATGGTGAGCTTTTGCAATCGCTCACTTGTCCGTCTGTCTGTCTGTGCGTGCGTCCGTCCATCCGTCAACAATAGTGGCACTTTTTAAAACCTCTGTCGATAGGATTCCCGTTTTAAGTTATTTTTGTTCAACATCAATACAGGAAACTCCCCTCTGACTCCTGGTTCAAAAGCTTGCCTATTTTCAAGATGGCCGCCATTTTTGTCTCGTGAAATTCATTTTTGACCCATTTCCTAGCTTTACAAATAATGTCAGGTGTCCTGCATTGTTAAAATCCATGTCAATGTAAAGAGTAGTTAGGGGCGGGGTCAAAATATCGATGTTCATATGGAGACGAAAGTACTTTCGCGAGGGGGAGGGGGTTTTTGGGCACTTTCGTTGACCAAAAAAACATCGATAATTCGGATCTGATATACAAAAAATAATTGGACTTACCCACTTTTTCTGGCGCTATGTTCTGATAAAAAGGCTTGTTTTCAATAGTTCGTGAGCTTTTTTGTGTAATAGGTCCAAAATATCGGTAGATAAAGACGATATAATTCGATCATTTTTCAAATAAATTCCGTACTTTTCCCTCCTCCTTTTGAAGAGTTCAATGCAGTTAAATTGCGAACGCTATAGTATATCATCGGTGTATAAAGGTAACATGTTCATCAATGTAATCACGGGTTCCAAATCATTTGACAGTCACTGAAAATCAATGTTTTTTGAAGTGACCTAAGCTTTCGTCTAGAGGGGGGGGTGGGGGGGGTTGTTGTCCAAACGAAATTACTTTCGTCTCCATATGAACATTGATATTTTGACCCCGCCCCTTATATGAAATAATTTTGTTACAAAAAATCAGCAAAAAAGTATATCCGTTTTTTTATTTTCAGCCATTTTAGTTAACATTGATTTGTCCATCTGACTAAAAAAAAACACTTTTCCGTCAACAATAGTGGCACGTTTTAAAACCTCTGTCGATAGGATTCCCGTTTTAAGTTATTTCTGTTCAACATCAATTCAGAAAACTCCCCTATGACTCCTGGTTCAAAAGCTCGCCTATTTTCAAAATGGCCGCCATTTTTGTCTCGCGAAATTCACTTTTGACCCATTTCCTAGCTTTACAAATAATTTCAGGTGTCCTGCATTGTAAAATTCCATGTCAATGTAAAGAGTAGTTGTATGAAATAATTTTGTTACCAAAAATTGGCAAAGAATTATATCAGTTTTTTTTATTTTCAGCCATTTTAGTTAACATTGATTTGTCCATCTGTCTCGCGAAATCCACTTTTGGACCATTTGGGTTAAAACCTCTGTCGATAGGATTCCCGTTTTAAGTTATTTTTGTTCAACATCAATACAAAAAACTCCCCTATGACTCTTGGTTCAAAAGCTCGCCTATTTTCAAAATGGCTGCCATTTTTGTTTCGCGAAATTCACTTTTGGCCCATTTCCTAGCTTTACAAATTATTTCAAGTGTCCTGCATTGTAAAAAGCCATGTCACTGTAAATAGTAGTTGTATGAAATAATTTTGTTACAAAATATCGGCAAAAAATCATATCCGTTTTTTTATTTTCAGCCATTTTAGTTAACATTGATTTGTCCATCTGTCTCTCAGTCAGTCCAAGATAGTGGCAAGTTTTAAAACCTCTGTCTGTCAACACTTGGCTCTTTTTAAATCTTTTGTAGATTGGATTCCTGTTTTAGAATATTTTTGTTCAGCATCAATAAAGAAAAAAAACCTGTGACTCCTGCTTCAAAAGCTCGCCTATTTTAAAAACGGCCACCATTTTTGTCTTGTGAAATTCACTTTTGGGCCATTTCCTAGCTTTACGAATTGAAAAAAGCCTATGGAAAATCATCTCCAATTATCACCTAACTTACTATTGATAATTAGTTGAAAGTTAGGTGTAAAAATTCACATGCAAATGAGCTAATTATCAACTTAATTAACGCTTAATTTGCAACTTAATTAACGATTAACTACCATCAATATGCAAATGAGCTATTTACGTAAATTAGTTGAAAGTTAGTTGTAAGTTTGATGTAAGTTAATCTCTAATTATCACCTAACTTACTATTGATAATTAGTTGAAAGTTAGGTTTAAGTCAGATTTGTGACATCTCAAAAATGACTCGCTTCTTTTTTGCTTCTCTTCACTCGGAGATTTTTGCTTCATCTTGAACTATTTTGTGACGAAATATTCATCTTAAAGTGTGCGCCTGACCCGGCTACGTATAGCACAGAGTTTATACTGGCGGATTAGACTAGTTCATTTTTTATATGTGTGTGAAAGCTTTCTCTTATTTGCGTTTTTTCGTTTAGTACGGTTTTGTTATAATTGCCGAGGTCATATAACCGGGATAAAACAATGATTATCGTTGACTGCCCACACACAAAACATACGTTGAGTGAACAGTGTTATTACAAATAACAGGCTTTAGAATACAAAGCGTAGTGTGATAATAAGCTGTACACTACCACTGCTGCATGTACATATTACTAATTTACTAGGGCTCCCAAAGAGTGGATAGGGAGGTTGTGTTTGTCACTTTTAATTTTTCATTTCAAAATTGTCATTTTACATGTCATAATTTGTTGGTTTCATTCGTTTGGCCAATCAAAACATTGTAAAACAATAAATTGTCTGTTACGTACAATCAATTTTGTTCAGTTTTGATTAGTTGTCAGAATAAAGTTACGTTCATCTGAATCCATGTATCAAAACAAAAATCCTATTTTCACCTCAAAATACTTCGGTGAGATGAAGGCTCGGAATTGTCACATGCAATAACTTATTGTCGTATTCGTTATTTTATCTTCTCGATAGTAGCATTTAGTCGCACATTTGATGCCAGGTCACCTTGTCGCGTTCCTCTTGGGGAACCCCACATGTATGTGTGTACTCATGGAAGTAAATTCTCCGGTGTAGCCGAGAGCCACTTTTCAACAGGTTCGAAATGACCAATTTCTCTCATATATACTCTAAATATTTTATTATTTAGCACCTACAAAGTATTGCAAATAACCATATGTAATTTCAATAAGGAAACTTATCTGGCTACATATAAATTCAATATCAACACTAGCTGTTCTCTCAACACGTCCTGACTTACCTTGTGGTGACAAACCCTGGATTTTCGCTATTTATAGTTTATCAACACCTGGACGCATGCGCATTTTATAGTTTATCGGGCACTTTAAAGTGCTAATTCGGTAATTTATTTTTATTTTTTCTCATTACAATAGATTAAACAGATATTGGTAAGTAAAAATAGTATTCCAACAGACTCTCAACTCATTCCTTTTGTTCATTAGTGGCAAAATAAGTTTTCCCGGGAAAAAACATGACGTCACGAACAGAACCGGTTATGGATTTTTAACGGCAATGCGTTATGCAACTCGAATGTAAATTCAAAAGTGTTCATGTTATACTGTGTTCTGATTGGCCAGAAAGGAGTAACGCTTACCGAAATCACCTCATGGTTCAATGCCTTTTGGTTACAAGATTTTAGACAGCTTGAGTTATGTAATACTTTCAACTGAGCGTGTTTATTTTCTATATTGTGTTCTGACTGGCCAGAAAGTAATTCTGCATGACTAGCTATGTGAAAACGCACCGCTGGATCGGAAGCTCTAATTTAGGTATTATATTTTTTGTTTGTTGGAGGAAAAAACGTGGTTCCAAAGTAGTCATCTCTGAATCAATTCCTCACTTCATTGAATGCAGTTGCAATCAATTACACTAACACTTTATGAGCACGTTCGGAGATTATGAACTCCAACAACATATTCAAAACCCGTTCTGTTCGTGATGTCATGATTGCATTTGACATTGTGTTCCCGATTTTGAACATCAAATTTCACATTTATAAAAATATTTACAAGAACGGTACCTGGTTTGACATGTTAGTGGTATTTACTTCATTTAGAACGTGTATAAACTGTATTTTGACCCCATGAGCATCGAACAGACACTTTAATTAGGATCTTTCAGAACAGACAACATTGAACTTGAACTATTGAAATTTCACAGCAAGAGGAGGGAAAACCCCATGATTCAATTGATGACATACGATTTCCTCCTTCGCACACCTCCTTTTGTCTAAAACGTACCCTCCATCTTGGTTTTCAAATTGACCTAGTTTTAAACCAATCAACGATCGACTCGCTAAACCAATCAGCGACGATGTCATCTCAATACAGATTTACATTATAAGCGTATGTCATCTTTGAACCCTGGGGTTTCTCCCCCTCTTTTTTAAAGCTATTCTATTTTGCAAATTTTTAAGATTCATGAAAAGCATGTGAAAACATCATTATTGCCATCAACAATTAAAATCAGAACACATTAACATTAGACTATAATGTTACATAATAAGGACGTAACAGATACAATCAAAAATTTGTTTTGAAATGTCTTTGATCTAACAATCATTATTTAGAAGAGCACATTTGGATTACTTGTGAAATATAGGTAACCCATGTTAGTACCTAAATTGCATTTTAGGATTAATATTATATGATCTGATTCAAAAAGATTTTCAAATTCAAAACATTTCAGACAGAAGTGTGAATAAGATTTAACATACATTGTATTCATGTTCTACATACCCTTATAATAATGTTGACCAAATTTCATGGTAGTATACGCACAATTCCCGTTGTAATTCTCAATTTTATGAGAGAAATATCTCTCACATGTTTTCTTTTTCCACCATCTTGAAATTAAACTTAGGGGGTTTGTATTTCTAAATCATGGGCCTAATTTACTACTAATTATCATTATAATCATCCTATATGTTAACTATCAACCAATAATCTACTTCAGAACAAAAACATTTTAATTTACCACTTACTATCACCCTCAAACATTTCATATCTTAATTATCAACTAAAAATCATAAATCAGCATTATTGTAAGTTAATTTACGTTGAACTTGCTACTGATAATTAGGCCATAATTATCATTGATTTAATTAACGCTTAACTTTAATTCCAATTGCCAGCAGAATTGTTGATAATTAGTTGTAAATTAGTTGGTAATAAGTTGGTAATTAGTTTTATTTTTCAATTATTCCAGGTGTCCTGCATTGTAAAAAGCCATGTCTTTGTTAAGAGTAGTTGTATGAAATAATTTTGTTACAAAAAATCATCAAAAAATTATTTCCGTTTTTTTTTTAATTTCTGTCATTTTAGCCATCATTCACTTTTGAGCGACACCATGTGAGCCCAGTACCCACGGTACTAATTTTATTTATTTTCCTTATCTAACAAGGAATTTCATATTGTCGAAGGTATACATTGGTTTTACAGTTTGATGTTTCAAGAATCTTTTATATCTGACTTTTTGATAAACCCCGACACCTTTAGCTGCACCAAAGAAGTTGGGACAGTAGGATTGTAGGAATTTTCAAAATTGCCACCACTTTCAAAATGGCCCCCATTTTTCATGAAGAATGTAATTTTTGATAACTCCAATATCACATGTTGGATTTTGTCAAAATACAGGCTATTATCTTATGGAAATTGGACCTTGCTTAAAATGAAAAGGAATTTCCAATATGGCTTCTCAATTCAAGATGTCTGCCATCTATCCATGAAACTCAGACACCATTTATTGGATTTAGTCTAAATTTTAAACAATGAGGTATTTTGGGTATAGAGCCTCTACCCAAAAAGGAGTTTCTAAGATGGTGTCATATCATCTCATGGGTGTAGATTTTGTCAAAAGAAGAAATACTAGCACCTGTTCAAATTATGAGTGATTTAATAATGAAATAATGTGTTGTTTGGTAGGACCAGCTACTCTGTGGAACTGATGTTTTTCTAGTTGGTCATGTTTATTCCTCCCGCTTCACTCTGTTTGATTAATGTCAGTTTCAGGAACTAAAACCAACCATGAAACTTAGTACAATTTATTTCTCTTTAAATAGTGTAACAATATAAACTATATCAATAGTTCATCAGGATATCTCAAATTGTTCTCAAAAACTAAATTATATTAAGGAAACATTGGCAGGTTTTCTGAAAAGATTGCTTGCTTATAACAATTTTCCCTTTCTAGTCTCTGCTGCTTCTTTCACAAGAGACTCATACTTTCACAGGAGGCTCATAAAGTGGTATATCAGGGCAAAGGTTCTCGAGTTGTCCATAATGGTCATCAAAGTGTGCCAATATATGATGCTCATCAATTTTATCAAAGTCCACAATTCGATGAAATTTTCTTGGGCCAGGTCCGTAATGCTGTTTAAATGATGATTTAAACACCTTGTAAAATTTTTTAGCAAATTTCTCCTCTGTCATTTTATATTGTTTCTCAGATTCCGTAGCAGGATTGTCCAATTGGATGTGTTTGGCAAATAGAGTGTTCAGCTTATCTGCTAATCCAGGGTATCCCAGTTTGTTTAACACGTAAGTTGCATTTTCTCTGAAAGCTTGACTTCTATAACGACTACGTCCAAACCTGTAAGAATAAGGAGAAGTGTATTATGAAAATAATTGTCTTGACTGATTGTAAGAAGTTCTGATTAGGCACTCTTGATCTTCAGATGGAATATGGGAAGATCTGACTTTTTGTTTCAAGTTAGGTCAAAATTTTTATTTTAAATAGTTATGTATGACCAGGTAGCCTGCTCCATGTTTGTTGGAATTTGCTACTCAGGGGTCTGATTTTGGAACTGTCGTAACTTTCAATTTGGCTGTAAGTTCGTCTAAAAGTAGACACTGATTTTCTCAAAATAGTAGGTTACAATCATACCAAAAAACAAACCCCTGAGGAGTTGCTGTTTTTCCTGTTATGGCAGCTTTTTAATGCTTTTCAGTTTTCCCATCCCTTTGGTGACTTTTTTAGAGAGTGAATGCTTTTTCCATAAAATGTCGTAATAATACAATTCTGTCAAAAGTACTCACCTTTGATCAAAGTGGTAAAACTCATCAAGTTCATTGCAAAGGTGACCCAAAAGAGAACCTCTTAGCCTTGGAAACATTTTTGAAGTCTTGTGTAGTCCCCGTTCTATACCTTCTCTTGCAATCCACATTGCACTGTCACCTAGATTTGGGCGAGGAAAGATTGTGTAACTCCATAAATAGTATTCTACCCCCAGTCCAACATCTTCCACTACTCTTTTTCGTAATTCGCATATATCATCAGCATTTGTTAGATCCTATAAATGAGACAATAAACCGTTTATCGTTAAGATCTCATGTATAAATCATTGTATCATATTCTTTTATAGAAAAATTGGTACAAATTCTCTTTTATTATTTAAAATCGTTTTATTTTACTCTTAAGTTTTATTGACTTTTATCACCATCAGAACATGTTAATTATTATAACATGTGATGCAATTTGATGACTAGATAATATCTCATATACCAGAAATCAAATCTATTTCTCCCTACCTGTGCCTGTTTCCCAAATACATAAGCAGAGTGGACCAATGCAGATAGAGCAAGTTCAAGTGATGCCCCTACATCAAGCAGACAACCTGCCATACCTGAAAATAAAATTATTATTATGCAATTTTATCAGCAACTGGCAATAGGCAATCTTTTGTATTTGTTTTGTATAAAAACTGCTTGTTGTTTTGTGGAATATATAGCTGTTAAAATCAAAATTTTTAATCATGTTTCTGTTGTTTTTATTCATTTTGCCTCTTGTGATCTTTTCTATTGACATTCCGAAGTATGTTTTTCCATTTGAAAAGCAAGCAAACAATTTTAGGCTATTGTAGCTATTTACTGATATTAGGAGGCATGACACACCTAATATGGTAGTTATTTTGCAAAATGACTTGTTTTTATGTCACCACATCATGTTAATTAGCTACCATTATCGGAACCTGCATTTAGGATTTGGAATCTGTCTCTTTTTATGAGGTCGATAATGTTTTGTTACAGTGATTTTATTGACATGTAATGCCTCAGTCATATTTGATCATGGGCAAATGTATGGCAGTTGTAGCTTCCCCAAATCATGTAAATCATGAAATACATGCATGCATCATAAAATATAGGGATAAGAAATATGATGTAGATTTTCTATATCAATTTTGTGAAAGCCGTTGTATGCCTGCTGGAGAGCAAATGTGACTGAGGCTTAATTAACTGAATATTATATTATACCTATACAGTGCTGAAAGTAAGGCCTTCCTGACCTCCTCATATAGCCGGACATTTCATCTTTAGCGAATCGTAGTGTTTCAATGATCATTTTTACATCAGCGTCTGTATATTTATACATATCCCTCAAAAGTGTTAACTTTCTAAGTATTTCTGGGATTGTCTGTGGCAACCATAACTCTGTATGTATTGATGTGGAATTGAAGGTTTGGATAGCCACTTGCCGAGAACGTTGGTCTCTGTACCCAACCTATAATAAAAAAGCAAAACATTAACTTCATTTGAGAGAGGAAGCAATATGTATGAACCAGTAATGACTTTTTGAGATGATACCTGTCAAAGATTTATGATTATGTCACTAAAGTTTGAGGTGCCACCAGTCAACCATTCATGATTATGTCACTTAAGTATGAGGTGCCACCAGTCAACCATTCACGATTATGCCACTAAAGTTTGAGGTGCCACCAGTCAACCATTCATGATTAGTCACTAAAATTTGAGGTGCCACCAGTCAACCATTCACGATTATGTCACTAAAGTTTGAGGTGCCACCAGTCAACCATTCATGATTATGTCACTTAAGTATGAGGTGCCACCAGTCAACCATTCACGATTATGCCACTAAAGTTTGAGGTGCCACCAGTCAACCATTCATGATTAGTCACTAAAATTTGAGGTGCCACTAGTCAACCATCACGATTATGTCACTAAAGTTTGAGGTGCCACCAGTCAACCATTCATGATTATGTCACTTAAGTATGAGGTGCCACCAGTCAACCATTCACGATTATGCCACTAAAATTTGAGGTGCCACCAGTCAACCATTCATGATTATGTCACTAAAGTTTGAGGTACCACCAGTCAACCATTCATGATTAGTCAATAAAATTTGAGGTGCCACCAGTCAACCATTCATGATTATGTCACTAAAGTTTGAGGTGCCACCAGTCAACCATTCATGATTAGTCACTAAAATTTGAGGTGCCACCAGTCAACCATTCACGATTATGTCACTAAAGTTTGAGGTGCCACCAGTCAACCATTCATGATTAGTCAATAAAATTTGAGGTGGAATCAGTCAACAATTTATGATCATATTACTAAAGGTTGAGATGGAATTGGACAACAATTTATGATAATCCCTTAAGAAAAAACGCTTGTGGTTCATGTGGTTAAAAGATTACCTTTTTAACCACATTTTTACCACTTAAGATATGTTTAAGTGTGGTTGTGGTCACCTGTTTTGACACTCAAGGTGTTCCTGAAACTATGGAGGAGCAGGACATTAACTTTAATATGATTTAAGGTTACCATATTGTTAATAGGGGTTAAAAGGGTTAATGCTTGTTAAATATATTTTTGGATTTACTGTACATGATAAGTCTGTTTTACCTGTTATTCTGGTATCTTAATTGTTTTATGCATCTTCTATCAAATATTCCATTACGCATGTGGCAACTATGAGAATGTTGTATGATTGAAGCATGGGGAGACGGGTTAATTTGATCACATATACATTTTAAACTCTGACTGAGGTTAAACAGTATATTTCAGTAAAATGACATTAGGGTTAGAGTTAAATGAATGATGCTTGACTTTTCTATTTAGGTAGATCAGAAGTTTGCATGAATATAAAACAAAGTATTTTAAATTAGTTATTCTAAAGGGAAGCTTATATTGACTGAACTGACTAATCTTATTATACTATACGACTAATTAAAGAATAACAGGATGTGTCTGCTGTACAAATATATGTAATCAATAATGTTAAAATTAATATAGTCCAGGCATACCTGTAGTTAGTGAATTTATTTGAATTATATCCAATGTTAATTTTAATATGCATGCATTTTTATATTTTAATTATAACATTATAATTGTAATCAAGAGTCTAAATCTAATGATTAAATAGGAAAAGGACTTTGCTGATATGTTTATAAAAACAATAGTTCAATAAGTCAGTAAACTTGTTATTACACATTCCAGAATGTGCTTTGTGGACAAATTGAGTCCTAAATATATTTTCGAAAACCCTATATTCATGCGAATGAGGTAACCTAGCAATGTGATTTTTTTTATTTAACTTTAATTTCAGTATATTTTCCATGATATATTTTGTACTTAATCAACCTTAAAGCTACGGTTATATGGACAGATTATTAAAAGCAGTTTTAGTGAAATTTTAGATTCTGAAAAACACATCTTAAGTTGATACCAAAGGTTGATAGTAGGTTGTTCTAAAGCAACAACCCAAGTTGATGCATTTTTTGGGAGATATTTATATTCATAATCATGTGATCTTATTTTGTGAACTGGTCAAAGTATTTTTCTTCTATTATTATCATTTTCAGTGAAGGTCTTACATATCTTTGCTTTATGGTAAACATTTGTAATGTACATCATTGTGCTTGGGGACCATATTTCAGATTTGTAAGGAGGTTTAACTGATAATTCAATCCATCTACAGAGCTTTAAATGATACTTTTCTGTATCTATCTCGATAGCATGTTCCGATTGCCTCTGTATGTTCAGTTCAGGCTCGTCACTTCAATGAGTCCCTTTTTCAGTATGATTAATAATTATTTGATAATAATTCATCATTTGATTAATAATTATAAGTTTAATGATGGATCTTGGATGCCAAATTTCATTATATCTATATCTGAGCTAGATCTGAGTAAACTCGTTTTGTCCTAGCTGTGGAACTGAAAATTTAGTCCATGGTATGAAATCTCTAGGACGTATAATAAAGGAGCTGGTACATGTAGCACACTATAGCGCAGCGATATTTGACCTAACATTAACAAACCTACATATGTTCCCTTATAATTTTTATTTTAACCGTTTAATATACTTCCGGCTTTTAGGCTGAATTATCCCTGCCATTAGCAAAGGTCAAAAAATTACCGAAAAATAAAATCCCAATTTTTCACAATTTGGAGTACATGATGCAACAGAAAATAATGCAAAATGATTTTAAATAATTGATTTGGGTTTCTAAGCTATGAGTTTGAGGTTATTTTTCTTATTAATACCAGAAAATTATGTAATCAGTGTATTGACGTTTTATATTATTTCTCAGGTATTAATTAGATAAATGAATCACTTTTATATTAGAATGACAAATGCTTAAATTATGATAGTTTTTCACAAAATGGGTCTCAATACGTTTTGAGATATGGACTTGAATTCAGCGGTGAGTATTGTCAATAAAGGAGGGCCTATTGCTCTTCCTTGACTAATTGGTACAACAGCTTAAATTCTATTTCTCGTAGTTAGATATAGCTCAGTTGCTTATAAAACAACCATCAAAACTTGGTCGAATTTATAAATAATTGAGAAAAATCGTTATCATTATCTTCCTAAAATTTGATTGTATCCAGCAGTAAGGTCAAAAAAGAAACAGCCATCAGAAAACTTGATGATATCCACAAGTAACGTCGAGGAAGAATTGTAAGGCGTTCGATTGCATATTACTCTAATTGATTATCAGACATGCCCTTGGAATATTTGAACATTCCAATACCCCCGTAACATTTAATTAGATATAAATCATACCTATTTGTTACTGTATTATGTTTTATAAAACAGGAACAATAATTTTTTGTTAGACCCCTTGCGATTATATAGAAAAATTCTGGTAATAAAATGTTTTAAATTGTAAGAAAACTAAGATGTTCCCAATCATAAATTATCTAAATATTCCATTTATTTTGTTGAATCGGCTTGGCTCATATTTGGAAAATAAAACAAAATCTGAAAAATACACTTGCGTAATTACACTAATTAAACATCTACATATACAATAAAATTATAGAGTATTTTAACATTATGATAATGTATTTTTTGTTCGTATGCTTAGAATAACGGTTTGTGTCTTATAAAATGTATAAAAGTTCGAATCAAAATATTTACGTTTTTTGACCCCTTGTGTTGAAAGACATTTTTCGACCCGAAAGCCGGAAGTTTTTTCAGCAAATGGTGTTTTAAAAGAATCAAGACATATACACCTTCATAAATATTGCTTCAAATGTTGCTGCGCTATAGTGTGCTACGGATCCTTCATATTTGGAAGTCATACTATGGACTAATTGTTGTTATAACTTATGTAAACATTTTTAGGTTTGTTGACTTAAAGACCACACTTTTCCCACATTTTTAGACCACACTTTTTATTCATATCATCCATACCTGTACTGCTCTTATACCATCTCTAAACAACACTCATACCACACCCAACCCACACCTTTGAATCTTATGGTCAGTGAGTTTTATATATAATGGAATTCTTTTAATATGATTTAGTTTTTACACTGCTTAAAATTGTTAGATTTCTCATAATAGAACAACCCACCCTACTTTGGCAATAGACTCAATCTTAAACTTGGTATGAATAGCAAATACTCATTTTATTTACTGTTATAAATCTCCAGTGCTTACACATTTTATATATTTTACAAAGTTTATTGCAGAATTGTCATTGGTCACAGTCAGGTGAAAGGTGCCAAGCAGCCTTCAATGAATGGTGAATAGTCATATTCAAACATCATCCTCTTTGATAGTGAATAAAAATTGAGGTTGATTTTGATTGTTTCCCAGATATTTGGTCCTATATTTGGACATTTAATTTGGTATTGGGTCCCTATTTGACATTTGGTATGGCTTTGTGGTGTTATTTACATGTAACTGCCAATAATATTGTACAAATTAATTGGTATGGGCACATATTGAAATGTGATTGATTGGTATTGTCAACAGTTCACTTTCATAGGTCACCAGTTTCCACAAATCGAGGCGTTTCACTGAAATATTAACCATTCATATTATGTCACTTTAAGATTGAGGTGCAACCAGTCAACAATTCAAGTATCTTGTCACTAAAGCTTAAGGTGGAATTAGTCAACAATTAAGATGATGTCATTAAAGTTTGAGATACTGCCCTGTCAATCCTCACGCATTAGGCGTGATTGTCATGCATTTGCTGGAAAAATTGAAATCACACATCAATTTTGCGTGTTTGATAAAATGTAACACAAATCACGCATTATGTTGTTATTTAGAAAAAAATGTTTTTTTGTAAAATGCCAATAGGTAAAAAAACAAAAGCCAAAAAAAAGCAAACGCATTCCGTTCTGACTTTTCATGCGAATAACGTATATGTCACGCATTTGGTTTGAAATTTGTGTATATGTCACGCAGTTGCTTCAAAATTAGCCTTGCCCAAGTCGGTATTTTTTTACTTATCTGATCTTGAATTATTACCGCCTTGTACAATCCAATACATCTCCGCTGATATTATGCTGAGATGTTCAACGGTTTCGAGATTACCTACGCTATCAGGGGTATCGCGAAACCTTATTGATTGACAGATATACACGTGGACACGACGTGTGACTTCAGGCTGATTGACCAACCAAAACGTTATCAGGTTGACCTGCATAAGCAAAGCAATCTTCCCGTCTACAACTTGAAATTCAATGATCTGATCGATCGTTTATTTAGAGTTACAATATATTATGTAATTAAATGTAGATAGGGAATGTAAGAGTCATTAATATAAATTAAATCATGCAATGGATTTAAAACTGATTTCGCGATGAAAATGCAAGACCTAGTAGTCCAATGTAGCGGGTCATGTAGTCATCGATCAGTGATTGAATCTCAGCCTACATGTTCATTTGAATTCAGCGATCGTTTCAACGTTTATTGTTGAAATTTTCTCACCTTTGGTTACCGATCGATGCTCCGGCATCCACTAAACTCTGATTGATATTTATCTGATAAAATATTTGTATTTTCATGATGAATTCATGCAAGATTTGTTCGTGAAAAGTCTCGGCGAAAAGTTTACTTGTTTTTGACCGTGCGTAATAATGAGCTAACGCTGCAGGGCCGTCGTTGATTGGTCAAATTTTACCGACATAAACATTGAGTCGGTAAAGCACGTGGCTTTCTGTTTGGTACAAGGCATAATAGAAATCAAGATAGTAAAAGAGACCGACTTGGGCAAGGCTACTTCAAAATATTTTGTACAATATATGATCATGTTACTAAAGTTTGAGGTGGAATCACTCCTCACAATTTTCTGTATGGAGTTGAATTGATAAATTTGGCAAGTGAATTTTAGAGTCATTTAATCAGTTATAGCAAATAAAACAACAGCAAATTGAATTATATTTTTGGTTTTGATAGACAACTTTATCACTTTAGAGCTGCTGAAAACTTGAAAATACAAATGATGAATGTGGAGATGATGATTGAATATATAATGATATATGAGCCTGCATGACCATATAAGGGAATTAACATCCAAAATGTTTTCCTTTAAAAACAAAGTTGGATTGAAAGAGACATTTCAAAAAGTAATACCATATATTCTGCATCATATTTCTGTATGCCCCCAGAAAAAATTAAGCGATTGATTCCTTATTTGAGTCCGATGATACATATGTAGATTGTCAACATATTTGAGTTTTCAGTGCATTGTATTATCAAGATTATTACTTTAGGGTTAATCATTATTCTAGGTATATAATAAAGAAAGAAGAAAATTCAGCAATTTTTGTGTCTGACATTGCAAACAGTGGTCTGTCTACCATAATTACAATACATATATTGATATTTCATATTCTTCCAAAATCTATGAATTTATTTTCTATGCTCACTTAGGTTGTGCATATTTGATTAACGATTACGAGCATATTATGATTACGAGCATATTAAACATGCAGGACCAGCCTTATATAATCTCTAAGCAGTCATTTTTAATTTTATTTTAAAAATTGAATATATCCCACTTAATTTTAGGAAGGGTGTTATTGTACCATTATTCAAAGGTGGCAATCTTGATAAATTATCAATGGATAACCAGAGGAGGATAACTTTTCAAACCACAATATGCAAATTATTTGATGCTACAATACTCAGAAGAATAAGAGTTTTGCAACAGCTAAATGTGATAAGATCACCATCAATTTATCAATTTGCAGGAAATCAGAATATGTCATGCTTATACTGTATGTCGCATTTTCATTACAAGAAGCCATGAGTTATTTCATGGAAATGGGTTCAGAAGTATATATTATGTATTTTGACACAAGGAAAGCGTATGATACTGTATGGTTAAATGGGATATTCCATAGGATATAATTTTTAGTCATGTTGGCATTAAAGGAAAATGTTGAAGAATTTTAAGGAATTTGTATTCCTCATGTCATGATGTTGCTCGAATTAATGGTTAATTTTATGACGGGTTCATATCTAGACTAGGTATGCGGCAGGGAGGAAAGTCATCTTTGTTAATGTATCAGTACTTCATTGATCCCTTGTTAGATATGCTGAACAAAAATTGGTGTAAAATGTATGATGTAACAATAGGTGCTCTAGGATATGCTGATGATTTAGTGGCCCTTGGACTCCACAGAATAAGTTTACAAACATCGATAGATATTGCATATAGATTCTCCAGGTGCTGGAGATTTGATTTTAACATAAAGAAATGTGCTATCATGATTCTTAATAATACTTGTAGAGGAGTAGGGAACCCTGTTTTTATCTAGGATATAATAGAGTAAATATTGTTAACTCTTACAAACATGTTGGGGTGACATTAAATACAGATGTAACTATGAAAATTGAGACTGTAAATAAGAAGATAAGTGAGGGAAGGAGGTCCCTTTTTGCCCTCTGTGGAGTGAGATGTGAAAAGAGTATTCAAAATCCCCTTGAATTATCAAAATTATTCTGGGCAGTCGCAGTCCCAAAAATGCTCTATGGCTGTGAGGTGTTGTATTTTAAACAAGCTGAGCTTGATTTGTTAAATGATGCACAAAGGCAAATAGCCGAAAGAATTCAGAAATTACCCATGAATACACCAGATATTGCTAGTTTGGGTTGTTTAGGATGGTTAGAACTCAGCGCTTATACAGATCTTCGTAAAATATACTTCTTTAGGTCAATTGTAATGCTAAATCCAAGTTCAATCTGCAGTAAACTGTTTTTCCTGAGAATGCATGCAATCAAAGATAATATAATGGGAGTAATTATGAACAGGAGTATTGTATATAACATGTTACAAACCTTTATCAAGTATGAGTTGAATGATATGATAATTAATGTTATTGAACAAAACATCATCCTTTCAAAGGAAATATGGAAAAAGAAATCTAAAACTAATGTTTATAAGCTAGTAATTGAAAGATGGAAAATACTCCTTATGTTAAGTCACAAACTTAATGTTTTTAGAATTGTATGTTCCAAGTTCAAAGTGAATGCTTGGTGGACTATGAGCAAAAGAGCACCTATTGTTAAAAATGAATGCTTCCAAATGTACTCTTTGTAATGCTGGAGTTGGTGACTTAATACATTTTGTAAAACAGTGCAATGTTTTTACTAGATTAAGATGTTTGTTTAAAAATACAATGAAGGCAAAACTTGTTTAACTAGATTTTGATAACTCTTACATGAGATCAGAAACTAAAAGGTTTTATACCATGATGGGATTACAAGAAATACCAGGTATAAATGTTGAAATGGATTTTTCCATTAAGTTCCATAGCTGCAAAATGATATGCAATATGTATAACTATAGAAATGTAAAACTGAAGGAACTATTAGTCAATAGATAAATGTAGCATTGTGTAAATAATACTTTTTATTACTCTGTCTTTTGTAATGTAAATATGTTGTAAAAATGAAAGTATTGTCACCAAATTGGTGGTTGAATAAATATACAAATACAAATAAACACATTTTTATTTACCTTGAATCCTTGATCTGTTGGCAGTCCTCTCTCATATGAGAAGTGTAAGAACAACACATACAACATTATTATTGAACATATTGCAAAACTGAATTTGTTTACATTGTTTGTAACAAGTTTTCTCAGTGCAGCCATATTTTACAGTATACTGTAGCTTATAAGTACATGTACTATGAAAAGAATAATTCCTTGCACAAACTTACTCAATATCCAGAGAATAACTCATAGAACACTTACCATTGCATTGAAAGATATACAGGGTGGTCAAAAAAACTGGAAACCCTTATAAAATTTTCCTAATATCTTTATTAATTTAACAAATAAATTTGCACATTTGTACATCCCTCAATTTCCTACCAGCCTACCATATTTCATGACCATCTGATTGATAGTCACAGTGTTACAGCACTTTAAGGTACATTCCCATTGGCCACTATGGCGCTGTAGACCAACCTAGTATGTAGTCCAAAATGTCCCTACATATGGGGATATGGCAGAGACAGAGTGTATAAGAATGACCTCAGGACAATTGCAGACCTCAAAAGTGAGATCATCTGTATCATCCAGGCCATACCTGCTGAGGAATGCATTTGGATCACTGACAACTGCAGGTTTGCCTACAGCGCTATGATGGCCAAACCTGAAGCATGTTGTTCAAAGTGCTGTAGAATTGTGACTATCAGTCTGATGGTTATGAAATATGATAGGGTAATAGGAAATTGAATGATTTACAAATGTGTGAGATATCAGGGAGTAATTTCTTAAAATGAGAAAGATATGGGGAAAATGCAGGGTTTCCGATTTACCACCCTGTATGTATTTTAATACAAAATAGATGGCTTTGTAAAAAAAATTAAGATACAGTCTTTGAAGGGTTCAATTTTTAAAATATTAAGATTATTTCATTTCAATCTCCATCTATGATAAATATACTAGATGCGAGTAGAAATAATCTTGATTTACATCATTAAAAATTCAAAATTCTGTGATATCTTCATGTAAAGTTATATCTAGAAATGTGGTTTTAAAAAGTGTTTATCAACTTTGAAAATTTAATTTAAGTTCTAGGTTGGGGAGATTACTCAGAGACCCCATGTTATAAAATTACAAAAAGTGAAATATCATATTAGCCTGATAATATTTTCTTTTACTGGACAAATTTCAATTTGTATTACTATCAGATACATTTGGGTAATATGAAAATTGAACCACTAAAACTGGTGAATATTTGAGTTCAAGAGACTTTCTAATACCCTGCCATGTTATTTAGCTCGAATCAGCCAACTGGTAGTGGAAATGGTAACTACCTACTCGCATCTGTGGTAATGTAGATGCATTAATGCACTCTTAGGTCTACATGTATGTAATATAGATCTAACATTTGTCTAGTCACAAAAGAAGGCCAGAATCGAAAAATTGTTTATCTTTGTTTTGCTATTTTATTTTTCATCAAAATTGTGCAATTGAAATGCTCGTTCACTATAGAAGCAATCTACACTAAAATCTTTATGGGTACTTCTCTCCCCACCATTCAATTTGGAATCATCATCCAGTTACACTGTCATGTGTTGGATTGAATTAGCAATCCTTGAGACTAAAATCATCATTACTCATGAACACAGAACACAGAATTTCATTTGGCAAATCCCCAACATATTTAAAACTAATTTAGCATTGCTTTTCCCTATTGAAAGGGCCTTTGAATGGCGCTATTCTGACAAACAAGAAGAAACTCAAATTAAAAATTCTGGCTTTATTTTATGACTCTATATCTGTATCTATAAAAACTATGAGTGCACAATATATCTAAGTTAGTATTAACTAAGATTGAAAATATATTAAAACTTTAAAAATTGAACCCTTCAAAGGTACGAGGTACAAGGTTTTTTATACAAAGCCAAAATTGGTAATTGGAATTGAAGAAAAGCATTGAATATACCAGCCAAGTTTCGAATATAAAGAAAATGAATAATGAAGTAGGCAAAATGCCACAAATGCAATAAAGAGCACAATTATTTAAAATGGATATTTTCATCCCTGTATTTGTATTGTTTGCTTTTGTATTTTAACACATTTTTATAGTTTAAGGTATAGTTCAATTCAATTGGGTTTTGTGTCAATAAAATCTAAAATATAAGCGTTCAAAAGACCACAGTGCAATATAATATTGAAAAATATGTTCATATTCTACATGCAAAACCTTTGCATTGCTTGTGTATGTATTTTGATGTTTCTCTTGACATGTAATTTTCCCAAAAATTAACATGACTGGAAGTTCCTAAATTACAAGAGGCGGCAGGTTTATTACACATAAAACTAATTTATCTGAAATGTACAAAAGTTTTGTGTGTGAAATATGAATGTATTTTTCCATATGTTCCTATATTGGGAATGGCATATGTATCTTTCCTGTGTTACAACTTTGAGAATTACCTCTGCCACCATGTCCACTTTTTAATTGCGAATGTTTCACTCTATACACTAATTTTATATTCCAATCCATGTATGAAATGATTTTTTAATTTTACATGATATTTAAACAAATTATTTGCTACTAACACCCCAGTCACATTTCCCACGGCTGCCGTGCGGTCTATCATTTCTGCGGCCAGTAGCTTTTCTACGCTCGCCGTAGAATTTCTGCGCTCTCATACTTTTGCAGCACATTTCCCACGGCAGCAGCATGGTGAATTTTAAATTTCCGTTGATAAATAATACTTTTTTTCATTTTATTTACATCAGGACAATTTATAGATGTTATTCATAGTGCTAAGAGTAATATCAAATGAAAAGTTGACAAATAATGATTCAATCTTGTTGAGCCAGTTGATTTCTATGGGCACCGCAGAAATGAAAAATATTATAACTCCGAGTTATAATTTTTACGCCTTCCCTGCGGCCTGTAAAAATCTACGGAGACTGCAAGGCGCCCGTAGTTTTCCTACGCTCGCCGCAGAAATTCACCGATTTAATTGATCTGCGGTCGACTTACGGCCGCCATGCGACACATGTGACTGGGGTGTAAGTAATTGTGTATTTCTAAATTATGGGCAAGAATAAGGTTTAAGTGCTAAGTGCTCAAATTCTTTGAAATTTTGGTGGAACTACATATATCTAATTCACATGTATGCCCTGTTTTTCAACCTGACCCTCAGGGGCCGTGAATGGGGGGTTGGGAAAACAGAAATCTGCTTTAATTTTTAGATGTTTTTGAAGTACTGTACGCCTGGTATTATTCGCGTGCGATTAACTTTCGCGCTTTTCGCGAGGGTGTTAAAATCGCAAAAAATTATCGTCGCGAAATTGCCAATTAAATCCCCGGGAATTTGTTTTTACCCGGGGCTCTGATGCATTTCGTTTTGTCTCCTAGTTTGGATCGAGTTATAGTACTTCAATAGTACTGTGCAACTCCATGACTTTACTATGCGCATGCGCGGCAATGAAAGAGCATGTGCGCACGATTGTTCACAGGAATTCACCATCGCTTAAGGATATCTTTAAGTATGGTTATATGATACTACAATGATCTCAAGTGTTTATTGAAGGGAAGAGTAGATGGTAAATATTAAATTGTGACTGTACAGATTCATGATTTATATAGTATTTGTTGGGATTTGCTACTCCGTGGAGTTGCCGAGTTCTAGTTACATGTATGTATTTTAACATTACATTTTAAGCACCATACAAGGTGGGCTGCTCTTTTAAAGAAGAATGAATAAAAAATGACCTACTTTTTAAAGGTGCAAAAAATTCTTGGTTTCTGATTTTTTCCTTTTATGTATTCAGAATATCTGTAAACACTTTGCTAATAATCTAGGTATACAGTATTTATGCAATATTAAAGGCAGAATCAGATCTAATAGGGCAGTGATCTCCCCATGTCACTTTTACCGGGGGCTCCCCCTACTTGAAACCAAAGGCCCCCCAGTTGGCACCCAGTTGGAATCTGCACTTCAACTTCTGATTTGAAAAATGAGTGAAGTAAGCACCTACACTGAGATATTGTGAGCATAGCGAGTGCTGATTTTTTCAGACTTGAAATCTTGCACCCAGTTGAAAATTTTTTTTGGGGAGAACATACAAAATTGCAAACATTACATTGAACAGTTGACCTACCAATATATTCCTTATAATAACAAATACATGTATCTCCCAAAAGATTTTACTTTTACTAAATCAAGTATGCACTTTGGGAATTTTTAGAAAGATATGAGCCAAAAAGCAGTGAATTCATTTTCTAATTATTCATATACCATTGTGCATATTTGATAAACACATTTTTATTTACCTTGAATCCTTGATCTGTTGGCGGTCCTCTCTCATATGAGAAGTATAAGAACAACACATACAACATTATTATTGTACATATTGCAAAACTAAATTTGGTCATTTTGTTAACGCCAATCTGCAAAATAAGTTTTCCCAGCTCAGCCATATATACAAAATTTCTTATGGAATCACTATTTCAGACTGCTCAAACTTTAACACGAGATAGTGTAGTTAGATTGCTTGAAACTGTATGAGAAGGGTTGTTCAAAAAGTTTTGCACAAATACAAGGGGCGATCCATATATTCTGATAAAAATGCTCTCATTTTGCTATTTTTTCACATATCCCTCTCATATTTTCAAAAAATATAGATTATGTAATTACACATACAAATATCATAGCTACGTCTTAAATTAATTAAGAGATAGGGTTACCATGCTAACCTATATTAAGGGTAGGCAGGTCAATTAAATTATAACGTATAAAATATCATAATAACTTGTTATTTTAATTATTTTAAACATGCGGAAATCATACATTTTAAAAAAAAAGTTTAGTATTGTTTCTCGTTGTTTGTTTCTAAACAAATGTTTTGTGATCACTATAACATCACAACAACTCACAATAGCAATGTATGACAGGATGGGCAAATTAGAATTACATGTCATGAGACACACCAAATATCAAAATGACAGATCAGAGTGTGACATTAACAGATACAGTAGGAAGGTAGTAGGAGTACCATTATATTTTATGTACTATAAAGAATAAGTAAGAGGACACTGCCAGAGACATACATGAGCTGGTATAGTGTATGGACAAGGTGTTATATCTGCTATAAATATCTCTAGGAAGTATTGTAAATTTGAGGAAGGCTGCAGTATCATTCCCAATCTGGTTGCAAGAAGAGCTTGCGGACAGAGAATAACACTACGATAATTTGAGATGCATTTAATGAAAAAAGAACTATTTCACTGTGGAAATAGCAAACAAGGGCAACAGGGGTATGGAGCAGTTCAACGAATAGTTGGCAATGACCTGGATATGCGTTTGATCTGCTTGAAATAGGTACCAAGGAATGATTAAATTAACAAATTTATCTATTTTATACGTTATAATTTAACTGACCTGCCTACCCTAAATACAGGTTACCATGGCAACCTTATCTAAAAAATTATTTAACATATAGCTATAATATTTTAGCATTGTATGCGTAATTACATAATCTTCAAGTTCTGAAACAATGAGAGGGATATATGAAAAAAATCAAAAAATGAGAGCAGTTTTATCAAATATATGGATCGCCCCTTGTATATCTAATTATGAAAATAATGAACCAATCTTGTTTATATTTGGTAAGCTTGTGCCCCCATCTTATTCCCTTACACTGTCAAGTTTTCGAGAGATGTTATTTGTGCTAAATAAAAGCTAATAAAAGATTCTGAAATTGGTTTTAGTACAACTTTAAAATCATCCCAAGTTCTGGAGGATAAATGAAATACCGGTTGATGAATTTGATTCAAAGGATTGGTATCGATATGGTGAACTGAATTCACCATTTTTTTAGATACGCATTGAATGATATCTCATTTCCTAGGGAAAATTACCGGGCATTAATGCATTATTGGTGCGCCACTATGGCCCACCACTATGACGTCAGATGCTCAGGTCAATATAGTAAAATAAATGCCTTCTAAACTAGCACATATACCCCTAGATCAGGCTCGGCAAGGTGATAATAATATGTTTTTGTTACCTTTCAAATCCTGAACTTACCCAAGGTTATGTTATGTTACCTGTCAGGTTAACACAAGGGCCATTTGAATCAATACTGAAGTGATTAATGGTAGTATAAGGATTGCCTTCAAATATGAATACAGGGTGGTAAAAAAACGAAAAACCCTTACGCAATTTTTCTCATATCTTTGTCATTTTAAAAAATAACTCTGTAATATTGTGACTATCAGTCTAATGGTCATGAAATATGGTGGGGTGGTAGGAAAGTGAATGATGTACAAATGTGTGAAATATCAGAGAGTAATTTCCAAAAATGACAAAGATAAAGGGAAAATGCAGAGTTTCCATTTTATTACCACCCTGTACTAAAGAAGTCCAAAATGAGGAGCATGTCTCCTCACCAATGTCTGGTTGAGAAAAGAACTTGTATGTCATTCCCTCCTCCTCCAATTGTGGTGATAATTTGCGTGTTAAATGCCTTGTTTGATTTTTATGTTTTTCAGGGCCAGTGCTTCTGATGTTCTAGAGAACTCATACTTCAAAGAGTCACCTCATCGTAAGTAATAACTTAATAAGTGGTCATTGGTGTTAAAAAAGAGCCAAAAATTGGATAGTAAAGGCTGTGGATTCCACAATGGGTCATTGGTGTTAAAAAAGAGCCAAAAAATAGGTGAGGTATATTGAAAGAGGCGAGAAAGAACTTCAGGGATAACATTTTCAGTAAAAAAACTGGAAAACAAATTTCTCTGTTTAGTGTATTAGTTAGAGTACTTGTGTTTCATTTCTCATACACTTACCTTTGAGAAAGGTCTTAGGCCCCTAAGATTTAATGAAGCTAGCAAATTAGTGTTTATTAAACTGATAAAAGTGCACTAATTTGAACAAATTAAATGTTAACAATTACGATAATTGCTTTTTTATTAATCCTTTGAATAATTTTAATTGTAGCATGTGACCCTGAAGTCATGCCATCTTTTCCCCAACACCGGAATGTAAAGAAAAAACCAGGTCCTGCCCCTGATTCTGCAGAAAAGTAGGTTAAACTACCCTCACCAAGAGCTTGACCCTGTGTACAATCCTCTTAGGAAATGGTTTTTCATGTAGCTTTTATCCAATTAAAAAATGTCGTCAGAAAATCTGCCCATAAGGATCGCTGACTTTGAAAGACTAATAAGAAGCAATTGGAATTTAATTTCAGATCTTATTAGCATAGAAAAACATTCTGTTCCAAGTTTGCCTCATATTGTGTTATCTCATTTTTGAGTTTCTTATTCTGTGATTGGTTGAATATACATCACATGACATAAGGTATTCTTTCATTAAGAAATAAATGAGCCTCATTCTGATGGGCGAAAATTCCTTACAGCTGATTTTTCAATATCCCTCGATCCCACATAATGAGAAACAAATGTGAATTATAAAACAAACATTTCACGCTCAGTAGGCATCTGGGATATTACTATTGAGAAAGATATGTATTGTCGCAAACAACAAGATAAATATTAATATACTTTTCAACTACATGTTTCTATATATTTCATTTAAGATCTAAAGTTAGATCGTCCAGTGGATCTGCTGCTCCAAATAAGGGCATGGCAATTCCCGTGCTTGGGTCATCATTTGGGTCAGGTTCATTTGGCGGAGGAATATTTGATGGTGACGCTTTTAGTGGCCCTATGCAACCAGCAGCTGGAGCATCTTATGCTGTAAGTCAGTCTTGATTATTTGATTTCATTATCACAACGATATTAGATAATAAAGAATTAAATGTAGAAGTTAATTTCATTCGGATAAAAAACTTGTTTTATTTTAGAGAATAAAATTATTTGATTGGTCATGATTCAGGACATTGCAATGCCTTTGTAAACAATTTGATTCAATCCATTAAGTTACCCCCGACCCTATGGACATCATCCACATGTCCCCTCCCCCTCAGTTCTTTGCTAAAAATATCAAGGTTTTTGAATGTTTATTTTTTCAATTTAAAATGTTTCTCGTATTTACAATTCCAGCCACCCGCTAAAAGACAAAAATGACAACATAGAACTGTTAAGTTGTACACATAATGGGATCTGCTGCGCCATCTATCTTTATGACAGAGGACTTGGCAGACAAATCACATCTTTTAACTGACCAATGAGAATCTAAGACCATTGTGGTGTCATTTGGAAATATAGCCCCCAAAAGCTGGATTGTTAAAGATACCATGGAGGGGTACACTGCATACAGAGCTCTATGCATTATTTGGCCCCAGAGATACTAGTGGACTTACAATGTATTTCTGAAAAGGGCCATAAAAATGGATAAAATGGAATTGAATTATGTCAATGGAAATGACAATGAGGGACCCATGTATTTTGAAATAATGGGATTTAAACATCTATGCAGACTAATGGGCTCAGTGCATTGTTGATCATGGCCCTAAATATGAATTACGAAATGATGATATGAAACAATGAAAAGTATATGAGTGACATTGTATACTTAATGGAATAAAAGCTAGAATTAGGGATTAAGGGAGCATTTCAAAAGATCGATATCGGAAAACTGTATTTCAACAGTTTAGTTTTTAGTTCGGGGGAGGGGGTCAATAGCATTAAAAGTAAGCAATCTGACATCCTTCCAGAGAATTTTATAAGTGCATGCTCTTTTCATCCATTTTTATATAGTTTTATAGACTTCATACAATGCACCTTCTTCCGAGGCAGTGTCTGTATTTTAGCTTTGTGTCACCTATAAAGTCACTTATATATTCATTTTTAGTTTTTAGCCTTCATGTATCTCCTTCTGTGTTAAATATATTGTGACTGTGGAAATAATGCATATCAACATTTCGCAAACACAGTTATGAGGGAGGAGGGAGAGGGGTCACTGATTAACTGTTCAAGTACAGTTAATCTTCCGATATAAATCTTTTCGCAATGCTCCCTTAGAGATTTAAAATATTGATCTCCAACCAACTATTCAAAATACAATAGCTCAAAAAAGCATTGTATGGTGGTTATTGGTTCTCTATACCAGTATTCAGAGAAAAATATGAAATTTTCTAGTATTTTTAATAAGGAGTGAATTTTTGGGACTTAATTTTACATTTTAGAATGAATGATAATCAAGGCAAAAACCTAGCTTATAAAACAGTACCTACATGTCAGTTTAGTACTTAAGTTATTTTTTTAGTCTGATTCTACCTTCATTGAAGACATTCTTGGATTAATAAATGAAACAAAATTTTTCAATCAATTTGGAATACTAGTATATTAAGAAACGCCAATATCTGACCTATAAATTATGAAAGGGGTATTTATGAAAATAAAGTCACAAAATATTATAGATGCTATAAAATCAAGGTATTATGTTCGATCTGAATTTGTTGAGGATATAGATTCTGATTTATCATGTCACCACAAGTGGTTGCATATTGTTAATAATAGTCTCCAACTTTTTGTGGATGATATTTGGCAGTCACTGGTTTGTGTTCGGCATTTGGTGTTCAGTGTCTGTAACAGAATGGCAGGTAGTGACATTTTGCATGTTAATGCCTTGTTATTTTGGTTTGACTTTATCCTTAAAAATATACTGATAATTGTCACACTGATTGTCACATTTTTCTGTTTTGCAACTTGCAATATGCTCTGATGACCAATTCCTAGATCTGATTTATCTGATTGGAGAAGCACTTTCTCAAAGCCCGATGATTATCATACGTTCATTGGTCATAATGTCCATACTGTACATTGTACACAATTGGCATCATGATCTATGATTGTCACTATCATTAATTGTGGTATCATCCCCATCACTTTTTATTATGACATCTTATTAGGCTAAGTCGTGAAAGAATACATTTTCTGATATTCATGTTCTTGTTATGCCATGTAAAGTGTATCAATTGACAGATTTACCTGACTACCTACACATGCCACTAAGAGGGGGAATACCCCAGAATTCAAAGATGAAACTAGCTATCTTGATATTAAGATGAACCTCTCAAGGAAGCTTTAATGAAGAGAAGTTCATCTATGAAAAAACTCCAATCCAAACTTAAGTATTGAAAACGCAAGGTCGCTATGAGGGCCTTGCACCAATTGATTGCACTATGAGTAAGACCTATCAAATTGTCCATGTGGATGATTAAACTGCCTTAAAAAATTTGATTCACATCATCAATTCAACAGATAACTTGTCACATTATGAAATGATTCATACCTCAAAATGTCAGTATTTTTAAGTGTACGCAGATTTTATTATTTTAAAGAAACTGATTAAACATTTCATACAATAATTATATTTATACAATTTATTCATCTTTGAAGCGTGTAACAGTTATAAATGTTTGATCAGATATCTAAAAAAAAATTCAAAAAATAAAATTAGGAATTTAAAAAAATCATTTTAACTCTTTTTCGTGTCCGCCACTTTAAGGTTCAACATTCACAGGAGGCTCATAAAGTGGTATATCAGGGCACAGGTTCTCGAGTTGTCCATAGTGGTCATCAAAGTGTGCCAATATATAATGCTCATCAATTTTGTCAAAGTCCACAATTCGATGAAATTTTCTTGGACTGGGTTGGTAATGCTGTTTAAATGATGATTTGAATACCTCAAATAATTTTTTAGCAAGTTTTCCCTCTGTCTCTTTATATTGCTTCTCGGGTTCTGAAGCAGGATTGTCCAATTGGATGTGTTTGGCAAATAGAGTGTTCAGCTTTTCTGCTAATTCAGGGTATCCCAGTTTGTTTAAGACATAAGTTGCATTTTCTCTGAAAGCTTGACTTCTATAACGATTTTGTCCAAACCTGTAAAATCAAGGAAAAGTGTATCAGAAAAAGACAGATTATTGTTAGAATTTTTTATTTACTAGTACATGATTTTAAGATGGAAATGGAAGAACTGACTTTTTGTTTCAAGTTTCAGGTATATATCCAGTTGTATCCAGTTGTGCTTTTTCATGTTTGTTGCTTAGCCATTGAAAACATAATTTTGGAAAATCTGCTATATAAAGGCTTACACTCTGGGAATTTGTTGTATTACTTGTTGTGAAAGCTCTTTTTTTACTTTTTCTTTTTTCCCCTTTAGTCACTTTGCTCATGATTGAATGCTTTTTCCATACGTCGTAATAATACAATTCTGTCAAAAGTACTCACCTTTGATCAAAGTGGTAAAACTCATCAAGTTCATTGCAAAGGTGACCCAAAAGAGAACCTCTTAGCCTTGGAAACATTTTTGTAGTCTTGGGTAGTCCCCGTTCTATACCTTCTCTTGCAATCCACATTGCACTGTCACCTAGATTTGGGCGAGGAAAGATTGTGTAACTCCATAAATAGTATTCTACCCCCAGTCCAACATCTGCCACTACTCTTTTTCGTAATTCGCAGATATCATCAGCATTTGTTAGATCCTACACATGAGATAATAATTTTAACTGTTTGTATTTCAGATTTCATATAATGGACCACATTTTAAATAAAGCAACATTTGAGAATGTAATTCTGAATTTTTGGGCATTTTAGTACATACTCAAGTTTTATTATATCACCACCACACCACCAAAAGTGGTGATTTATTGTTATAGTCAAATCTATCTACCTGCGCTTGTTTCCCAAATACATAAGCAGAGTGGACCAATCCAGATAAAGCAAGTTCAAGTGGTGCCCCTACATCAAGCAGACAACCTGCCATACCTACAAATCATTAATATTATGCAATTTTATCAGCAACTGGGAATTTTTTCAGTTTGTTGTATAAAAACTGCCTGTTTTGAGGAATCTTCATCTGTTTTATAATTTCTCATATTATTTTGATTCATTTTGCCTCTTGTTAGAGATTCTAATGGGGTATGTGATCAACTAAATACCCTAGTGCCAATTTTACTTGAAAAAGCAAACATTTTCTTCTCCTGATATTTTACAGCAGGCATGATTGACAATATGACTGATCAGGCAGTTAGACTGGAAATGACTGTCATATTTATGTCACTACATGTTATAGCCAGCATTATAACGACCTGCTTTGGCATCCGTTTCTGTTTGGGGAGTTGATAATGCTTTGGTACAAGTGATGACATAAAACTGACTAGGCTGCAATACCTATACAGTGCTCAAAGTAAGGCCTTCCTGACTTCCTCATATAGCCGGACATTTCATCTTTAGCGAATCGTAGTATTTCAATGATCATTTTTACATCAGCGTCTGAATATTTATACTTATCCCTCAAAAGTGTTAACTTTCTAAGTATTTCTGGGATTGTCTGTGGCAACCATAACTCTGTATGTATTGATGTGGAATTGAAGGTTTGGCTAGCCACTTGCCAAGAACGTTGGTCTCTGTACTGGACCTATAATAACAAAGCAAAACATTAAGTACATTTGAGAGAGGAAGCACAGTATGCACCCATAATAACTTTTTGAGATGTCCTGTCAACAATTTATAATTATTTCACTAAAGTTTGAGGTGCCACCAGTCAACCATTCATGATCATGTCACTAAAATTTGAGGTGGAATCAGTCAACAATTTACGATTATGGCACTTAAGTTTGAGATAGAATCATTCAACAATTCACGATTATGTCACTTAAGTTTGAGGTGCCACCAGTCAACCATTCACGATTATGTCACTTTAGTTTGTGGTGCCACCAGTCAACCATTCATGATTATTTCACTTAAGTTTGAGGTGCTACTAGTCAACCATTCACGATTATGTCACTTAAGTTTGAGGTGCCACCAGTCAACCATTCATGATTATGTCACTTAAGTATGAGGTGCCACCAGTCAACCATTCACGATTATGTCACTTAAGTTTCAGGTGCCACCAGTCAACCATTCACGATTATGTCACTTTAGTTTGAGGTGCCACCAGTCAACCATTCGTGATTATGTCACTTAAGTATGAGGTGCCACCAGTCAACCATTCACAAGTATGTCACTAAAGTTTCAGGTGCCACCAGTCAAACATTCACGATTATGTCACTTTAGTTTGAGGTGCCACCAGTCAACCATTCACGATTATGCCACTTAAGTTTGAAGTGGCTCCATTCAACCATTCACGATTATGTCACTTAAGTTTGAGGTCCCACCGGTCAACCATTCGCCATTATGTCACTAAAGTTTGAGGTGACTCCTGTCAACCATTCATGATTATGTCATTAAAGTATGAGGTGGCACGAGTCAACAATTCACGATTATGTCACTAAAGTTTGAGGTGCCAGCAGTCAACCATTCATAATTGTGTCACTAAAGTTTGAGGTGCCACCAGTCAACCATTCATGATTATGTCACTTAAGTATGAGGTGCCACCAGTCAACCATTCACGATTATGTCACTTAAGTTTCAGGTGCCACCAGTCAACCATTCACGATTATGTCACTTTAGTTTGAGGTGCCACCAGTCAACCATTCGTGATTATGTCACTTTAGTATGAGGTGCCACCAGTCAACCATTCACAAGTATGTCACTAAAGTTTCAGGTGCCACCAGTCAAACATTCACGATTATGTCACTTTAGTTTGAGGTGCCACCAGTCAACCATTCACGATTATGTCACTTAAGTTTGAAGTGGCTCCATTCAACCATTCACGATTATGTCACTTAAGTTTGAGGTCCCACCGGTCAACCATTCGCCATTATGTCACTAAAGTTTTAAGTGGCTCCTGTCAACCATTCATGATTATGTCATTAAAGTATGAGGTGGCACGAGTCAACAATTCACGATTAGGTCACTAGAGTTTGAGGTGCCAGCAGTCAACCATTCATAATTGTGTTACTAAAGTTTGAGGTGGCTCCTGTCAACCATTCATGATTATGTCATTAAAGTATGAGGTGGCACGAGTCAACAATTCACGATTATGTCACTAAAGTTTGAGGTGCCAGCAGTCAACGATTCATAATTATGTCACTAAAGTTTGAGGTGCCATCAGTCAACAATTATAATTATGTCACTAAAGTTTGAGGTGCCATCAGTCAACAATTCGCGATTATGTCATTAAAGTATGAGGTGGCTCCTGTCAACCATTCATAATTATGTCACTAAAGTTTGAGGTGGCTCCTGTCAACCATTATGATAATTATGTCATTAAAGTATGAGGTGGCACGAGTCAACAATTCACGATTATGTCACTAAAGTTTGAGGTGCCACCAGTCAACAATTCATAATTATGTCATTAAAGTTTGAGGTGCCACCAGTCAACAATTCATAATTATGTCACTAAAGTTTGAGGTGGAACCGATCGACCATTTATTCCAATAATGCAATACTGATATTTTATATTCTTCAAAAACAGTGAAATCATTTTCTATGTTCACATACCATTGTGTATATTTGAAAAACATTTATTACCTTAGATCCTTGATCTGTTGTCAATCCTCTCTCATAATGTAAGTGCAAAACATACAACATTAAAATTGTACATATTGCAAAACTAAATTTGGTAATGTCATTTGCACCAATCGTCAAAATAAGTTTTCTCGGGCCAACCATATTATCATATACAGAATTTGTTTTAGAATCACTATTTTGCAAATAAAGATATATGCTCTTTCTGTTGTCTATATCTAAAATAAACAAAAGTGCAGGACTCAGGGCATTTATAGTACAGTAAGGCCAGGGTTAGCAATATAAGTTTAGCATCCTTCTACACTGTTGTCTCATTGTTATCTCACCCTGCTACAAATTGTAGATGCAATATGTCAAGTCATCATCAATAACGACAGAAATATACTGTACTTTTTTTGATTTGTCACATGTCAATAAACTGGGACAGCGTGCTCTCATAAACATTAGACCAGGTTCAATCAAGATCCTGATCCTCAAACCTGATTTTTGATAGCTATTACAAAACCATATTCATGAACAAACTCACCCACTTCTGACCAATTAATCAATCGCTATTGACGTTTGACCAATCAGAAGGCATCTCTAAAATTATCAAAGAAATTTGAAATGTTCTTCCTAAAACAATATATTTTGCAATTTCTCCCCAGGCACTTTTCTTTTTAGAATATTGAAACTCCCTGCATGATCAAAAAAACTCTCAAATGGAGAAAGTTCGATTTGAAGTTCAAAACTTAAAGGACCAGGTATAGTATGGCAAGTGATTTTGGACAGTCATATCTTTTACCATTAGTATATTCTGGCCATAAATACAGTGGTTTTTATTAAAACAATATGTTCTCTTTTAAGTGATGTCCCTGTGATAATAGAGAGTTTGATACGTGAAAGCATAACTTATGTTTATGCATATAGCTATATGTTATAAGTGAATTGAAGTTTGGTGATTCGCAAAAATATGAAAATATAGAAATGAATATTGTCTATATCTTCAAGTTTGCACTTATGTGCCTAGAAAAGAATTGTGAGAAGAATGTTTTGATAAAGTGTATAAAAAACAAGAAAATTCAGTGAAAAAATTCAGAAATTTTTTTCAATGAATTTTCTCTTTTTTTATACATTTTACAAAACAAATCTTCTCACAAGTCTTTTCTAGGCACATAAGTGCACTCTTTGTGCAAACCTGGAAGATCTAGACAATGTAGGGAAGGAGTAATTCTTGTTTGAAAAATAACATGTGACTCAATTGAGGAATGCAGAAAATTTCCCAACATGCACCCTGGCCTTAACATAACATTTCAGCTAATTGATTTCCAGTAGCGACAGCGTACAGAAATGCACCATTCACGCCAGCATGTTTATGTTCAATCTTCTCATTTTTGAAATTGGACTATTACATGCTTTGAAGGTATTAATTATTAGCTTATGTTCTAGTCTGTGCTAAATGTACTGCCTGCACTAAAATTATAATTTATTAGGCTTAAATTTAATTGATTTTTGAATTTTTACATTTGTATCTTTAAATGAAGCATTCTCTTTCAGTTTGAACAATTCTCATTTTTGTATGCCCGCAGTGCAAGTGCATTGAGTAGTATTTTAATGAGTTGTCTCCCCAGGTATCACTAAAAAGAACAATAAGCCCTGCAGTGCAAATTGCATGCTCATGTGTTTTCAACAAAAATAGCTCATCCAAGCGTACTTACACTCACATAATTCTTTTAAAAGACATCAGTTTATTGCAATTGAACTCCTGTGGTGCACTAGCAAATAGCTGACGCGGTTACAAGATTGACACATCGTAATTAGCAGTGTAAGTGCGCTGGAAATTTTTATTGAAATTGTATCACCATGTTATTTGCACTTATTGTTCTTTTTTGAGATATCTAGTGGGAAAATTTATTAAATATCATGCAACTAACTCGTTCTGGGACATTATCAGAAAAGTTAGATAAGAATCTCCAAAATGATTTCTCTTGATTACAACAATGGATTTAGGAATATTTTATCAAATAGTGTTTTAGGAATGAACACCTAACTATGAAATATCTAGAGGTGGTCATAAAACACCTTTATTTCCTTTCAAATTCTTAACTTACCCAAGATTAATTTCTACCTGTCAAGTAACTGCCTTGTCAACACTCACGTATGGCAAGTGTTTGTTACACATTCACATTCAGGTCACAGCTTAATGATGGAGGAAAACCAACATATTAAGCACTTACACTCATGTTTCAATGGTAAATGAAACTAGACAACAGCACCGCCAAAGCGTAGCAAATCCCATTGAACAGTCATGGCTTTCATTTTTACAAACAAAGTATATAGCAAAAATGGCAGCCATTTTTCAAAATGGCCACCTTCTACCAAAAGTGTCATTAGACAGTGTGCCATGCTGATAGTATTCAGATACCGAATATGAACAAAATCGCTCCACTACTTTTCGAGTTATAGTAAAATACGTTAAAATGGTGGCCATTTTGAAAAATGATCACCTTCTACCAAAAGTGTAATTCGACAGTGTGCCATGCTTAGAGTATTCACATACCAAATATGAACAAAATCGCTCCACTACTTTTCGAGTTACAGCAAAAATCATAAAATAACGAGTAAAGGCCTCCATGTTTCAAGATGGCTGCCATGTTCTTCTTTAATATCTACATTTTTAGCTTTATTAATGTCCTGTATAATTTTTTACATTTAAAACATATAATATTGCTATTAATTACAGCTTTACATATTGCACCTAAATTACTGTAAAATCGGCACTAAAATGGGCGCCATTTTTATATGAGCGGCTATTTTGAAAATCGGCTTTCGAGCAGAACCCCCATAGGATATATGTGTACAAAATATGAACAAAATCGGGCCAATGGTATTTGAGTTATTGCCCGGACAGATGGACGTACAGACAGACAAACGGACGGAGGCATTCCCTATATCCCTCCGAACTTCGTTTGAATGGGATAATAAGTAAGTGGAGCACCCTTGATTATGCTAAGTAAAAGTGCTCCATAAAAAACCAACAAGGCATTAAAATGTGAAATGTCACCACCTGCCATTTGTTACAGATGCAGACTGCCAGACTCCAACCCCTGAACGCTGTCCACAAAAAAGTTGTAGACTAACAATATGTCACCACTTCTGGTGGTGACATAAGTTACATAACATGAGCCAAATGGGTCACAGGACGGAAATGTTCCACCTTGCAATGGTGTTCCACTTGGCAGGTTTTGCTGTACAATAAGACAATACAAGTCATCTTGAGTATTTAGGTTATATGTATTTTTTAAGTGATAAGAAATAATGATATTTTACATAATGAAAATAAAATATACAACAGAGTGCTAATCTATTAAGGTCTCTAGATCATAAAATATCTTTCTAGTTTTTCCACTACATTAAGTATGTTTACTTTTTCTCTTAATCTATGAGGAATTGGCATTTAGAAGGATGATTGCTACATTTTAATAAAGCTAAACAAACCCTGTCTAGACATTTATAATTTTGGTTGATATAATTTGGGTGAAACATTTATATCAACCTTTATTGAATCAGTTCAACTTGAAGCATAAGTATGATAGGGTGAAACTACTGTAGTCACAGTGAATACTTTTGTATATATAACATATCTTTTAAATAAAGGTAGTGTTTTAAAAATAAATTTCATTAATTTTTGCAAGAAATTAGGGAGTTTAAATATGAGGTGCTCATTCACCAGGACAGGTTTTCTGTATTAAGTTTTCTACCACAATTCCTTGTTAAAATTCGATACAATTCTCTTTATCAACTTAACGACAGTCTTGGGTTCACTACAACAAAGATATGAGGGTCTTCTAGTTTGAACCATATCCTAAAATATGGTAACATCTTGGCCATTTCATGAAATATGGTTCCATGTTGATGACATCATGAAATATGGTGCCATACATGCCATATAGAGCCTTTTATAAAATGTGGTACCATTCAACCATATCATCAAATATGGTAGCGTATAGATGATACCACAAAATATGGTACTACATTATATCATGGAACTACATAGACCCAGTACCCCTTTCATAAAATATGGTACCATTTAACATTATCAAGAAATATGGTAGCACAAAAAATTGGTACCAAATTGACCATAACAAGACATATGATACCACATAGTCCCTGTCATACACACATAAGATATGGTACCATTTTACAATACCATGAAATAATAGCACAAAGATGATATCATGTAATACAGTAATAAGGTACCAAACCTATCATAACATGAAATGTGGTATGATAAAGACCCTTTAAATATATGGTACCCCACACAAATGGAATAGCACAGACCATATTTTGATAAATGGTACCACATACACTATACCAGTAGACATGATCTCATCAATCATATTATGAAAGGGGTACAACATACACCATATCTTAAAATATAATTCCACATAGACCATATCATGGAAGGGGCATGCATAAACCATATTTTATAATATGGTATTACATCATAATCCAGATCTTGACATATAGTACTATGCAAGACCATATCTCGAATCATTTTCAGCAAGCAATACCATCGTATTCAAAATCCACATTTTTGTCCGACCTTCACATTTTTGTCCACATTCGTTGACCCTCTCAGTGATTGTACATAGAGTCAGGCGGTTGTGACAATTTACTGTTCTCTCTTGTAGACATAGCACGACGTAATTCTGTTAATATGTATTGTATACTATATTTTCTTTGCCAATTGGCTAGTGAAGAGAAATACTTGAAATCTACCTGAAAATAGAAATTGAGTACTAGTAATACATAAGTTCTACTACCCTGAATCCAGACCAGTTAGTAATATCCTCTGACTACTGCAAATATTGTAGTTTTGATGCAGTTAAATCATATTGAACTTATAAAGTTGGAATGTGATTCAAATCTAAGCTACATAGAAGCAGAAAATTTTAAGTTGTGATTGACTGACTATTATAGAATTCTGATTGGATGATCAGCTAGATCAACAAATTCTGATTGGATGATAGGCCAGATCAAAGACTGCTAAAAAAGAATTGAGACAAACTCTAATAAAGGGTACATTAGTCCAGATTGGTTTAAAAAATAAGTTTATCAAGGGCATCGAGTTTTGAAAGTTTGAAAACTGGAATTGTTTTAATTCACTCGAGAAGCAATTCTATAGCCTTAAGCATCCCTTATGTTCTTCTTACATTGCCTTGACTGTCTACACCCTTCATGTTAATTCTGGTCTGAAACATCGCTTTTGGTGGCATTTCTGGATAATTTTCACCACATATAATCTTTAGATTGTAGATTCTGTTCTCATATGGTGACTGCAAAAATAAAAACAAGCAGAATAAGCCAAAGATATAATTCATTGTTCACATTAGATTTATTCACTTCTTTACTCAACTTCTAAATAGTTCCTAAATAGTTCCTACATGACAAAGCTTTAACAAGGTATTAACATGCAAAATGTCACCACCTACCATTTATAACAGACATCAACTGCCAAATACTATCCATAAGAAAGTTGGAGATAATAATACTTGTGACATAAAAATAAGTTACTCTGATGTTATCTCTGAATTTTCATAAAATCAGACCATCCTCACAACAATTTTCAGAACATAAGAACAAGGGCTCAATAAACTACAGTAAAACCTGTCTTAGTGAACACCTCTCTCTAGTGAACACCTGTCCCTAGTGGACACCCTTCCTAAGCACATAGTCCACTGACTTCTGTATAAATTACCCTCTCTCTAGTGAACACCTACCTACAGTGAACGTTTTTTCTTGGCAAAAAAATGTTCACTATACACAAGTTTTACTGTACTCATAAATTAAAATATCTTTCCAGAATGAGAGCAAAGGGTAAAGCAACTTGATGAAAACTAAAAATTTAAATGCCACCCATTTTGCACCCTGTAATGATGAAACATTGATATATTTTGACTAATATTGGGAAAAGTTGGGTATTGGATCCTGTTGAGAATAATCAGGGGAGATCTGACTGAAATATAGAATTTAAATTTGAGATCAAATTCACATTCTACTTACTTTAGGAGGTCCGATTATCATTCCAGTCCAGTTTGTCATGTTGATGTCCTCAGCCTGTTCCAGACCCCAACTCACTGAGGAGAAGTCTGTCGGGCATTGGCCTTTTTCTAACTCTGCTAGCAGCACAAAACTGCGTGGCACAACCACTGAAATAACAAATAATATAGTGAACTTTCGCCTTCTTTTCACTGCCAGTGAACGAAACTGTTTGGTATGACCACTGAAATAACAAATGGTACAGTGAATTTTGGCCTTCTTTTCACTGCCAGTGAACGAAACTGTTTGGTATGACCACTGAAATAACAAATGGTACAGTGAATTTTGGCCTTCTTTTCACTGCCAGTTGAACAAAACTGTTTGGTATGACCACTGAAATAACAAATGATTCAGTCAATGAAATGTGCAATCCTTTAAATCACCTTTCACACCACAGCTCAAGGATAATTCTTGAAGATTGGCATTATAATTATGAATCATAATTACGTATACTAGCCAAACCCTCATTTGCACTGTTCCACAGCTGGATGACTCTAACTGCAATTAGCGTCATTCAAGATGGTCGTCAAAATTCTTGCATTTTCGACAAACCTCAGATTTCAGCTAAACTAAGCTGAATCTTGATTCCAAAAGTTTCGCCATACAAACAAATAAAACTATGATTGTAGAAAAACACAAATAAATGCTCAAACACAACTGCAATATTAGAGAATTTTAAAGAAAACGGCTTCACTAAGAATGACTCTAACTGAGGTTGATGATGACAACTTCAGTTAGAATCATTCTAAGCGCAGCTGTTTTCTTTAAAATTCACCTATATCGCCGTTGTTAGAGCATGTATTTGTGGTTGTTTACAATCATAGCTTCATTAGTTTGCATGGCCAAATAAACTAACATGGCAGAGAAGCATCAAAATATAAGAGGACACACATAGGATAGCCAAACTACAAAAACAACTAAAATATACAAATAGGCCATGTAAAAATGTTTCTATTTTTACATATACTGTTTCAATATGGTCCTTTGATTGTTTATTTTTTAGATTCAAAGTAGTTCCAAACATTTTACTGAATAACATACTGGAAAGTAGACACATGGTAATATCATATAAATTTCTTATTTTTCAGGGTCAAAGTACTTTACAGAATTAACGATCTGACTGCAGTAGATTATTCTCTGAAATTATCAAGAGAATTATATTCCATCTGCATCTTGGAAGGACTAAGGCCAGACAATGAATAAACTTTGAGAAACATTGTCCAAGCCTCTAGGGATGTCACAGTTTCCAGATATTGTCCGGTCTCGGGACGGGACAACCCCCGTGTACCGAAGGTTTCGGTCCATGTTCAGAACGCAACAAATAAGTGATAGTACTTCGTACTTCTTGGAACTGTGAAGGGCAAACAAAGTAAAAGTTGGAGGTCATTGGTTCAATTTGGCAAGCTAAAACATTTTTGAAGCAAAAAATTGGAGAACATTAGAAAATGAAATAAGCAATGAGCAAAAGTAAGACATTTACGTCAAAACGAGATAAGAATTGTGATTTTTTGCAGATTTTATATTTTTTAAAAACATTGATGTTTTGTTTCAGACATCGATGCTTCATCAGAATCGGTTTTTAGCAATGTATATCACGATGTATCGATTAATCGCGACAACACTAATCGATAGCACTGTTTCCCTTTGAAATATGCTTTAATTTAAACAATAACACAAGAACTTCATAGGCGAGAAAGGTAACAAATTAAAATAAATCTCAGATAACAAGTTTTTGCGCAACATGCGCAGCCCTCTTATGACAATCAAAAGATCCACGATGCATAAGTATAACCGGAAGTAGATGGAAAATGTAAGTTATTGAACTGTTTTAAACTCATTAAGGTGACATTTAAGTTAATCAAAAGTACAAAAACATGGGAGCCATATTTTTTTGATAAAGTCAGAAGATTTTGTACACTGTTTTCCTTGTATGTGAATGCATTTCCTGACTAAAGAGACACATAAAAGAAAACCTCACATTTAAACGCATTTTTCATAACTATGAATTGGAGGTGTATGGCTCCCAAAAGCTAGCATGAAGAGTGCGAAGTGAGGCTATTTTTTGAAAGTTTCAAGGAGTAGCCTTGCAACAGTCACACATTTGCAAGAATTCAAAACTTCCAGATATAGTCTTACCTTACCAAGGAACAACGAAGGAGCACGAAAATGTGTACTTCTTGCATTGTTAAAGTATAATAAAGCTCAAACCATTGTGAATTCTAAATATTTCATGTCCACCATTTTGTTTCCTGGAACTATTTTTTAGTCCAGAGTTATCTTCATTCATGTTTCCATTGTTTATCATTCATAAAGCCTCTATCATGTATCTATCATGATAATTACACTGTAATAGATAAAACATACAAGTGATAATCCATGCCACTTGGTGTAGTCACAAAACTTTCATGAGGATTAATCAGGAAGTCTAGAAGTAGTTCCGGCAAACAAAATGTAGACATGAAATATTTAGAATTTACAATGGTTTGAGCTTTATTATACTCTAACAATGCAAGAAGTGCACATTTTCATGCTCCTTCGTTGTTCCTGGGAAAGGTAAGATGATTTGTGGAAATTTTAGACTCTTGCAAATGTGTGACTGTTGCAAGGCTACTCCTTGAAACTTTCAAAAATTAGCCTCACTTCGCACTCTTCATGCTAGCTTTGGGGATCCATGCACCTCCAATTCATAGTTTGGAAAAATGCGTTTATGTGTGATGTTAACTTTGACATGTTTCATTAGTCAAGATACACAATTCATATACAAGGTAAACAGATTTTAAAAACATGTGTCTATCAAAAAAATATGGCAGTCATTTTTTGTACTTTTTATTTAATATAGCGTCGCCTTAACTATTTTATTGGTTATGTCCCGTCCCGAAATGGATTATTCCCATCCTGTAATATTTTTGTCCCGTGACATCCCTACAAGCCTCCAAGAAACTCTTCCTGTTTAGTCTATGCAAGTGATAAATTTACAAAGTTCAAATGACAATGGCATAAAGCAATGAAAGACCAAAGTCTGATAGACCTTTCGTATTCAACAATCAATATTATGACGTATGAAACACAGGACAATTACTAAGCAAAATCGAGACAAACACAAATAATTTGATTTTGGATCTTCCAGAGTCAAAGACTGAATTGAAGTGAATGAGATCTGAGATGAGAATGACATTCAGAAAATATTGAACGCCAATCGTGAAATAGGCGCTCAAACTAGAGAGTGATGTTTGTATTTTGTATAGGAATTCAAAGAATTAATACTCCTTATTGGTGTGAAATAAAATCTAACCGTATATATTCAAGACCTACAAAGATATCGAAGAAAAACAACTGAAAAAATTTCTCACCACCGGAACCTGGGGTCGCCATGTTGGATTTTCGGATTTCCGAAAATTTATTAAAACCTTTAATGGAGCCGTTTTAAGTAATAGATGTCTATATGAATTACCTGGAAATAATAGAAAGATTATGCAGTATGATAATATTACCCTAGTTTGTGAGAAATAGTACCGTAACAGCTTCGGTAATGTTCGGAATTACATCCGCTACGATGTGACGTCACACGTAAACAACATGGTGGATGACAGGTAGAAAAATTTCTCTGGTTTATTTTGCAAACCGTCTCATTATTTGAAATCTGATCGGTCGATATAAAGTAGAAATATTTTGCAGATCATACAAACTTTATTTTGAAGCCTAAAGCAAGAAATTTGCAAACATGATAATACTCAGTTACCTTTGTAAAATTGCATAATTTCAAATTGCATTGATAACACAGCTGAGCTCAGCCTAGAGGAGACTTTCACAAGTTCAAACTTGTCATTGCGGGAGTGGTTGACAAAATAGGTCATTCGATCAAGCTATGTAGCATGATTTCTCCGACATAACATTTAATAGTGTATAAACCATAATTTCATTTTGCTATAACCTATAACTTCATCACTCTGAAATCAGGACCCCGTTTTTTGAAAACATTATCAATTATGACTCGTATATTAAAGATTTAGAAGATAAGAATAGCCTTCATATCGTATTGTTTTGTAACATGTCACAGAGAGCTTCCGTTTTGGTTGCATTAGCTAATTTTTTTCTTAAAAGTCGAATATGAAGGGTGTTATTGCTGTTACATTGCAGGGGTTTCATTAGAATTTCTCACAACAGGCTAAATAAATGAAAACGACAGGCGAAATTAATGGAAATCATAAGTTTAACATGGAAAAGTTGAAAGTCTCTAAAAACAACAGGCGATGTTGTGAAAACCAGTAAAAATTGCCTGCTGCTAAAGAAACCCCTGCATTGTATTTCATCTTTTTGGACTATTCTTCACATTTAGGGTCATCCCTGTATTAGGTGCATTTGTTAACTTATACGTGTACTGTGTGTCTTTATTTGTATGTATGGTCCAACCTCAGCCCCATCTAACACTGTGCGGATATTATTCATCAGCTTAGTCGTGGTTATTCTTGATGAGGTTTTATTTTATGCATTTCATTTTTTTTGTTTGAACTAGAATTTTCATATTTTGTTTTCAGACCAGAACTTTGGCCTAACCTTTAAAGGCTTTTTAACTTTTAACATATAAGTGTAAAAGTGTATACCATGCTACTCAGGCTTTAACAATACAGTAGAACATCAATGGAAATTTTAAAGAACAAAAATAAATTCAACTTAATCATCTTGGCCTCAGTTGCTTCAACATAAGAAGGGGTCTGCCAATTCATTTATCATATGTTTTGCCTATCTGGTTTCCCTGGCAAATATTTCATAACATTTCCCCAGACACGTTTCATGCAGTATTTCATTGACCATTTAGAAATCAATCATTGATGGTTGATGAGTACCCCTATACTCCATACTCGATAAAATGATATATTGACAAAAATCATCAAGTTTCGAGAAACTGAAAAATTTCAGAAGTCAAACGAATATGCAAATCGTGGTTATCACCCAATTCAAAGAAATTATGCAGACAAAAAGTTACAGTAATACTATGTTAAAATGAGAGTTTATAAAAGAAAAATGTCCAGGGTAATATCTAAACTATATTGGCATACCCAGATGATTCTATTGGCATGTAAATTATGATTTAACCTTTAAGTCATGATTCTGAGAAATTGAATGCAAAAAATAATAAAAGTAAAAGTTCTTTTTTAAAGAGAAACAGATGTAAGCACAGATATGTTTCAAATTGAAAAACATTTAAGTCCTTAAATGACTTAATATGAATGAATACATCTTTTAGATCAGATTTCAATGTTAATAAGCATAGCATCTATTTTTTACATGTGGTTCAGTGTATTTTTTATTTAATTTCAGTTGATCAAAAGTATCTCAAACCACAAGCCTATAACCACGTCACATGATGGATAACCCAGCAGAGCTGCTACTAGCGGTGACATCTTGTGAGGAAGAAGTGTTACATCTATCTAAATTACGTCAAGATCTCATCCCACCTTCTGATATTTTCCTTGACCTGGAAGGCGACGAAGATATTTTTGAAAAAGAATGGCTTCGTACTGCGGCATCTACACCAGACGATGACAATCCATTCCCTGATAAATCAGTAACTGATATTTTCTTGAACCAAAATGATTTGGATAAGTTTACGCACTATTTATTTGAGCGGCGGTTCGGCTGGTCAGAAGTTGGCATTATTTCAGCAGATGTTGGAGGGAAGAAAGTCGGGTCGGGAAAACAGAAGGAAGTTAAATATAAAACAACCCTAAATGACCTCTTGGATGACTACATAAGATGGTAAGTTTAACAAGGAGCATTTTTGAAACAGATACATCAACAAATGCTATACACAAATTTGTTTGCGAGATTACATGTTCTAATCAGCGTAATACTATGTCTATGCCTCCATGTTGTTCCATTATATAGAAACAATACAGTAAAACCTGTATGTAGTGAATACCTATGGAGCCATAAAAAGTGTTCACTGTAGGTAAGTGTTCATCACAGAGTAGGGAATTTATACAGGAGTCAATGTAAAATGTGTCTTGAAGTTGTGTTCACTAAACACAGGTCTTCACCAGTGAGAGGCGTTTATTAAGACAGTTTTTACTAGGGATGTCACGGGACAAAACTATTTTGGGACAGGAATTATCCATTTTGGGACGGACCTTCATGACGGGACGGGACATAACCAATAACATAGTTAATAAGTTTAAAACAGTTCAACAACTTTCAACAAGTTTTCCGTCTACTTCCGGGTTTGCTTAAAGTCCCCGTCTAAAGTTTGAAAATATTTTTTTATCATTCATTTACTATTTGTCATGACTTAAAAGTTATTCAAGAGATTTTTGAAAGAAAAAATTTTTTTGAAAAAAAAGTTGTGAGCATTTCATTTCTCAAATATTCAAATTTCCCGCCATTTTTCAAAAAAAGTTGAAATTTTTTAATCATCAAATATTTCTAAATGCATTTCGAAAAAGATTATCTTTTTAACACCAATGCAAAGATCTATCAAAGGACACACTATTTCAATAATAAAATGCCATATTTAATGGGCCACTTCAATGTTTTAGCATATCAAAAATATTTTGCACCATTAGTGATGTCACTAAGGTACCAAAAACTTTTTGAAAAAAATTGAAATTTTTTTTTTTCGACGTCAATCTTTTCTAATTATGCTAGACTTCAATAATATACCAATGTTGATTGTCTAACCAGGTTAAAAGGAAGAATATATTATGTTTTAGATATCATTGTACCATTGGTTTCTATGAGAACTAGAATTTTTAAATGCATTTTTCTCGGAACTATTTTCATGCACTGATAAGTTCATTTCTCGCTTATTTATGAACCGATTTTCTTAATTTTTTCGGCAAAAAACATGTGAGGATGAATGCTATGTATTGGTATGAGTTGTTGCTAATTAAAAGATATGTGTGACCTCTAAAAGTTAGTTTTAAATAAATTCACAAATTTTGGAACAAAAAGTCTATCAAAAACCACTTTTTGAAATTTAAAAAAAAAGTTTCACATATCACACTTTGATAACATAGGGTAAGACTACACTATAAGCCAAAGTGGTTTAAACTTTAGATGGGGACTTTAAAGCAGAGCGGATCTTTTGAATGTCATAAGAGGGCTGCGCATGTTGCGTAAAAACATGTACATGTAATCTGAGGTTAATTTGAAGTTGTTACCTTTCTCGCCAATGAAGTTTTATTGTTTAAATTAAGGCATATTTCAAAGGGAAACACTGTTATCGATAAAACTGCATGTTCTGTCCTGAATTTTCACTTATAATCACTTATAGTAATTATCCCACCGAACGAAGTTCGAGAGGGATATAGGAAAGCCGTCCGTCCGTCCGTCCGTTTGTCCGTCCGTCCGTCTGTTTGTCCGGGCGATAACTCAAATAACGTTTCACGGATTTGATTCAAATTTTATAGGCTTATGCCTTATGGGTGTAGGACCTCTGCTCGAGAAGGAATTTTCAATATGGCCACTGAATTCAAAATGGCCGCCATTTTTCGTAAAAAATGTAATCTTTAATAGCTCAAATACTACTTTGCGGATTTGGTTAAAATTTTATATGCTGATGCCTAGGGACACAGTAGATATGTTCGAGTAAAAATTTTCAAGATGGTGGCTAGATTTCAAAATGGCGGCCATTTTTCGTAAAAAAACTTAATCTTTGATAACTCAAATACCAGTGAACGGATTTGGTTCAAATTGTATATGGTGATGCCAAGGGACACAGTAGATCTGTTCGAGATACAATTTTCAAGATGGCCGCTGAAATTCAAAATGGCGGCCATTTTTTGTAAAAAAACATTATCTCTGGTAACTCAAATACCAGTGAACGGATTTGGTTCAAATTTTATATGCTTATGCCTAGGGACAAAGGAGCTTCGCTCAAGATGGGATTTTCGAAATGGCCACTGATTGTCAAAATGGCGGCCATTTTTCGTAAAAAATGTAATCTTTAATAGCTCAAATACTACTTTGCGGATTTGGTTAAAATTTTATATGCTGATGCCTAGGGACACAGTAGATATGTTCGAGTAAAAATTTTCAAGATGGTGGCTAGATTTCAAAATGGCGGCCATTTTTCGTAAAAAAACTTAATCTTTGATAACTCAAATACCAGTGAACGGATTTGGTTCAAATTGTATATGGTGATGCCAAGGGACACAGTAGATCTGTTCGAGATACAATTTTCAAGATGGCCGCTGAAATTCAAAATGGCGGCCATTTTTTGTAAAAAAACATTATCTCTGGTAACTCAAATACCAGTGAACGGATTTGGTTCAAATTTTATATGCTTATGCCTAGGGACAAAGGAGCTTCGCTCAAGATGGGATTTTCGAAATGGCCACTGATTGTCAAAATGGCGGCCATTTTTCGTAAAAAAAACGTAATCTTTGATAACTCAAATACCAATGAACGGATTTGGTTCAAATTTTATATGATAATGCCTAGGGACACAATAGATCTGTTCGAGAAAGAATTTTCAAGATGGCAGCCTGATATTCAAAATTGCAGCCATTTTTCATAAAAAAAGGTAATCTTTGATTACTCAAATACCAGTGAACGGATTTGGCTCAAATTTTATATGATGATGCCTAGGGACAAAGGAGATCTGTTCAAGAAAGAATTTTCAAGATGGCGGCTGAATTTCAAAATGGACGCCATTTTTCGTAAAAAAACGTAATCTTTGATAACTCAAATACCAGTGAACAGATTTGGCTCATTTTTTATATGATGATTCCTAGGGACACAGTAGATCTGTTCGAGAAAATTTTTTCAAGATGGCGGCTGAATTTCAAAATGGTAGCCATTTTTCATAAGAAAAAACGTAATCTTTGATAAGTCAAATACCAGTGAACAGATTCGGTTCAAATTTTATATGCTGATGCCTAAAAACTCAGTAGCTCTGTTTTAGAAAAAATTTTAAGATGGCGGCTGATCTTCAGAGGCTTCAGAATGGCTGCCATTTTTCATTTTCATTTTCGTAATCTTTGGTAACTCAACTGCCGTTCGGTGGGATTTGCTACTCCGTGGAGTTGCTGTTTTTCTAGTTGCCACTTGATGACATTTAGGCTTGAACGCACTCCGGCAGATAAATTGAAAAAAACAAAAGAAAATTCTAGTTTAGATCATATTTATCGTGCATTTGGGAAGTTTTAGGGGTCATATATAGGAGAAATAGTATACATATCCTGAACATGGACCGAAATCTTCGGTACAAGCGGGTTGTCCCGTCCCGTGCCGAGACCAAAGTCCAGAGTAACGGGATAATATTGGAAACCGTGACATCCCTAGTTTTTACTGTCAATTACTCATGTTACATGAATCTTTTACTTTTATTGGAAAAAATATCTATACTGTAGAATGAATTATTTAGTATCTGTTGCCATAGGGCACCTAAGAAGGTTTGCTAATATTATTTTATCTAGGCTAAGTTACATATATCGATATCTACTGTACCAGTTAAAGTAATTTTCTATTTTCTGTTCTGAAATGAAAATGGCAATAATCTTGGTTGACTTACATTTGGTTAGTAATCTTTAAAAGTTATTCAATAATTATTTATATAAAGGATCAGATAAAGTATTGATGAAAGGAAGTAATAGCAAGCTAAATCAACGCTATGACATACAATTCCGTTAAATATTATGTTTTAATAGATCTAACTTGGGAGGTTATTACGATTGTAATTTTTGTGTAGAAATAGTTGAATGGGGTATTGCATTTATTTTATCACCCCAACTTAATAAAACATGCCATTCCATTTCATTTCTTCTTAGTTACATGTTGCTAGTGAAACAGAAAGATGTGATGACTATCAGAATCTATGTATTGAAATACAGTGAACACCTACCAACACTGAATGCTTTTGTCTCGTTAAAAATGTTCAATATTATACACAGGTTTTACTTTACTGTGTTACTATTTTTTAAGCCTCATACTCAAATGCAAAGATCCTGGGATAAGAAGAAAATATTGATATTTTTCCTTTGATTCACAGTGTTCTCCCCAAAAGAAATTTTCAACTTGGTGCAAGATTTCAAGTCTGAAAAAATCAGCACTCGCTACGCTCACAATATCTCAGTGTAGGTGCTTACTTCACTCATTTTTCAAATCAGAAGTTGAAGTGGAGATTCCAACTGGGTGCCAACTGGGGGACCTTTGGTTTCAAGTAGGGGGAGCCCCCGGTAAAAGTGACATGGGGAGATCACTGATTCATATTATAAGTGGTAGATAAGTCACAAAAAGGTATCACATTCCTACTTTATGATCATAGGATGTAGTGAAAATCAATACAAATCTGTCTGCTCAATACTTATAACATCAATTTCTTTTTAAGGTTTGAATGGACTTGATAGTATTTCTGCATAATTAATATTGACTTTACAACTAAAATTTATTCTGAACCGATCCATCTATTTTAATTTTTTAATTTTTAGAACTCAAAAAACATGACCATCGCATGTCATTTTTCTGCAGGTACAACCATTATGTTCACTTCAGTAGCCTTTATTGAACTAAAAAGGAAGAATGGTTATTTCATATAATACTGGTACTTCAGATTTGCTAACTTAAGTGTCTCTATGGGGGTTTGTTTCTGGATAATATTGTAGATCAATGTTCTTGACTTTCAACTAACTTCCATGATGTAATTATAATGCAATATTGTTGAATTTTGCAAATTATAATTCGCGAATCCAAATTTTCAACAAATATGTTGATTAAAACAGAGACAATGCAAACAGTCATTTCATAGGAAAAGGCCATTAATAGAAAACTGTCCTTCTTTCGGTGACAAGCTCTAGTTGATTCTTACAACATAAACATCAGAAAGATAGATCTTGATCACGTCATACAGCAGTATAGGTTTTTTGAGTCAATGGTACTGCAAAGTACCATATTCTGTGGTGCAGTATTGTACTATAGCTCAAACGGTATGGTATATACAGTACTGTTGCTGCTTGACAGCATGTGTTTTTGATTTCATATTTTCTAAGAATGGGGTGGGGAGAGTGGATAGGGTTTGCAATAGATAGAAATTCATTGTGTAATTTCCAAAGACATGTCGATAATACCCATTATATGGAACTTTGCCAAGTATTTTATCTGAACCTTCCAAGTGAAATAGAAATAACAAATAATGAAAGACGATAGTCATCAGGGATCTAATCAATCTCTACCTGATTTATACGCAGCTCAATCGACTATGATCTGAAGGTATAATGCATTTAATAATAAAAGCATTTATCGTGTTTCTGAATTTCTACATTAAGAAGCATTACAAATACCATTAACCACTTCATATCTTGTAAAAAATAATCATTAGATATTTGTTCTTGCAGTTTCACTCAAATGATTTTGTAGTTTTTTATGTCACATCTTCAGTTATTGATAATTCTGTTTTTGTCCTGTAAAATATATGCTGTAAAATAACGTTATCTCAACATAATTTTAGTAAATAAGTGTTGGTTACTTGAATGTCAGAGTAATTGATCTAACAGAACAGGAAAGTAATCCCATCCCTTTGTTTCCAATGCAATAACAAGCTTGAAACGTTATCATTATGTTACACGTTTTAATGCCAAGTCAGTGAAATGAATATCAATATCCGTTATAAATGTGCCAATGATTTTTTTCTTTATTAAAATCAATGTAATATATTAACAGGTTATAGTGGCTTATGACCCCTAAGAGGGATTGCTTTCATTAGAGAATTTTCGTTATAAGTTGTTTCAAAAACTTATACGTATACTTATAGTTTAAAGGGTCTTGTCGAACTAAAATCAATTCAAATTGATTTTCATAATCTGTACCAAGTGGGGCATAACTATTCCCGATATAGTCAAGCTTCATCATCAACTAGGGACTGCGAATACAATGTCCTTTGCTAGTGTCAATTATGAACACGATAAACTAAATTCTAGTTGACGGGTCCTTGTAGTGTACGATAAACAAGACCCTTTAAAGTGAATCACTACACGAGCGAGTCGATCATTTCAAAGTTCTCATGAAATTATAAGGTCAATTTTTAAGTTTTTACGTATAAAAGGGCCTTTATACGCAGATTATAAACTTACAGAGTTGGATCTCCGCATAGTATATGTGTGGACCTACTGACCAGAATGGCTTATTAAAATTAATCGGCTGAATAGGCATAGTATCCAATCAAATAGCTCGACTCATTCATTAGCTGAACTAATTCTCCCTTCGTTATTTCTACAAGGTGATTCAAAACGATCAACTACAAAAAATATATTTGAGAGTAGATAAATCTGTAAAACCCGTGTGCTATATCAGCCTATTTGATTCTAGAAAACACATATGACACAACTAAACATGCTTTACATCAAGGGGGTACGGATGGTATGCCATTGGCCCTTTTTATAACCGTCCTAGGAGATATTTCCCGACGAATTAGGAAATTATGAAACACCTTGTTTATTGGGTTTATAAGTATAAGTATACGTATAAGTTTTTAAAAAACTTATAACGAAAATTCTCTATTAAGTCTAGATTTTTATATCAAATCAATGAGAAGGTATTTTAACTTTTTCTGAGCTATCAAGGCAACATTTGGCTTAACATCTTCTTTGACATACATATTTTCTTAAAATGCTTGGATAAACTACTGTAGATTGGGTTAATTTGGCGCCCGCTTTAATTTGGCGAATTTGGCAAAATTGAAAAATTCGCCAATATAAATCTTCGCCAAAATTTAGAATGAATCCCCGGGAATTATCTAGGGTATTTCGTCCAGTGTATTTAGGTCATTTCCGGTTTAGTTTTTTCCAAAAATATGAAAAAATGTCTCTCATAAATTGGCTCAGAACTGGTCCGTCACTCATTAATACTCAGGGAAAAACTAGAAAGGAAAAGCATGGTAAAGTAGCAGCATCGATCAAGGTGCAAAATGTAAAGGATGATCTCACAAAAATGTACAAACGTGGTGAATATCGCTAGTGGTCCTCAAAAGAACATAGCCAAACATGCCCATTTACATGGCAATTCGCAAACTGCGCGGCGCGTAAGTTAATTAAATTTTTTTGCATATCCGCCAAATTAAATAGCCGCCAATATGCCAAAAATGGCAAAATCGCCAAATTAAGTAGCGCCAAATTAACCCAATCTACAGTATCAATTTCAGCATTAAGAAGTGTAAATTCAGTTCAAAGCTTCAAAAAGGAGAAATCCACTTTTATATTTTTAAGATCCACCATGTTTCAAGAGGAATATCAGCTCAAATAATGTTTATCTAGGGGGTTTCTTTGTAGTTAAAAAATTAGATGCAATTCTTGATGAAATATCCAAACTTACTGGATTTTTTCCTTAGAAGTAATTGTATTGTATATTCGTTTACCAGCAATGAAGTAAGCAATATCTCAGTATGTGCAGTCATATTTTACTCAAGTAATCCTTGAAGATAGACTCGGAAACCCCTTCTTGGAGGAACCCTGTGTTCTTTTATGTGCACTCATACATTGACATACAAGCACATATCAAACCCTTTTACGAGTCGTGGACCACTCAATGGGTGATCAAAGATCATAAATTACTTAGAAATGTGTCATTCTAGCCAACCAACATATGCAAATACTCAAACATTTTCACCCACAATGTTTATTTACTATCACATTTCATTCAATATAACCAGGAAACCTATGTATTAAGGTATATTTACACATCATCTCGACTTATTGAGGTTAGAAACATTCAAGGTTAGAAAATACACTGATCCTTGCTGTTTGATTTTTGTATTTATAATTTGGTTTTGATTTACACTCAGTCTGGTCCCATTAAAACTGGTTGGGGCCTACAATGTTGAAGGTTAGAAAATATACTCATTCTCTATTTCTAAGTTTTCCTTTTCTTTTTTCTTTTATATGAGCCTCAATTATATTTATTATTATTTAAATTATTAGCCTGTGATTGAATTAAATATATGATATAATTTGCAGCCAGCTACCTGTATAGCCCATCTGACCAAGTTCTGTCTTGTACTAGAAGGCCTCCGATATACAATCTTAGGCTTTATAGTCATGTATATATATTTAATGTCATGCTTTATAGGTACCTATGTCAAACCATGTGCTCTCCTATACTAGAAGGCCTCAGATATACCATCTTAGACTCTATAGTCAGATTTGTATATTAAATGTCTTTTATCTTAGACTCTATAGTCAGATATATATTTTAATTGTCTCTTGTTTTAGGTACCTATGTCAAACCATGTGCTCACCTATACTAGAAGGCCTCAGATATACCATCTTAGACTCTATAGTCAGATATATATTTTAATTGTCTCTTGTTTTAGGTACCTATGTCAGACCATGTGCTCACCCATACTAGAAGGCCTCAGATATACCATCCTCCAAGCAGCCCAGAAACCCGTGGTTCGCAACCAATGCATGGTACATATAATGGAATGGATCAAAATTAATGGAGAACGCCTGCAGGTAAAGTTTCCAAGCAATATTGGTGACAGAAATTAAAAATTATATTACAGTTTATATTCAAAAATTGTTGACTGATTAAAGAGGTCGACTGGGTAATCTGACTAACTTTATTTCAGTTCATTTATAATTTTTATATGGTTAAGAATATACTATGAAAATTCTTCACGACCCATCAACCAATCAAAATTGACCAAAATGAAGGTATTGACAATTTCTTTTTAGTAAACACTATATTCAAAGTATATACCCAGAAGACATGGGAAATTAAGACTCCAAAGTTCAGAGAGGAACTTGAACCCAATGTTTGGTGAAAGTGGATCTTCATGACTTCTGGTCCTGAGCTTAAGTCCTGCTAAGATGTAGAATTTAATTCTCTTTCAAATCAAATGTCTATAATTTCACTGTACATTATGTGTAAAACATTTATTTTGTACTGAATGTATTTTTTCAAAATAAATCAGTTGTTTGCTTTTTTTAAAGGTACAGGATTTTACACTTATCAAGGGACTGATTCTGATAGGTGTCACGGATATATGGTCCGCAATCAGAAACGCAACAATATCAAGACTTGGTCCAATCGTGGAATATTTCAGTCTGTTACAGCTGGAGGAGTTCTTCACTGATCTTGTGAAGGTATGTAATGTTTGCATCTGGTTATTATATTTGAACTCAGAGGAGCACACCAATGCCAAAGTCTTATTGTCAAAGCCAGTTTTTTCAAGCTTATTAATTTATTTTTATCAATGAACTTTTTTTAAACATTTATTTCATAATAGGAAAGTTTACACTTGTAATGTAAAAAGAATTTGGTTTTATTTTATTTTAGATATGTCAAAATGATGCAAGTAATTGGCAATCAAAGGAAGGTGCTGTTATGGGTAAGTTATGGTTTTTATAATGGTACCTCCCAATGTATTTAAAATTATGAATTAATTATAAAAAACGTAAAAAGTCCATCAATATAAAAGTAGACTAAATCTGTTTAGATATATCTTGCCAATTTGATTTTTTGGCTAGACTCAACTAATGGGGTAATTGTCCAAAAATGGCAGAGCACTCAGCTTCAAAGCAAATAAAATGGTGAGACTGTTGAAAATTAATAGTGAGGAGTGTAGAATGGGTCAATATATGTTAAAGGAGTTATAAGTCACCATGAGTGCATTAGCATCTGTAATCACTTGATGCATGAATGGAAGAGAGCAATACCGTTTGAGTATGGTGTATGGTGCCATGCAGTGTTCATGATACTGTACAGTACTCACACTACCCTACCACGTGACCACGTTTAAAAGGGAAACAGGGTACAGCTAAGTTGCAAATGGAGGACGTGGGTTTAATTCCATATTTCTGAACGTAAAATACCTTTTACATTTATTTCTAGTGTTCTACCAGACATAGAATTGATTCATCGAGCAGTTTGTAGAATATTGTTGGCAAAAAACCACTATAGGCAAAGATAGATAATAGTGGGCGCAGTGAAGCAAAACTCAATGCAATACACGATACATTTCAGTAAATCTGTCAACGTACAGGGAGCATGTAAGTTTCCCTTCGAAAATGTTACATTGATATGTAACAAAACCCCAGTAAATTGTTATTTAAACTGCGTGTCATCGTGTTATATGTGGATACGTTTTCCAGTATGTTATTCAACCGTACTTTTGTGAATTAATTGTTTTTCTATAATCTTAAGATGCAAAAAAGTCGTCCCAGAAATGTATCTTTACTTTGCCGTAAGGCATAACATATTGTGAAACATTTTTCCTCTTGTCACAAGGAGGATAATGTTTGTTTCGAGGTGTCTTGTGATGAGCGTTTCATGATTAAATGCAAAATCACTGGAGCAGATACCATCCAAAACATCTGACATTCAACACGTCATATAAGACTACATCGATCTGGTATTAGTTTTTTTACAAAAATAGAGAAATACGACGTCATATCACCTCTACAGCAAATCGTGAAGAACAAAATGTCGTGGCATGATGGTATTTTGAACAAACTATTTTAAATGATCGGTTTTTAGAACGGTAGTGAATTAGACCAATCAAGGGGTTATATAGAAAGATTCTTTACATGTAGTTCACGCAATTTTAATTATTCTGAATAGCGGATAGTCATTAATCCTGATAGCCGATAGTCATTTATCACTTACGTGTTCATATTTAATTTCGTTATTTTATTTCAATCTGATACCCTAGTAACACGTATAATCTAGCGTTCTTGTTAATTTAATGACTAAAATGCATATACGACCTGAAAGCCCGTGTCTAAATCTACTAAATAATGTTTACTTTATTTGGATTAAATAACAATTGATGACACCTCAAAGCATCAACAGGCGGCCTTTTTAGCATTATTTTCACTGTAGTTTGTCTGTATAATCAGCTTACTTTCTCGCTCCCTGTACTATTGAACAATTTACATTCCTTGTACCCTGTATTGATCAACTTTTGCAGCTGCGTACCGTGTACTATGACATATCAAATATTTTAAAATTTAAAACGATATTATTTACATTCTTTCTTCAACTATCATATAACTTGGAACATGGACTTCACTATTGCACCACTGAAGTTCAGCGAATAGCAATATTGACTCACTCAAAGCACCAAACGTATTAACCTTTTCACTAAGCAGTCGATATACTCAGAAGCGACCTGATTGAAAGCCAAAAAATTCGCGCATGCACTACCTAGGTAGGGTAGTGTGAGTACTGTTATTATGTCACCACCAAAAGTGGTGACATATTGTTATGGTCTCCGTTTTTTTTTATTATGTCACCACCAAAAGTGGTGACATATTGTTATGGTCTCCGTTTTTTTTTATTATGTCACCACCAAAAGTGGTGACATATTGTTATGGTCTCCGTTTTTTTATGTCACCACCAAAAGTGGTGACATATTGTTATGGTCTCCGTTTTTTTGCGACGGCGGTTGGTGGTTGGAGGTTGGCGTCCGGCGTCTGTAACAATTTCTTACAACTTCCTATAACTTAACAAATACTGTTTAGATTGACTTCAATTTTTTTCTAAACCATCTACATGTTCTCAGAAGTTCAAATCTGACTTTAGATTTGACATTTGACCTTCAATGACCTTCTCAAGGTCAAAAAGGTATTTTTTCAACTTGCTTCACATTGACTAAATTTTTTTTCAAAATCATCTACATGTTCTCAGAAATTCAAATCTGACTTTAGATTTGACTTTAGATTTGACATTTGACCTTCAAATCTGACTTTAGATTTGACATTTGACCTTCAATGACCTTCTCAAGGTCAAAAAAGGTCAAAAAGGTCTGTTTTCAACTTGCTTCAAATTGACTAAATTTTTTTTTTAAATCATCTACGGGTTCTCAGAAATTCAAATCTGACTTAAGATTTGACTTAAGATTTGACCTTCAATGACCTTCTCAAGGTCAAAAAAGGTCAAAAAGGTCTGTTTTCAACTTGCTTCAAATTGACTAAAAAAATTTTTCAAAATCATCTACGTGTTCTCAGAAATTCAAATCTGACTTTAGGTTTGACTTAAGATTTGACATTTGACCTTCAATGACCTTCTCAAAGTCAAAAAAGGTCAAAAAGGTCTTTTTTTCAACTTGCTTCAAATTGACTAAATTTTTTTTTCAAAATCATCTACATGTTCTCAGAAATTCAAATCTGACTTTAGATTTGACATTTGACCTTCAATTACCTTCTCAATGTCAAAAAAGGTCAAAAAGGTATTTTTTCATCTTGCTTCAAATTGACTAATTTTTTTTTTCAAAATCATCTACATGTTCTCAGAAATTCAAATATGACTTTAGATTTGACTTTAGATTTGACATTTGACCTTCAATTACCTTCTCAAGGTCAAAAAAGGTCAAAAAGGTCTTTTTACAACTTGCTTCAAATTGACTAGTTTATTTTTTAAAATCATCTACATGTTCTCAGAAATTCAAATCTGACTTTAGATTTGACCTTTAATGACCTTCTCAAGGTCAAAAAAGGTCAAAAAGGTCTGTTTTCAACTTGCTTCAAATTGACCAAATTTTTTTTACAAAATCATCTACATCTTTTCAGAAGTTCAAATTTGACTTTACAAGTTCTCAGAAGTTCAAATCTGACTTTAGATTTGACCTTTGACCTTCAATGACCTTCTCAAGGTCAAAAAGGTCTTTTTTCAACTTGCTTCAAATTGACTAATTTTTTTTCAAAATCATCTACATGTTCTCAGAAGTTCAAATCTGACTTTAGATCTTGCTTTAAATTGACCAAATTGTTTTAGGTGGTGACATTTTGTCATGTTTTTATTCTACGGTACTAAATGCTGCCATATTTATGGTACAGTACAGTACCATAGCTAAAATGGCACTGAACGGTCAGGGCTTGAGCTAAAGGCTGGTCCACTGGTCATTTGCCAGGTCATAGGTCAATTTTGTTATGGACCAGTTAGAATCAGAAAATAACATGGCAACTGGTCCGTAATGTCATTTTGACTGGCTGCTCTCAGAACCTTAGCTCAACCCCTGCATACCGTGCTGTCTATTCCATTATATCTGAAGTTGTCATGAGGTCTTTGATTACTGTCTCGTGTAATGTGGTCTTCTATTTCTTCTAGGCATCAACACAGTTGTACGCAAGTTCCAGACAGTTGGAATGTTACATCAGGGAGAAACGAGTGAATATCTAGTCAAGTTTGGCAAATTGGAGCTAGCACACTTGCCAAAATTTTTAACCAATCAAATTCAAGTTGTTATTTACCCCTTATTGGCACACCCACAGCTGAGCATCAGGGAGCATGCCATAAAGGCATTTTCATCATATCTGGCAAGATGTGGACCAAAGGTAGCATTGGCAGACTCATCAGTTACACTCAATTGATTTCATTTTAATTCTCAATATTCTAGATATTTTGAAATGATCTTAGATGGAAAGAGTTTCAGTTCTGACAATACACTCAATTGATTTCATTTTAATTCTCAATATTCTAAATATTCTGAAAAATCTTAGATGGAAAGAGTGTCAGTTCTGACAATTCATTAATCAGTACATGTACATTATGTATTCATCCCTAACTTTTCAAGCAATATTCTTGATCCATTTACTCTATGATTCATACTTGGAAAAATATTCCCCAAGATTTATTATTGTATCAATTACTATGCATCATACTAACCTCCCCCTTGTCTTCAGGAGCAGCTATCATCATTCAACGATGTAATCAGGCAGCTATGTAGAGGTACAGAGGCATGTGAGGGAGGAGAGCAGGCCAAAAAAGTGAAGGTACTCCCCCATCTGGCAACACTTAGATCTGATTATGAGTTCCTAGATGCTTATACTGCAGAGGGACTTCTGGGAGTGTGTGTCTTTCTTGTGAAGGTATGTGTCAATTATTGCTACATTCCTATAAGCTTGAGCCCAATCTGTAAAACTGTATTTGAGTTATTGCCTGAAAAGTTAAATTGACAGACAGAAAGACAAATCCATTGACAGCTTCTCAATATCCCTCACAAATGTTTGGTAATCAAGGCACATCAAAGTTAGAAATAAATGTATGTGTACATGTATAACGATAATTAGATCAAGGCTGATTTAACGAACACTGCAATCATGACAGTGTTTTATTTGTTATTTAGTGACACTATTATGGTGTTGGAATCAAGGTTTTAAATATATACATCCATGTTCCTTTCCAAAAAATAAACGGTTAAAAAAATTACATGTATTTGTTTTGAATTTGTTATGATATAACAACACATGCGCCTATTTTATTGGAGGTTTTATATGTGTTATTTTCAGCACATTCCCCCAGAGCAGCTCATGAACAAAGAAAACTGGGAGAGATATTTCTCGACCTTTAACCTTTACCTAATGCACCCAGCATCTACAGTGCGACAAGCCACTAGCACTATATTCAAGTTTATAGGTGAGTTAATCATAGTTAGAAAGCGCAAGCAAAGGAATCCTTGCCATGAATATGGAGATATTTCTCTTAGATAGAATCATCAGATTTTTTTTAGCTGTATACAGATATTGGTTTCTTTACATTTTTATTATAAAAAATGAGATAATTTATTAATAATTTTTTCATGTTTATTGACTAAATACATTGTTAATTCTATTTATTTCGATTAATATTATTTTTAGTCATGATTACCATGAAATTATTTCTAGTTGCGAAGGATTGCAATAACCCAGAACTCCTCAATCTAGTCCTGAAGGAACTTTCCTCTGAATGGAAACCCAATAAATCTCTGTTAAATAAACCAATCACAACAACAACGCCACGGAGATTATCGTCTGAAGGACTCGGAGACCAGGCTGCAATTAGATCTGACAGTTTTAGTAAGAGGACACGTGGTAGCACCAAAAGAGCAGGGTCAACACTTTCTCGAAGATTAACGATTACAAAAATAAGCGCCATAGAATCTGAAGGTATGTGAACTTTCAATTCACTAACACATTAAACAAACCAAAAAGAGATAAAAACTTGATTGTAAACTCTCAGCCTAAAATTTGAACAGGAGACTAATTTAGCAGCTCATTAGTGCCTGATAGAAAGAATTTCCTATTATGCTTCACCCATATTAATAAGTAAAAATCTGAACATTTCTTAGAAATACCAGAGTACTATAATAATGTGTATTTAAGGATTTTTTTCATTTCCAAAAAAACTTTTTTTAAAATCTGCATTATACTAATGGCCTTTGACATTTCAGATAAATCTGTATCAGACACTTGGGAATGGAGAGAAGGAAGATTGTTTGCTTATGAGCTGATAGTAAAATTCCTAATAAAGAACCATTTGTTCCATACATTTGGACCATCAGATAAGCCAGGAGGCCACACCAGGGTGTTTGGTACTACGTCAGTGGATGAGAGCCAAATGCTCAAGTAAGTTCTGAAATTTTGCAGAGTTTGAGGCTTGTTAAACAAGCCTCTAATTCTTCGATATTCATTTATGTACTAACCATATAATATATTACAGTACTTACAGAAACATAGACAAAGTGAATATAACACATAACTTTAATTATTATTTCATGAGTTGAGAAGGTAGAGGTACATGTACTTCTCAAATACATGTAGATTGATCTTGCTTATAATTGGGATTACAGCCAGCTAATGGTTATTTTCCATAGGGAGAAAACCGGAGAGATAAACTAACATTAAGTCAAGGGACTTTGAAAAGTGTTTCGACTTACGATTGTGTTTCACTTGACACATGTATATAGTATCTGGGATTAACATACTAACCTTTATAGGGTTATCATCCCAGCAAGTACCAACATCAACAAACTCGATAACAAGGAAAGTCATATTAATTTTTTCTTCATTTTGCCCTTTTTGACTATAAAGGAAGGGAGAAGGAGCCATTCAGAAGACACACAGCTATGGTGGTACTGCACAAACACGGATGTAGGTCTTAATCATCATGTGTCCATAGGGAGTTATTATGGTCATGTTTTGAAATGCAAAATAGAAAAACAATTGTGAAATTACCAGGGAGTCAAGTACATGGTGTCCACTGTAAAAGCATCCCCGCCTAAGGTCATATATCCAGATATGCCAAGAGTGTTTATATAGTGGACACCTTGTATATAGAAATAAGTTAATGCTCTTTATTGTAGAGAAGTACAAGAACATTAAATATTTCATTCTAATAAAGAATAACAAACATAGAAATAGAAATTAAATTGCATTGAATAGACATGGCCTGAGTAACATTTTAGTATGCACACTAGCGTTGTCTTATAATATGGTGTTGTGTCTCAAAATTGTACATTGTTGTGTCATGTTATGTACAGTAGATTATTGTGTCATGCCAAATGTGTCATATCAAACTGAGTGGTGTGTCATATTTATCGCTAATAAATAAAATTGAAAAAAGAAATTTTTAATTAAATTTCGGCATTTTATGTTTGTAGATTTTAGCTTTTTGTGATGTTTTTCACATTTTTTTAGATTTAGTAAAAGCACTTTTTTGATGTTAATCATATGTCATACTGTAGATTGAGTTAACATGGCGCTACTTAATTTGTCGTTGTTGCCATTTTTGCATATGTGCGGGTATTTAATTTGGCAGACACTAAGGATTGGATATTGCTCCGATGCCATAACTTCCATATACACTGAAACGAAATACAAATTGTTACATCTGTTCATTCAATATCCTAGATACGAGTAGAAATAATCTTGATTACGTCATTAAAAATTCAGTCAAACTGATGTCATATTTGGAATCTACATGTAAAATTACATCTAGAAATGTGGTTTTGAAAAGAGTTTATCAACTTTGAAAATTTAATTTTCTTTGAAAATGTGACTTCTAGGTCGGGGAGATTCCCCATAGACCCCATGTTGTAAATCCACAAAATGTGAAATATCTTTTCTTTTGTTGGGCAGATAATATTTTCTTTTACTGGACATATTTTAATTTGTATAACTATCACATACATAAGGGTAATATAAAAAGTGAACCACTAAAACTGATGAATATTCAGGTTTAAGGGAATTTTGTAATACCCTGCCATGTTATTTCCCCCGAATCAGCCACCTGTTGGCGAAACTGGTAACTACCTACTCGCATCTGAGTAATTCAACTACTATATAGCTAGTAATGCTCAATCATATTAATGTTCATTCAGTTTATCTTTTCAGATAAAAACAATACCGAAAATGACTTAAAATAGTCCCTGATCTGGACCCTCTGAAAAAAAGTTTTGTTGTCCGGTAGTTTCCCACATAAAATGATTGTACCGTTTGAAAGAACAGACTTCCCTCTTAAAGAAAACACCTCTTCTATTGATGTAAACAGGGGCAAAAGGCACCAAAACGGGGTTAGACAAGGTGGCATTCTGAAGTCTCACTTTCTTGTCATCACGATTCCAGGTAAACCATCAGACGGATTTACTTCAAATTTTCACACATGTTACATGGTAAGAAGTTCTAGAGCTGATTAACTTTGCGGTGGCCATCTTGCATTCTGGCGGCCATCTTGGAATTTTTTTCAGATAAATATTGTCATCGCGATTCCACAAAAACCACATAACAGATGTACTTTAAATGTTCACACATGTTACATGGTAAAAAGTCCTAGACCTCATTATTTTTTCGGTGGCCATCTTGCATTCTGGCAGCCATCTTGAAAGTTTTAAGATAAATCTTGTCATCACGATTTCAGGAAATCCAAACGGATTTACTTCAAATTTCCACACATGTTACATGGTAAGAAAATATAGAGGTGAATAACTTTTCGGCAGCCATCTTGCATTCTGGTGGCCATCTTGGATATTTTGGGATAGATCTTGTCATCGTGATTCCAGGAAAACAACCTAACAGATTAACTTCAAATGTTCACACATGTTACATGGTATGAAGTTCTAGAGCTGATTAACTTTTCAGTGGCCATCTTGCATTCTGGCAGCCATTTTGGAAGGTTTATAGATAAATTTTGTAATCACGATTCCAGAAAAACCACTTCACAGTTATACTTCGAATTTTCACACATGTTACATGGTATGAAGTTCTAGAGCTGACTAACTTTTCGGTGGCCATGTTGCATTCCGTCAGCCATCTTGGAAGTTTTTAGATAAATCTTGTCATCACGATTCCATGAAAATCCCCGTATGGTAAGAAGTTATAGAGCTGATTAACTTTCCGATAGCCATCTTGCACTCTGGCGGCCATCTTGGAAGTTTGTAGATAAATCTTGTCATCACGATTCCAGAAAAACCACTTTACAGATTTGCTTCAAATTTTCACACTTTATACATTACATTCACAATGGTCCCTTCCTGGTACATTTTTTTAGGTTTTATGACTGTTAAATTCTATAGTCTAGTTAACACCACTTTATAAACAGGTTTATTATTACTGGTGTAACTAACACAACGAAAAAAATATAATTAATTTATTTGATTTTATATAACATGAAATTATTTTTTCTTTTCGATAAAATATTGCTTATTAGAAATATATTTAGTTGAAAAATTAGATTAAACAATCAGTTCTTCTATCACAAAGTTTATTTTGGTTCAGTAGATTTTTCTATACATTATTTTTATGTCACCACCACTAGTGATTGGGTGACATATTGTAATAGCTTCGAACGTTATCTTGACACTGTTCACTAGTAAATGTGTACAGTATACTTAACAAGGTGTGGTGACATTTTGCATGTTTCTGCATCGTCACTACTATTGAAAGCTTATGTTGATATTGTAGCAGTGTTTTTTAAGTTCTTTTTGTTGGTACACTTAGTTTCCAAACCCTATACTTAAATCGATCTGACACACAGTTTTAGTGCAGGTTTAAGTGATTTTTGTTGATTATTAAACGCAAAGAGCACATGTGTCTCGAACTCGCAACATTGTGGATACAGAGCCCATTTCACATAGTTTGACATGCTGCTGCTCTGAACCAGCTCGTTAGTTAATATCTGACTAAGAGACAGCTTGCTTTCCCGATGAAGAAACATTATATGCAGCTTTTATGAGTACTATAGTATCTACAACTATTTTTGATCTTATGAGTATTGGATATCATTATTTTCAATTTTTCTTCAACATGTATTTTAATGACTTCAGTATGAATGGAATGTCCCTCGGAGTTGTGGTCGTTGATGAGGAATTGGTCATTGAACGGTGTGGATGCTGTTTATTCCCATATTAGATTATTGTCTTGGGATATTCAGGTTTGATTTTTGTTTGCCAGTTTTACACTTTACAGTTTGCTTTTCCCACTAGGTTGCTTTACACTTTTTTCCTTTCTCATTTGTCATTTTTGTTTATATTTAGTAAGGATATGATACGCAGGTCTCTCCTTCTGTGTGATCACCTGTCCAGAAGATAATTCAACTGCATGAACGACATTTCGTTGACATGATGCACAGTGAAAGGTTTTCCACACATTTACATTTTCGTTTAAAAGAGCTTTAATTCCGTTATATACTCAGATCAAGGCCAATTTAGCATACATTTCGCTCTCAAAAATCGCTGTGCAATAATGGATTTCAAAGAAATGTTTGACGTTTTCAATAATCTTTTTCTTTTTGATGAAATGTAGTTATTTATTCTAAAATCAATCGATGTCATACACAAAATGCATTTAAGTGGTATAAAGTACAGAAGCAGAGTAAAAATATGTATTTTAGAATATCACCATGTGTAACCCCATTGTAGCGCCTCTTGCCCATGTTTCTATCAATATAAAGCATGTCAAATTATGTGGTTTAAAATACAGAAAAATAGATAACATTCTCCTTAGAATACCACCTTGTGTAACCCCACTTTACTGCCTTTTGCCCCTGTTTATATCAATATAAAAGGTAGCATGTAACCTTCCTTGTAACATGTGTAAAAGTTTCAAGAATATCAGTAAAGTGGTTTTCCTGGAATCACAATGACAAGATTTATCCAAAAAAACTTCCAAGATGGCCGCCAGAATGCAAGATGGCCACCGAAAGGTTAATTAGCTCTAAAACTTCTTACCATGTAATATGTGTGAAAATTTGAAGTAAATCCGTTTGGTTTTCCTGAAATCGTGATGACAAGATTTATCTTTAAACTTCCAAGATGGCTGCCAGAATGCAAGATGGCCACTGAAAAAATAATGAGGTCTAGAATTTTTTACCATGTTACATGTGTGAACATTTGAAGTACATCTGTTATGTGGTTTTTGTGGAATCGCGATGACAATATTTATCTGAAAAAAATTCCAAGATGGCCGCCAGAATGCAAGATGGCCGCCGCAAAGTTAATCAGCTCTAGAACTTCTTACCATGTAACATGTGTGAAAATTTGAAGTAAATCCGTCTAATGGTTTACCTGGAATCGTGATGACAAGAAAGTGAGACTTCAGAATGCCACCTTGTCTAACCCCGTTTTGGTGCCTTTTGCCCCTGTTTACATCAATAGAAGAGGTGTTTTCTTTAAGAGGGAAGTCTGTTCTTTCAAACGGTACAATCATTTTATGTGGGAAACTACCGGACAACAAAACCCCTTTTCTAGAGCCCTTTTGGAAATCAGATCGGGGACTAAAATACATTGGATGAAGTTCCCTGGAAAATTCCCAAGGATCCTTTCTAGATTTTAGTGAAGACTTTAATTTGTGTTTCTTTCTATTTCACCAAATTCGCTAAATTAAAGAGGGTGCCAAATTAACCCAATCTACAGTAATATATCTTTGCAATTGTTCATATTCTGTGAATTCAGCCATGCATATAATAAGTGTATACTGCAACAGTCTTATTGTAGCATAGTCTCAATATTGTACTATCTTCAAAGAATGAAAAGGGATGGTTTTTGATGATTTTTGCAATACATCATTCAATTTTTTAGTAATAATGGGTTCTTATTTCATCACAGTGTAACACCATACTCGGGGCTCTCACTAGGCTTTTAGACTGTGGAGCAGCTCCATATAGTGCTTATAAATTAGCTAAATACATTTCCCCAACCATTGTGGGCTTCACCATAAGATTTCTAATTTATTTGTCATAATATTTTATGGACCACTTTACATGTTAATTTCCTGAACTAGTGGACTTGAACCCTCTATTATATATTTGAGGAATAAAGACTGAGATTTTATGATTTATGGCGTGATATATGACCGAAAAATTTATTCTGTTCATTGTTAAAAGACCGAAATGGCGTTGCGATTGAGGTCTTTGTCAGTGGCCAGAATAAAATTTGAGGTCATACATAAATCATGAAATCGAGGTCTTTGTTACGATTCTAATATGATAAACAGACAGGAAAAACAAATATTTGCATTTATGAATTTTAGTGTCATACATACTCCAATATAGACCAGTAAATCAATTGTTCTAGCTATTGTGACATCATTTATCATATTATATTAGTACATATTTTTATTATTCATATTCAGGGAGATGGGTCAGGCCCATGACACCATAATGAAGACCCAGAGTTACGGGGGAGTGAGCTTACAAAAGGCTATTACAACAACTGTTCGAGACAAAGATCAACATCATAAAGGACACAATAGGAAAAAGTCCATGGTATGTGTATATTTCATATTCATTTTGGTAATATTTTTCGCTAATGTATATGAAAATTCAAATTGTAATCATGCTCCATTCTTTGCTTGGCATTTCATACTATTTTTGGATCAATTTGTTTTATAATTGAACTGTATTATTCATGTATTTGTACATATGTTAAAAGTTAAATTGAATAAAATAAAAAAAAATAAAATAGATAAAAATTTGTTAAAACATGCTTTGATATACAACCATCTCTTCTATTTACCATCTGATGATGAAAAAAGTGAGTTTCCAATGTTTTGTTAGTATAAGAATGTTATACTTTGTTATGCATAAATATATATATATGTGAATACATGTATATGGATAAACCCGATATCCAAAACCTGGGATAAAATAATTTCTATATTTTAGGATGAAGTGAAGGAAGAAGTAATATGTTCTAAAACACCTCCACAAAGGACAACCATCTCAATGGTAAGTACTTGTACTTTTTAACCCAAAGCTGGATTCCTAGGAGTTCAGCAATATATAGGTGTTTGTAATTAAGAAATATGACTGAAGTGCGGGTATTATATCGACAAATGAATACTGCAGAGCTAGGCACAAACATTTTCTGTACTCCAAGCAATTGAAGGAAGTGGGGGTTTGAAAGCTTTTGTGCCTAGCCTTAAGGTATTCATTCAGTCGATATAATACCTGATTTGAGGTCTATATTACGATTTGAACATGACATGAAAACTCACCAAAATTTTGCAAAATTGTCACTTGTCCTGCTTCAGGTTTAGCATTTTGCACTGAATGAAATACTTAGTACAGACCAGGTATTGTATTGACGAATAAATACCGGATGAAATATTGACTTTGTTCAGTTTATAGGAGGCGTGAATAGAGTCATGTTTGAATGTGTTATATTTGTTTTATACATGTACAAATGAATAATATCAACTTCTGTGTTCCTAAATTTTTAATATATTTAATTTTCAATTCTTTCTGAAAATGATCTAGATGTTATTTTTAAATATTTAGATCATAATCCTTGTTTTGCCTTTCACAATGTTACTGTTTTGTGATGACACAATGGAAAAGACTGCTTTTTTTAAGCATCAACTCTTCAATAAAAAATGCATGTTTTGAAACCTATTTTATTGGTCTATCAAAATAACAATGTTTTCCCAATAAGTGAATGCTCTATGTTTATGCCCAATTTAAATATATGTATAATGCACTATACTGTAATTTCAAAATGTTGTTATTATGCAAGTATTATAATTTTGATGCAGTGGTATACATGTTCAAGTGAGCTGGTGTGATCATTATTGCATATGTATTGTCCATCATGTATAAGTATGTTCATATTTCATATTTGTCCATGTATGTAGCTTGCCAGAATAAAAAAGAAGGTACACAAGAAGTTGGTTTTTTTACAAAATTATCTCACTTTTTCACTTTTTCAATTCCTTCATTACAGTGTCACCTGGTACAACTTTTATTACCAGTCATTTATAGTACTGTATATAAAAAGTAGATACTTTCTTTTCACAAGAAAATGGGTTCTTTATACCATAGACCCTTATCACAAAAAGCTTGAATTCTAGAATATAATTTAAACCATTTTTATCGCACTTTGAAAAAGTGCTATATTGCCGTCGTCTTGTGCTGTTGGGCGGGCGTGCGGGCGGGTGTGCGGGCGTGCGGGCGGGCGGGACATAAACCAAATCTTGTCATCAAATTTCCAGGATAACTGCTTACCTGTTCAACTTGAAATTTTTACAGATGCAAGAGCAGACTAGTACCAAGATCTGATTAGGTTAAGGGCATGCTGGGTAAGCTACGTGGCGGCCATTTTGAATTTTTCAACAATTCTTGTCATCAAAATTCCAGGAAAACCACTTATCCGTTCAACTTGAAATTTTTACAGATGCAAGAGCAGACTATTGCCAAGATCTGATTAGGTTTTGGGTATGCTGGCTGAATTACATGGTGGCCATTTTGAATTTTTCAATTTGGCGGCCATTTTGAATTTTTCAACTTGCTCCAAATTGACCAAATTTTTTTTTTAAAAACATCTACAAGTTCTCAGAAGTTCAAATCTGACCTTAGATTTCAGATTTGACCTTTCATTCACCTTCAGTGACCTTGAAAAGGTCAAAAAAGTTGATTTTCTAAATTGATATTTTGGATTTAAATTTAGGTCAGCTTAATTACAAAACACCTACTGAGGTCTGAAAAAGTTAAATTTTCAAGGTCGAAGGTCATCAAATTAGGTCACAAACGATGTTATCTAAATTTTCCCAAAGTTCCAGACTACAAATAAATTCTTGTCATCAAAATTGCAGGGAAACCGCTAACCTTGTCAACTTGAAATGTTTACAGATGCAAGAGCAGACTAGTGCCAAGGTCTGATTAGGTTTTGGCCATGCTGGGTAAATTGCATGGTGGCCACTTTGCTCTTCAAAGTGCGATATTTATCACTTTGTGTCTTGTTAATACTTGTATATCTAGATTCCCATCATTATTATCAATCACCATGTAGCTTCATTCCAAATACAGTATATGTAACCCCCCCCCCCCTACTTCCTAAACCTCCCATTTGATATGTTTATTATAGCTGATGGAGCTGTCACATTAGGCCATGTGGGATCACCATTCAGCACCATGTGAATACTTTAATGGAAATGGTGGGGCATAGCATGGGCACATGGTGGGCACTACAAATAGTTTTATAGCAAGATATCCCCTTCACACCAAATGCAAAAAAATAATTAAAAGATTAATGCCCAAAATTATTCACACATTAGCGAATGATGAGCCTACATGACTAGTGTGACAGCTACTTAACAGGGCCTTATCCTGCATTGTGGATGCACACTGCTTTTTATATGTCCTTTTAAGGTCTGTACAAATTACCATTAACATTTTAGGGGGTCATAAAATGAATTTTCTTAAAATTAAGAATTTTTTTTATCTATAGTTCTTTCACAATGATGTCATTATATCCATAGTTACAACAATATATATGTATAATATATATATATGATATATGAGTTCTTACCGTTATGATGTACATGTATCTGATAGTGTCCCCCTGTTTAATATAAATGCTTTTTAGCACCTTAATTTGTACAGGGCTTGAATGTTAAACAGTAAACACTGTGCATAAGCTTTAAATTGATATGATTTTTGTAGCGATCACGCAGATATCGTTATTCTGTGACAGGTCAGATTAATTATAATGAACTGACACTGCTGAGACGCCAGGTATCCGTATCTTCTTGCCCTTTGTTTAGCACATCATCGTCATTTACAACCTGTTGTATAGTGGGAGTACAGCATTGTCAAGGGGTGGGGTTTGGAGCAGAGAATATGCATTGATGTATTCTATTGAAATTCTATGTAGATGAGAATGAGGGGAGGGCATATAGAACATTATCATATACTTTTCATGCAACATAAAAGTTGGTCTGTAACAAATTCTTACAACTTCCAATAACTTAACAAATACTGTTTAGACTGACTTCAATCTGACTAAAAATCATCTACATGCGTTCAGAATTTCAAATCTGACTATTTGACATTCAATGACCATCTCAGGGTCAAAAAAGGTCTTTTTTCAACTTGCTTCAAATTGACAAATTTATTTTTTCAAAATCATCTACAAGTTCTCAGAAATTCAAATCTGAGTTAAGATTGAACTCATAATATTGTTAGCCACTAGGTGGTGACATTTTGTCATGTTAATGCCTTGTTTCATCTGAATCTCATCTTTTGGCTCTGCTGTATACTCCTACATATAGTAGGTTGATTTACATATATGCATGTCTTCGCTACATTGTGTTCCCAGTAAATGTCTTATGCTTTCCTCTTAAACATTTGAACATAAGCATATGAACTTCATCAAGCAATTAAACAAACTTCCATGTATACTAAGTCAGAATGAATATGTTAATGCTGAATATATCAGAATACATGGACTGTATCAATTTGCTATTTTACCCAAATATTTTAAGAAAATTTAAAGAAAACTTCCCTACTGATTTCCTTGGGATTGAGATGGCAATTTGATATGATTATTATGGTAATATAATTAAAAACTATTACTAGATATAGTACCGTAACAGTTTGCTATTCAAGCAAATATTCAAATAATCCAAATAAAAGTTTTTATTATAGATTTCCTTCAAAATAAGGTGATATTTTGATTATCATCTAGATAGTAAGGCAATGAGCAAAGCATAAGATGTATTTTACTCTGCATGGGTTTTAAATGGTATATTTTAGCTGAAATAGTAAATATATATATTGTAGCATTGTAATTATTAGATTAAGATTTATTATATTTAATTATTTATTTATTGTATGTACTTGCCGTTGTAATTCAACTTTAAACACCTCACTTGATCATTTGATTTAATAACTTGATTTTATGATCCAATCACATTGCATTGTGATCAATCAAGTTTTAAAATGATGGTTTATGATACTGACCAAAAACTTCATGCCTGGTCACATTTGATCTACGCCAAAATCGAAAGAAATATGCAGCATAAAATATATAGGAATAAGCAGTACAAAGTAGATTTTCTATATCAATTTTGTGAAACTGCGACCGCTGTAGAGCAAATGTGACTGAGTTATAATTCTACAGATATTCAAAAGAGCTAATTTTGAATAGAAGATGAAATTGTTCATTTCTATATTATTAGCATTCTTTAATTAAGGCATACTAGTTTAAGATAGCATTTATACGCCGGATTATCGTCAATGTGCATTTTTGATAATTATGGACTTCAGAGGATCATCAAATCTTTTTGAGATTATATCATTGTTTAGATTTTCATCAACATTTTTGCATGTAGTCAACTTAGAAATATGATTGTGGTTTGCTTGCTTAAATTGCTGCAAAAGTGCATATTGCATGCATCAAACAGAAGTTTAAGATGTTCAGAAATACTGAATACAAAGGTACTTGTAGAATTTTTCTGATAACTGTATGCTCCTAGAATGTAGGGGCAGGCACTGTACTTCATAAATGTATGATGTTGTATATTTTCACATAGAACTTCACCTATTCACTGTTGTTCAACATCAAGTAAGGGTATTCCAGGAACCCATCCATAAATACATATACTACTGTCTATTTTATGGATTTAATGCACTTTTTATCAGAAAGACACCCATATACTGTAGATGTTTCATTGCTGAACATTGGATGGTTTAAACCCTTTTGAGTTACGTATTATTGTGTCGGATATTCCTTGACTGGTATTTATGACAAACCCTTTATATAAAAAATTGGTAAATAGCAGTGTAGATCGGAACTCAGAACCTTGTGAATGTGACATTGGTAATTAATATGGTCAGTTCGCTAGTGTATCACTAAAATTCTTCAATTAACATATTTCTTATGATATCTTAAGTGACATGGGTTTGTTATTGCAGGCCACCAGGGAGAGCCACCATCAGGATGCGGAAACAAGGAGCCAATCAGAACGGGACCAACAGCTGAAGCAATATAGGTGAGCGATTCGCATCTTTGCATTTTGTGACTCTCTTTGAACAGAGTACATGGAGTGTTTCTGTTTTTTTTGTCTTAATGATTCAAATATGCTCTAACAGTTTGCGTTTGCCACATCAAGATTTTAGAATTGACTTGCATTCATCACCATTGCCAGATGGGATGAACTCTATAAACTCAAAGCTAAGATAAATCTGTTCGGTGGTTTTAGAGACTTGAATGTCTGACGTGAATTTGCTACATATTGTTTTTTCCTTGTTTAGAAACGTATCTAGTCACTTATTACAGGCAAAACATTTACTTGTATTAAATTGCATCATTGATTGTATTATGAAGCTCATCACTGATTTATGAATCAGATTGGTAAAAAAACATTTTAGAAATGTTTTATGGAAGTTCTTTTTAGAAATGATTTAATAAAATTAGACAAAGTTATATTCCTTTCTATTGGGTGTCCCCATTTGTGTCTGAGCCTAGATTTGATATAGTATAATGTGTTCATGGTATTTCAAACAGAGTGGTAAAAGACAAACAATGTGCATGCATTAAGTACTGTATAAAGACCCGTCCACCTCTTACCCATATTGTTGAACACCTTCCTGCCCTTTGTCTCACAACTTATTGGTTCATTTATGCATTTCATGACCACATACAATATTTATATTTAATATTTTCATTAATAATTAGACTAATTTTACATACTTATTTAGATATTGTACTTTTTTATAATTGAATCATTGTAAATTAGATCATTTAGATGTACCTTTAAAATTGTTCATGATTTTGAATAATCCATTCACTTGTGTTCCTATGAGAAGGATGGACAATTGGACATACTAAAAATCATGACATTTAAAGAGATCCTTTAAAATCCCATGAGAAAATATCACAATGTCATGTTTGAAAATGCAAAATAGAGTTGAAATGTGTGACATTGGCAAAAAATGAAATAACATGCTTGTAATTAACACTCAAAATTGTACAGAAATGAAAAAAAACTTGACACTTTATTCAAATTTTAAAGAGAATTTGTGTATCAAAAGATACAAGTGATATTTTCTAAGCATGGTTTGTGTGTTGCATGTTGATGAATAATCATGTTCATACAAACTATCATGTACCATTGTTGTTTCCCATGTAGGTCCCAAAGGTTTAAAAGGTAGTATATATCTTCAACACTATTTACTTATCAACTGAATGCTTCAAACTTTTACTTGTACAATGAACAGTCATATCCCCCTCCCCCAGTGAAGTGAACCTCCATTTTCCTTTTCCATTTTCAATCGCAAAGTAAGTGAAATAAAAGTGAGATAATAATGTATGTTCATTGCGCAAGTTGTGTTATGTAAATAGCCATGAGAATTCTATTATTTCAATTTGATTTAACCACTTATAGTATTGCTATGTTCAACCCTATATATTTTGCTGTATTTTATGTTTCACCAGATTATAAACCACTTTACTCCTATAAAGTACATTCATTTTTAATGATTTCACTTTCAAACTTGTTAATAGAGTTATGTTTAACACCTCCATTATTTTTATTTTGCTTGATAAGCATTATCTTATATTTCAACTTTGAAATTATTACTTCACAAAAACTCTAATAAAATTCTTTGTTCTACAAGGTACTGTGAGTACAGTAATTGTTTGTCCAAAGTTAAGTTTCACTATCATTTGTCAGTCTTGCCCTTTTTCAGGAAACTTTGTTTTAAAAGTTCAAGCAAAGCTCTTGGAAAATTATTCAAAATGAATTTAGTTTTGATTCAGTTGAGTGTTTCCTGGAGCTTTGCATTGAACTGTATATAATGTTCATACATGCAAAATATTAAAGTTATTCCGTGTGGTGGAAAGTATATGTTTAGATGTAGATACAGTATTTATTAAAATTAATGAATACACAGATACATGTATAATATATTGATTGGTCACTTATTTTATTCTGTGATCGTGAAATTTATATTGATCTAATTGGCCCATGTGATTTTGATCCTGTATTTTCATGCCTTGAAAAACAGACTTTCATTGGCACAATATTTCTGATCGTTTACTCAAACATAGAATAACTCCTTAGTTTCGAGAGTGACATCCACCAACCAATCAAATCACAGTGACACGATCCTTACATTGATAGTACTGCGTCAAAATCATATCTCTTTCTTTATACTATTACCACGTTAATGCCTTTCCCAATGACAGTATTTTCCTGACTTAATTTTAGGATGGCGACAGTCGGCAATTTTGGAGACACAGACCAAACAATACAGCACCTTAATAAATATACAAAGTGGCCATCGGGGACAAATCGGGCCTCTTCGCTCCTGACTGTAACGAAAATGGTGGAAACTCAAACAAATAAGGTATGAATGATTTTACAATTGATGTTCGGTTTATTTATTTTCTAGGGACCTGTCAAATTCTTTGGTGCTTTACAGAAAATTTAATGAGCACTAAAAATACTGTTATGATGAACACCAATAATTACTGATGCAGATAATATGCATTTTTTCAGAGTTCATCCAATAATATGCACAAATCTATCTGTGTGCTGTTTTTCTGTCCATATGATGTTTTTGCCATTTTGTGATTATCCACTACGAAAAGTTTTCATAATACTGTAATAATGACTATTTTAGTGAACACAAAAAATAACAAAAGATTATTTATTCTTAGGGCCCGAGTGTCTCATTCAGTGAACTTTTGAAAGATATGATGTACCAAACTATAGAATGTTTATCTGATGTCAGATGGGAGATTAGACGAATGGGTCAGCAGGTAAGGGTTGGTCCAAATATTTGCTGTTTAAGAAAAACAACATTAATTTCATTTTACAGGTACTCCTCTACCTCATAAAATAAAATGTTGATTTGACATTCACTTGAATTTTTAAAATCAACATTTTCACTAATTAAATAATTAACCCCTTTCTCCCCCATATTGTAAAAACTAGTTAATTTCCAAATTGTAGCTTACTTAGTAAAAATAGTACGCTACAAATATTCATTATGTAAAAACACTTGAACTCATAGCAAAATAGAATTTGAAATAAAAGTCAGATTGAGAGATTTTGGCATCATACGAGTATTATATCATATGGTCAATGTTAATTTGATCAGTATTTCAGAAATCTGTATGACAGGCCCTGAACAATGGCCTTTTAGCATGAATGTATTGTATAAGTTGTAACTTTTTCGATAATGTGTTGAAATTGTAGGTTTTACCACATCTGATAGAGGCAATCAGATGGTACAACATGAGTGTACTGGAGGAGCTATGGAATGAACATATCACACCAAATACTACACTGATCTGCTATGGGGCATGTCTAGCACTGAAATACTCACTATCACACGCAGCAAAGCTGAAGGGTTTACACAAAGAACCACCATCCAGTTGGCAGGTTGGTAGAATTTGGAATTCTGTTTTAAAATACAAAAATGACAAATACAAATTCAATGAGAGAAATAGTGAGCATGTGCAAGTGATTGAACCATAGATAAACAATGGAGCAAAACAAACCAGGGTGTTCATGGCCTTCTTGAAGATATTGTCTTTCATTTATGGTCATATCTTAACACTAGAGATGTCACAACTGCATTAATTCAAGTTCCTTAATTAAAACAAAGATATTTAATCGACTCTGAACTCCTGTAGTCTGTTAAGCCAATTTTAGCCAAGCATCAAATATAAGTTCTCCATTATTATGTCAATACCAGAAACATAAAAATACTTAATTTATATGTCAGTTCCTTTATTCTTGGTACCAAGACAAGTATACAGGGTGGACCAATAAAAATATGACACCCTGTATAATATGGGCATTTTTTAAAATTAATCTTTCTTATTGTAGGATGTAAAAGTTTGCAGGAAAATAATTGACACAATCACCGAGACAACGAAGAGTTACCTACCAGTCTGGATGAAGTGTGTACACACGTTGCTACAGCGACCAGTCTTTGACAAACTCTCTGTTGTTGCCATGGAAATTCTGTTGCTAGGTTATGGTAATTTCCATGAATGCCTCATTGAACAGGTGGGTCAGTGCATATAAAGAAGAAAAATAATAATATGAAAGCTCTCACATTTTCCTCATTTTATTTTAGAGGAGGTTGCTACCCAAATATGTGATAAAAATGCAGCATTTTGTGGACAAATTATGTTCCTAATTTCTCTTTGCACTTATTTCTCTTATTCTGGTCAGTGATTATTTTATTCATTCATTCATTTTCACTTTCATTCTCACTAGCAATCCAGCAAAGGAAATATTAAAGTAACATATTGTCAGCATTGTAAAAGGACTTTGTTAACTAAAGAACTAGTACTGCCTCTTTTTTATTCTTATGTATTCCTTCTGTAACAGTTTTTTGTCTAAATTCCCTTTGGCGCTTGTGCATACATATTTTAGGACTTTCTTTTGCAGTTTTGGCTGTGGTTAGAACACACACTGTATTTACATCAAAAACTTGAATATAAGCTCTAATAATGTGTCTGTTACTCCTTACCATATTGTACTTCTTCTTAATTTGGTGCTACTTATTTTGGTGGATTTGCTGTTCTGAACATTTGGCAACTACTTAATTTGGCAGACTTTCAAATATTACAATGTACTTATGGTACTAATTTACATGGTGCTAAAATTTCCAGAGAATTTAGCAGCCTAATTAGGTGAACTTAACAATTTGACCGATTCGTCAAATTAAAACAGCCGCCAAATTAAGTAGAAGTACAGTATGCACTTGTGTGTAACTGTCTGTAAATGGAAATGCTTGTCTTAATACAGGATTTTTGTATATTTCAGCGAAATATTCATGAGCCTACTATGTTGAATCATTTACGTAATGTATTCCTCAACTCAAGTTCTGAAGCATTGAATGAAGACAGCAATTTAGTCAAAGTTTTGCGTGACTTAGGTGGATGTAGACCATTTATGCCACCTGGTGAGGGTTTTCTCAGCTGTTCAACTAAAGGGGACACGTCACAATCTGCACAACAGGTATATTTAGGGCAGAAAATTATCATTCGCGCTTCAAGGCTGGAAGTCTCAATTTTCTTAGAAAATTATAATTTGAGGCTTGAGGTCTCAATTAAAGCTGAAAATTATTATTCAAGACTGAGAGTCTCATTTAAGGCAGAAAGTTATTTTTCAAGACTGAAAGTCTCCTTTCATTTAATTAGAAAATTATCATTTGGGGTTGAAAATCTTATTCAGGGGTGAAAATTCCAGCTCAGTGAGAATGTTTGTAAAAGTGGGTGCTAGAGAGAGAGATAGCTCAAAAAATGCACAGTTAGTAAAGTAATTTGATGTACTTTCCAGTATGAGAGACTATTGCTGTCTGAGACCCACTCTAGTCTACTGAGGTATCTTGAGGGGACTAACATTGCACACACTGCCTTCATGATGCCTCTACTGGTTCGTCATATCCACACATTTACAGAGGAGACACATATTTGCTCATCATTTGTTAATAGGTAGGGAATATGGAAACATTGTTCTGTTTGTTTTATGTCTGAATACATCTTGGCAAAATAAAACTAAGGCCAGGGTTCTCCACAATTTTTTTATCTCAAGTGGGTGCAAAATTCTCAATTTCACAATGCAGACAAAAATTGGACAAAATATGCCAATTTTTCATGATTTTCTCATTATCGAGTGGGGGCAAATGGATTTTCAGGTGGGTGCAAGCCTGTTTTTAAAATCTCAGCTGGGTGCTGCACCCACTTGCTTTAATGCTGGTAAGATCACTGATAAGTGTATCTGTCATTTGTTCAATAGTAGGTCCAGAATACCTCAAATTTTCATAAATTCAGATATTTTACAGGGGATCGTGAATACTTTCTTTTTGTTTCAGTGTTGAAGTGTTAGCAAATAAGGCTAATGCTTATTTAAGCTCTTCAAACAGGGAGGACAATTCTTCAAATAAGGAGGTTCATTTAGTGATGCCATACTGTATACTTGCCATACAGGAGCTTGCCAACACTCTCATAGCTTCTAAGGTAAGAGACAAACCTAAAATGTGATATTAGTTGTGTTTAAATAGTAAGAAAGTGGTAAACAATTTGATAATTTGGGTGGATGTTGGCCCTTGTTTTATTGAACTGCACTTGACCCCTGTGACATGAATGTGCAGATATTCTAAAGTAATACTTTGTTAGTTTTAAACTGTCACAAACATTTACAAAAAATCAGCATGCATATTTATTTCCAGGCTGGTGATTTGTCAATATTGAGGCAGTCTCTAGAACTCATTGGCCTCATATCTCGACACATTCCAAAGGAAAAACATCTCACACTTTTGTTCCAAGCAATAATCTCACGCTTAAAAAATGTAAGTATACATACCAATATGTATGTTGTTTATGTGTTTACACATAAAGGTGTCTCTCCTTAATTGAAATGGAAAAAACTGTTATTTACTCAACAATAAATGGTCAAACTACAGTTATATATTTATTTTATTTGGATACAGAGAGGTTGTGAACAACTAAGTACATGTATAAACAAATTCTAAAGATCAACGAAATCAAATGAATATAGCCTAATGTGTTCTTTTCCAGAGCAACGCCTGTCTAGACACTTCAAATGAAGATGATGACATTTATCTTATGTCCAATGATATCAGACCTTCTCCCATTATGATGCAGGAACTAGATTCTGATGAGGAAGTTCTTGGTGAGTAAATAGTTCATAGATAAAGTGTATTAATCTTACATTTCCATTACATCATAATTTATATAAGTAATGTGATAATCAGAGGGCGCCAGAATGCAACAAATAATTTATCAATTAATCATATTTAATATTTTTTCACTAGAGCCCCGGGTACCAGATAATATGCTGCAGGAGTCGCTGACGTTAAATGTTAGTAGCGGCAGTGGCAGTGGACCATCAGGACGTCTCAGTGCGATGACCAATAGCAGCACAGATGGACGTGTGATGTCACCAGCATCCAACTATTCAGATGCCGAATCAGATTGGGATAACTGGAGTGATGATGAAGAGGTTTGTAATCCGTCTGCTCATAGTGTTGCATTATGGGAAAAATTAAGCACAGCCAAGCTAAGATCAGTCATCAGTTTTGCTTTCCCATCATATGCCCCATACCTTTCTCCTAATCCCTTCTTTAGCTACATGGCTAGTTATGCCACAGCCATTGAAATAAATTTATTAATTAAAAAAAAATCCCTTCTTTTGTTATTGCACTTATTCAAAGTGCTATTATTGTTGTTGTCTTGTGCTGCTGGGTGAATCTTGTCTTCAAAATTCCAGGAAAACATCTCACCTGCTCAACTTTAAATTTTTACAGATGCAAGAGTAGGCTAAGTGTCAAGATCTGACTTACTAGCTTTTAGGCACACTGGGTAAATTACAGGTGGCTATTTTGAATGTGATATCACTGTGTGTCTTGTTTATTTCAGGACCAGGTGGCACTTACAGAGATATTCCATAGTTTCTTACAAACACTAACCAGCCAGTACAATGCACCAAAACAACGTCAACAATTCCAGCAAGAACTTAAACGACTCTCAGACAAAGAGAGAAAGCTGATAGAAAACCTCATAAATAATGGATCATTATGATGTCACTCATGTTTTTAAAAAAGCAGGTTAAAATTAACAAGCCTGAAGGAGATACTGTATAGTATAAAACAATGCTTGGAAGTCTGAAAAATAGGACTTCAGGCATCTCAGCAGTGTCAGCACAAACAATATGTTTGGACAATTTTAGAAAATAGTCAGAATGCCAAGTTTGTGATATAGAGTAGAAGCTGTGCAGTATGTCAAAAAGTGCTATAGTAATTTGAAATTAAACTTTAAAGTGTTCCTCTTTCAGAGGTCTTCTACTTTACAGTTTTTACTATAGTACTTTTAGACTGCACCGTTTTTTAAGCATAGCTAAAGACTGAAACATGAATTTCCTTGAAAAGAAGTTATTGATAGAGTGTTTATCGAGAGAATGCACTGGTATGTGCACAATGCATTTGTACATTTGTTGTATTCCATTTTTGAATGGAGCAAAAGTATAGAACAATGCGATCGAATGATATAATTATCAGTTTTAAATGTATTATATATAATAATTATATATTTATTCATTTTTAGAGACATATAAACATGTGTTCATATGTCAGTCTGATTAATGGAGACACAAATTTGATCTCAAAGCTGGTCGAAATAGAAACAATCTTTGCATGGATAATGTAAAATGCATGATGGAAATGAATTTTGCACGAAAATAATCATGATCAAATTTAAATTTTAACAAAGGCATGGCTTTGAAAAATTCTGTCACTATAGACTACTATGTGTTTTTTTCAATGTTAAGTAGTAACGACTAAGTAATGAGATCAAAGGGGAGGGGGGTGAGGGGCTAAACTTTTTGCAGAAATATTTTCATTTTTATATAAACAATTGCCAATGTTTGAGTATTGCCAACATTACCAGCGATTTCAAAAATCAAAAATATGGAAATAAGAAAAAAACATATAAGGTTTAAGTTGGGTGGGAAAATCATTCTTATTCCAGCTGTTTTTGAAATGAAATAATCTGGTTGGGGAAGAAGTGGGATGTCACAAGATTTTATCCCTCAGTTCACTACAAAATAAAAAAATTATTTTAATTTGATTTAATATTGTCAATCCAGTCTTTGCTATATAACAATCTGGATGGTGTTAGACATAAAACATCAGGTGACCAGACTGATCCAATCAGGATACAGAATCTCAATATTAGTGTAAATGTATGATGTCAGTGAAAATATTAATTCAAATCTGCTCAAAATTATCAATTCATGATAGTATCGTCGAAATAAAAGTACTACATACAAGCTTATGTCCTAAGTTCATTTTTCTATGCTACCTTTGTTTTACAGAATGGATTTCATGTTTGAATATGTTCATAATTTTTTTATCTGAACTTGAGAGCTTTTCCAGAATCCAAGATGGAGCTTAATTATCATATACCCTTATCACCCATTCCCTGGGCCTTTCCCCCTACTTCTGATACAATCACTAATGTAATGTACTTATGAGCTGTTTGTTAGTAAAATGAAGATGGTATTTCTAATTTTCTATGAACTTGTATTTAAACATGTTGTAGTACAGTATTATATAGTAAACATTAACATATGAAATATACATGTATTACGTAATAGAACATATCTAGTACACGGATATAAAGTTCTTGTGTAAAATGTATCAAATTTAATTATGTACTATTGCAATGTGCATGTGAAATTATATACGCCATGTATGCCGTCCATATTTTCAGGAATTAAAAATTATATAAAATATATAAAAACAAATAAACATCTTTCTCCCAATTTGTTACCTGTATATACAGTAAAACCTGTCTAATCCGAACACCCATGGGACCAGCCAAAAGCGTTCAAATTGGCAGGTGTTCAAATTTCGAGGATTTTGTTGGTCAGGGGGGGATTTTCATTGTTCAGTGCACTATATTGAACACTTAATACTAAGTCAGAAAACAATACATGTTGTTGATGAGTTCATTCTACAATAGGCCTATAGCCTACATGCTATGTTTTATTTATATTTTGAACAATGTCTACAAATGTCTACAAATGGCGTCTGTGTTGTCTTTGTGATTATAAAACATTTACTGATTGAATCTTAGCTATCATAACCGACCCATGGGATATAAAACAGTTAAGACCTGTTCATAATCCAAATCAAAAACATCCAGTTAATTTACAATAAGGATAAACCAATTCTCTCCCAGACTCTCACCTTTCTCTTAATCCAAATCAAAAACATCCAGGTAATTTCCAATAATGATAAATCAATTATCTTCTTGATTCACACCTTTCTCTTAATCCAAAAATAAAACATTCAGTTATTTTTTAATATTGGATAAACCAATTAACTCCTGTATTCACACCTTTCCCAAACACCCTGTTGTTTTTCACAAATAAGGGATGTCACTGAGACTAAATATAAATAAGTTAATTAGGAGAATTAGTTCTTTGATTGCATTTGTATATATGTAAAGATAAATAACAACTATAACATTGACTCAATATGTGGCTTTAATTGAAATGTCCAGACATTTGATTTCTGATAAAAATGTTCAGATTAGACAGGTCACTTTTTCAAATCTGGTTGTTCACTTTTCAAATTAGGAGGTGTTCAGATTTCAAGGTTTTTTTAACATGGGAGTCAATGGGAAGAAAAAATGGGACCGAAAAAAGTGTTCAAATTGGAAGGTGTTCGGATTAGCCAGGTGTTCAGATATACAGGTTTTACTGTAGCTGTTTTTTGCTATTAGGGATTAAAAAACAGCAATAACATAAATCCAATTCTTTAAGAATCAAAAATGATGTTTCAAAAAAATCTTTATGATGATGTATTATCCCTACATCTTTGAGGGAAGGGATGAAGACATATGAAACATCCCAGGCCCGCAGCCAGAATTTGCCAAGTAGTGGTTGTTTTCTAGGATGTATGCTATGTCTTTGTATTTTCTTCATCTATATGTAATTGACTTTCAAAATTAGAACTGTGCCGGTTTGGCACTGACGGGCAAATTTTTTTACAGCCTTGTATAGGTGGCGCCCCCTATGTAATACCCCTTAAATTAAGGAATTTTTTTAAATGATCTAGCTTGAACAGAGTCTTTAACTCAAGCCACCTAGTCCAGTAGTCCAGTATAGGCTTTGTAAAAAAACTCCTACCTAATACCCACTTACCCATGTACTTGGGACATGATACAGTCTTTGAAGGGTTCAATTTTAAAGATCTTAGTTTTTAAAATCTTAGTTTATGATGAATTATATAGCAAGTCGTTACTACATCCCAGCTGGGTTCGATTTCCACTCGGGGCATCGAATTTAGCACACTTTTTTTCAATTTCTTTATCTGGCTTGTTGGACCTATGCTCACGGTCGTTAGTTATTTATTCCCCTGGGGTCATTACACATTAAAATGCATCCATATGCCTTTAATTATGGATCTGTCATCTTTCTAGTCATAAAATAAAGCCGGCATTGTAGAAATGTTAATAATTTGAGCTATTTTGATGTTTAATAATTGAACCCTCTGATGACTGCATCATGTTCAATGTAGGTGGGTAGGTGGGTATGAGCTGAGACTAACATAAAATATTTTATGTTAGTCTCAGGTATGACGTAGGAGTTTTTTTATACAAAGCCGTCCAGTGTAACCTGTTATCTATATCTATATCTATATCTATAATTCTGGAAGAAGGATAGTCCTGTATAATCCAGATCTTTTTATGTATTATTTTCATATCATGTTAAGGGGGGCGTTGTTTAATTGCTCACTGGACATGGGTTAGTTGTGGTGAAGGAATTTCTGTCTCATCAGGTGCTTGTCAATTCCATTCTTGAATTGATTTATATCTGTGGTGTCTATTACAGATTGGGGAAGATTGTTCCATGTGTTGACGATTCTATTTCCAAATACATTTTTTCTTACATCGAGTCTGCTATATCTATGGCTTAATTTTTCTGTATTCCCTCTCGTCATCTTATTTTCTGATTTTTGTGCAATGTCCATGAGTTTGATTCTGTCATAACCATTCACTATCTTGAATACTTGTATTAGGTCACCTCTAGTTCTTCTATATTGGAGGGAGGGGAGTTTTAGTTGTTTCATCCTATCATAGTAGCTTAAGTCTTTTAAGGTTGGTACTAACTTGGTGGCTCTTCTTTGTACTTTTTCAATTTTAATGATGTCTATATTTGTATAAGGACTCCATATACTATTTCCATACTCAAGGTGGGGTCTAACGAGGGATTTGTAGAGAAGTGGTAGGGTGGTTTTGTCCAGATGAGAAAATGTCCTTTTTATTAATCCGAGGATGCTGTTTGCCTTGGCTACTTGTATGTCGATATGTTTATGAAACTTAAGTTGATTGTCTATGTTGATTCCAAGATCTTTTTCTAACAGTGTCTGTTGTAGGGTTTTATTGTCCATGGTATACTCCTGATTATCATTTTTGTTTCCTAAGTGCATTACTTTACACTTGTCAGTATTAAAGGGGAGTTGCCAATCTTTTGACCATTTTGTCATTTTATCTAAGTCCGATTGTAATTGTATTTTGTCTTCCTGGTTTTGTACACAACCATACAGTTTAGCATCATCTGCATACATTAGTATTTTGTTCTTTGTAGCATCTGGGAGGTCATTTATGAAGATAGAAAATAGGGATGGCCCAAGGCAGGTCCCTTGAGGGATACCTGATACAACAGGGGCCCATTCTGACGCTTCTCCATTTACTAGTACTCTTTGAAATCTATTAATTAGAAAAGATCTTATCCATGTGAGTATTGTTCCTTGAATTCCATACGATTTCAGTTTTAAGAAAAAGATAGTGTTCATGCGGAACACTATCAAACGCTTTGCTAAAATATATCCTTAATAACATGTCTATTTTTTTCCTTACCTAAAATCTCATGTTTGCAGAGTACTGGTCATTTATCACCCCTGATATCATATATATTCCAAGGGGTCACTGAACAAAGCGTACCGTGTACATGTAATTGTGATTGGGTTGTGATCTTACATTCTTCACAGACATTTGATACATGTTTGGGATGGTGTTAAAATAAAGAGCTTCTGTCTTATATGTTTCAAGAGAAAAAAATATTTGTTATTACAGTATATGCTAATATTCAACGATATGCAATTTAAATAAAAGTTACATTCGAAGTCTATTTTGACTAAATTATCCTTAAAAGTCTTAAAATGTGATAGTGCGGAAAATGTTTCCCGGGAATAGCCTACATGTAAAGGTCTTTTTGTACAGTGTTGGGCGGCCATGTTTGCATCGTATGTATTTTCAATATCTGAATGATTTTGAGACGATACCTGCATAAGCAGAGGTTGTACATGTATGAAATGATAAAGATATGTAACATTATGTTTTGAGCTATGTTTTTATGCTACTTTTGTGAGAGACATTGTTATAAGATGTAACCAATTTACATTTTCATTTCAGAATTATTTTGCATTTTTCAAACTTTCCATAAATTTTATGATAAAATCTATTTCTTCTCATTTCGAGAGATTAACACACGATTTGTCATAGTTATACTGTAAGATGTTATTTCTAATGTATATTTAGAACTTCTTTCATAATGCATGTAATGTTGCTATAATTGTATAATTTTAGAAAATTGTCTGAAACAAAAATGGCGGTCATAAAAAGGAAAATAGATCGCTTTTCAATAGACATATTCACGATAAGAGTTCAGATGGTAATTAACATAAATATCTCCCATGATGCATCGCTTTGGAAGGGAAAATTTTGATTGGCCCGCCGAACGAGTCTATTTCTCTGAATGAAACCTCCAGAGATTGCAAAGTCAAAGGTCATGATCCGCTAATTTCATTGGTCGAGGATTACATCATAGCATATAGCACTCATATTGGCAGAAGATTGCTTGAACAAAATTTCAACAAATTCTGATAAAACTAGCGTGAATCTTGACAAAAATGACAGTTTCTCAGCCTCCGATATTCTACTAGCGCTCGAGCATAGTTATATGATCCAATCTATTCAATAATCAGAAAGATAATCGGAGATTCAAAATTACATTATTAATATTTTTTCGATCTTCAATGGCGTCTGAGCAATTTGTGGGAAATCAGTGAAGTCACTGGAACCGGACGGCATTTCCAACTAAAGATTTCATCGGATTTGGGGATTATAGTTCAAAAAGCCTTGTTGTATATCTTAATATCATACATATCTATCATTTGTGCAAATGCAACACTACATAAATGTTTAATAAACCCGTAGCTCTTCAAACGGTAACTAAACTGAACTAAACAATAAATTTATCGCATATTGGCTTATTCAGTTCAGTTCTTTTCATTTTTTCTTTTTCTATGAATGACATCAAATTTTCAAAGATCATTTAGAGCAATATATTGAGCACATTTTCAAAAGATTCTGTTCAGTGACCTTTCCTAAGCGCCTACTTTTAGCTATTTTTCAGTCGCATTTTCAGAGGGCTGAAAAAGGTATTTCATCATATTTGGGGTCATTCTGACCATACACATTGTGATCCTGGTCATGTAAATGACATGTGGAACTAATTAAACTGACTTGAGGTCAATACAGAACTCTGTTATCTTGGTTCAAAAAATGTTTGAAATCAAGCATGGTATTGTTACTTTCTGTTTTAATCATTTCCTGTTAAGTACCACTGCACCTTAAACAAATCTTGTACTCCTGTGTTTCAGGAGTGTTTTTGGTCCTTTGTGACATTGGAGAATAAAAACATTTTAAGCCGATACAATTATATTCTTAGTTTTTGTGATTTCCCCACCTTCACATATGACCCTGCTCACAGCGCCATTTGTGAAGGTGGGGAAAGTCCTGGCACAGGATAAATTTGCACTATCTTACATGTTTTAGAGCCAACTAGATGAGATCAGATGTCTGTGATTGTAAAACATAGTTGACGTGCAAATGTGATTACAAAAATGACACTTTTGAATTGGTAAGTACTGCGATATCATGAAGTAAGTTTTTGCAGGTTTACCCATTTAAATCATTCATTACATTCTTTGAATCATTTTGGGAGCTGTGTCCTCTCTTGTATACAGTGCATTGTTTTACATTTGAAATCCCTGTATTCCATTCCTGGGCAACCTGTGAATGCCATTACCCAACCTCACTCATGAGCTGAAATTAACAAAGTTGCCATATCTTGTTTTATCTGAAAGTCCATATGAGATTCTACATGTATATGTCTTAATTTTAGGGTTTGGTTCACTGCTAAATAGGCCTAAATAATTATTCTCACCTCATTTTCCAGGCTGGAGCACAACCTTGAGAGAGATTCTTCAGATGATGGCATTACTCTCCAAGAAATAATCTCCAAGTGCAATAAAGATAGACACAATTGTGGTCTCCCTCGTGTGGATCTAACAACTTTTGGACGTTTAGTGATAAAGTACTTCCAAATTGGAATATCGGCAAAAGTCATAGCAAGCAATATTCCGTATAGCCTAAAATGGAGGAATCATAACAGTAATGAACCTTTTAACATTGGTAATGACACCTCATTTATAAAAGCAACTGGCTGGAATGTTGATTCTACAACTGAGTCTACCCTCGTCCTTGTTAAAGTTATCGAGTTCAAAATCAATAATTTAAATGTTGAGAAGAAAGTTGAATTTAGAGGCGACAGGTGGTCTTTGAAGATTGCAGATAAACCTATAAATCTGAATGACTTTGATGTGGATGACCATTATACATCATCACAAGATGGAATTCTTACTGTACTAGCAGTTGTTGATCACATCTCAGTCTGTCGCGGAAGGAAGTTAAAAGTAGGGAATGCAATCAATTCACTTCAAAATGCTACATTCCAAAATACCAACCCTATAAAAAATGATACCCAAAAACTTTTAGTGAGAAGCGTAGAATGTGTACTCGCAGTCCCTGTTACTAGTTCAGGAGACACGTGTTCAGTGTGTGGAAAAATCTCAGAAAATGCCAAATTTTTACCTTCTAAACCAAAAAAGAGATCTTCATGTGTGAGTGCTTTAGATACTCCTGTTGTTAATATAAAAGAAGAACATAATTATGCTAATGAGGAGAGTCTTCTCTTTCATCATAGTCAACCTGAGGGAGACTCAAATAAACGTTTTCAACAAACTAGCAAAAAAATTATTGTAATTGGCAATAATGTAAATTTAGCAAAGCAAACAGTCAGTCAGACTTTGGCATCCAGTGTCAACGTGAAATCTTCAGCAATCAATGGCACAGAGATAGCAAGAACTAAAAATACTGTTGAACCTATGTCAAAAAATGTGCCAAGCAAAATAGAAAAATCCAGTCCAAATCCAGAAGATATTGCTTTTATACCTCATGAACTATGGGATATCAACAATCTTCTAATTCCTACATCCACCTCAAATATGGAAAACAAAATGGAGATTATGTCACAAAGTGGTGACCTCAATAGCCACTCAAAGTCTCAGGAACAGTATGGTGTCATGCAGGGAGTCCCGGTACTTAGTGGAGTTCTGTCAGAAGAAGACCAGCGAGACAGTCTTTGCAATATCATGAAAGAAGATGGAAAACTACGTCCTTGTTCAAAACGATATGAGTCATCACTCACTGGTAGTATGTAAAATATTTTTTGTTTTGAGAAATGCTTAAGACACTTTCTTTTCACAGGTTTAAGGAATGGTTTCTCATCAAACTATCTTCATTTATCATTGCATTGATATTGCATTTTTACTATCTTCTTAAGTATTTAAAGAATATATTAAATACATATACATGACTGTCCAATGCTTTAAATTGCTTTAGAAGGAAAGGATAAAGATCTACCCTTTGCATTCATTTGACTTCACTTCTTAAAAGAGAGCTTCCTCTTAGTTTAACTAGACTCTGCACGCAGGGTAATAAAGATCAGTATGGTTATTGACATGATTCACATCAATTGACAAAGTCAACATGGTCATGTGGCATGATAAATGGGATAAGTTCTTTAAGTTGTATATTGGTCATAAATATCAAGAAAAATTCTTGTGTCAGAAAACACAGAAGTTAAACATTAAATACCAGATTGTCAAGTTGAAAAAGAAGCATTGTTATTAACATTTAAAAATAAAACTGTTTGTTTTTTCAGAAGACCTAATGCAATACATTCTTTTAAATGAACAAGATAAAAAGGACTTCAGGGACCTGCATATTGCCCTTAAACTGCAAGATAACGATAATGTAACTCAGTTGGACAGTGTCTCCAGAGAAACCAATGTGTTTAAAGATGACAGAGAAGTCAGAGATATTCACACTGATAATGTTGATGTGAAGTCTCATCCTGATGATGAATTATTATCTAATGCACAGAGTCAAGCCAATTCAAAAGCTCCAGACACAGGTATTTGCCAATTTACCTCTCAACTTTTTTTTGTTAACACATTGTGAGCGAAATGGAGTCCCCTTCTCATCCTTTTGTCTGTTCGGAGTATTCCTCTGTTTTTCCATACATGTATCAATTCAATTTTCCATCCATCTATATGTCCAATATATCCAATTGTCAGTCCAAAAATCCATTGTTCCATCCATGAATCCATCCATCCATCCATGAATCTTTCAATCCATGAATCCATCCATACGCCAATCCATTCATGCAACCATGAACCCATCCTTCCATGCATACATCCCCATCCACCCATCCATGAATCCATCCATTCATCCAAAAACTGTCTATTTTATTCAAAGGTGCGATACTGCTCACACTGTGTCTTGTAAGTTATTCTGGGAAAATTCTCAGGTGGCCATTTTGATTTTGCCCTCAAGTCTTGTCTGTAGAGTATACTTTGCATTTCTATGCAAACTTTTGTCTGGAATTTACATTGATTATGACACAATCATCATAATATTGTCAAACTCAAGTCTATTCATCCTTCTTAGTATTAAATTCAATGGTGCAATCTTGTTCACCCTGTGTCCTGTACTTTTACTGAAAAAAGACACAAAATAACTTTTAGCCCACTTTTAAAGATTGCTGCCCTATGTTTGAAAAAATGGGGCTTTAATTGAACAAAATAAAAATGTTTGCATAAAAGACAATATTAACAAAATAGTAACAAAAATACTGTCATATAGACTCTTGAAACATTAACTTCTATTTCCTCATTTCAGAGCTCTACAGAGTTTATTACTTCGAACAAAAGCCATCGGGCCCCTTTGACAAAGGTCGAGAGCAAACCATTCATGGCAGGAAGACACTTTGTAAAGTTTGCAACAAGAATTTCAGAACAATGGTGACTTTTCGGAATCATAAACAAACATACAAACACTTTAAGTGTGATATTTGTACAAGCAGCTACTTTAAGGAAATTGACCTGATGACTCATTTGATGACTTCTCATAAGATCAACGTTAAATGTGGTTTATGCAACAAGAAATTGAAATCTGTGTTTAGAATGAGGAATCATTTAAAGAGGTACCTGCACTTCAAGTGTAATCTTTGCAAAAATAGATTTGAAACAAACATGCAGCTAGCCACACATTCTATGAAGCATAGTTTAAAACCATATTCATGTAAACATTGCTCACAACCCTTTACTTGTGGAGACGATTTGATTGCCCATTTTAATTCTGCTCATAGATTTAATTGTAAACAATGCTCCCAAGTTTTTACTTCTAGGCAAGACTTGAAAATGCATTTCAATTCTGCTGATAGATCATGTAGATTATTTGATTGTAAACTGTGCTCTGAAGTTTTTACTTCTAGGCAAGACTTGAAAATGCATTTCAATTCTGCTCATAGATCATGTAGATTATTTGATTGTAAACTGTGCTCTGATGTCTTTACTTCTAGACAAGATTTAAGAACTCATGTTCAATCTAGACATGAAGAGAAACAACTTGTATGTAGATATTGTATGAGATGTTTTATTAGGAAAGATGGCCTAAAACGTCACTTGAGAATTCATACTGGAGAAAAACCATATCTATGTGATGCATGTCCAGAAAGATTTACAAGAAGTTCAAGTTTGTGTAACCACAAAAAGAATGTTCATATGGGTAAGACATTCATATGTGTTGATTGCAACAGAGCATTCAGTACCATACATTATCTCAACTTTCACAGAAGAATACATACAGGTGAAAAACTCTTCCATTGCCAGCATTGTCCAAAATACTTTCTGACATCTTTTGAATTAGAAAATCATATTCGAGTTCACACGGGAGAAAGCCCCTTCATGTGTGAATATTGTTCAAAATGTTTCAAGCAAGCGTACAATTTAACAACTCATAGGAGAAGAGTACATTTGGGAGAGAAATCATATAAGTGCGAAGAGTGTTTGAAACAGTTTACTCAAAAAAGTAGTTTGGTGGTTCATAGACGGCTTCACACTGGAGAGAAACCTTACAAATGTGAACAGTGTTCAAAACAATTTGCTCTGAAAGATCGCCTTAAGAGCCATATGCGATTACACACAAAGGAATTTCAGTGTGAATATTGTTCAAAATGTTTTGAATATGAAAGTAGTTTGGTAGTTCATAGACGGCTTCACACTGGAGAGAAACCTTACAAATGTGAACAGTGTTCAAAACAATTTGCTCTGAAAGATCGCCTTAATAGCCATATGCGATTACACACAAAGGAATTTCAGTGTGAACATTGTTCAAAATGTTTTGAAAATGAAAGTAGTTTGGTAGTTCATAGACGGCTCCACACTGGAGAGAAACCTTACAAATGCGAACAGTGTTCAAAATGTTTTAGATCGGGAGCAAGCTTATATTATCATAGAAGAATACACAGTGATAAAAAACTATTAAAATGTGAACAGTGTTCAAAACAATTTGCTCTGAAAGATCGCCTTAAGAGCCATATGCGATTACACACAAAGGAATTTCAATGTGAACATTGTTCAAAATGTTTTGAAAATGAAAGTAGTTTGGTAGTTCATAGACGGCTTCACACTGGAGAGAAACCTTACAAATGCGAACAGTGTTCAAAATGTTTTAGATCGGGAGCAAGCTTATATTATCATAGAAGAATACACAATGATGAAAAACCATTCAAGTGTGAATATTGTCCATCACAATTTAGACTTAAAACTTCCTTAAGAAAACACTTAGCAATGCACACAAAAAGATATAAGTGCAAAACATGTTTGAAGTCTTTTGAAATGAAGAAGGAACTTTTACTCCACACAAAAACTCATATTGAGCATAAAAAGTTTAAGTGCTCACATTGTTCAAGGCATTTTACTAATGAGGCCTCATTAATTAAACATAGGAAATTACATGCAGATGGTGATACATTTCAATGTGAACATTGCTCCAAGCAATTTAAATTTGAGACATCATTGAAAAAACACATGAAATGGCATACTATATCTAGTACTATAGGAAAGAAATTCAAATGTGAACATTGCTCTAAAGTTTTTTCTCAGCGGAGAATTTTTTTGAATCATGTGCGTATTCATACTGGTGAGAAACCCTTTCAATGTGAATTTTGTTCACAATTTTTTAGACAGTTGATTACATTGATGGTTCATAGAAGGATTCATACTGGTGAGAAACCATTCAAATGTGAATATTGTCCCAAATCCTTTAGGGAAAAGGTACAGATGGGAAACCATAGGAGGATTCACACTGGAGAAAAACCATTTCAATGTGAATTCTGCTCAAAATGCTTCAGAGTTCAGGGATCATTGAGAATGCACAGAAAAACACATACTGGAGAAGTACTATCTTGATTAATCATGAAAATGCATACCATTGTTTATGATTAGTATATAGCCTAACAAACAATATTTTCTGATTTTTTTGTGTGTACTAGTATCAGCCATTTTAGAGAAGTTTTTCGAAAATATATTCATTTCTAATTATCAACATTTCAGAAAAACTTCTTGTCAGACTTTCTTCAAGATTAGTACTACATAATAATAGAGCGTACTAAGTTCATCTGAGATGTCATTAACATTTGGATATCTATATAGTATTTGGTGGTGTGATTACATTGATGTTTTGTACTTTTCATAATATATTTAAATAAATTTTTAAAAAAGATATCACAGAAAATGTATGTTTTATTGAACAATATACAACTATAATGATGGAAATGACAGAACCAGAACTATATGATAGTAATAAATATTCTCAGGATTCTTTATCTGAAGTCAGGCAATATTTATACGGTGACAGACAACCAACCTTCTATATGTTTAAATAAAAAAGTGTTTGACACCAACATATTTTGTGTGTTATGAAAATAGCCTATTTTTTTTAAAAATAAATCTTTATTTTCACATATTATTTTTTACAGGTTATTAATGTTGTTTACTGTAGAAGGAGATAGAGAGATAAAAATAGCCTATTGATATTTTGAATGATAATGGTCATTTGAAGATTAGGTAAACAGATACATCGATAGTTGAGTCAAAAGTTGAGGTAGACTGTAAATCTTGTAAATCTAGTAAAATCTTGTAAAAACTTCAAAATTCAGTTTCTAAGATAATAAGTAGATAATAAGTCAAAATATAGAAAAAGCACTGAAAATGCCTTTGTATGATTCAAATGAACATAAATCTTACTTTTTTATTTCATTATATTTAGTCAGAAAACAACTACAGGGTGTCAAATAAGTGATATATCATTGGAAAGATCTTCCAAAGTTATGTTGATTGGCAAATATCTGACACATGTCAATCAATCTCACAAATTTTTACATTGTATCAATTGAGGTGACCATATGCCTAGAAACATGGCAATTTGGCGTATTTGGCAGGATTTTAAGAATCGGGTATAAGAAAGATCAAGGGACCAAAAGATGACTAAATATGTTAATGGCGATGAATTTAACCAATTTCTGGATAGGGTTAGATGTGTCGAAAATAGAGGTGCAAGGAAAGTGGTGAAAACCTTTTTGTAACAAATGGAATGCAAAACATATTAACTTTTTCACATATTTCTGGGGTCATATCCTTGTCATTTTGACCCAAAAAGCTACTTAAAGGAGGGCACGTTAACTATAAAAGACATCATAAAAATATAGGTAAATTTCATCGAAAATACTTGAGAGTTTGTGAGTTAACATAACTTTGGATGATCTTTCCAATGGTATATCACACTAGGTACCGTGTGTTCATGATGTTAAGGTTTTAGCTGTAGCAGGGGGGACGCGACTTATTTGACACCCTGTATATGGTAGTGTTGGATATTGTTTGGCGATGCTGTTCAATTGACAATATTTGCAAAAGTTCCAATGTTAGGAGAATGGATAAATAGGAATTTCAAAATGTTGATTTTTGCAAACCCCCAGAAATAATAAAAAAAACATAATCAAATTCTGCAGTAAGGGAAAGAGTTAGACTACTGATTATTTTTTTTTGATTATGATATATTCTTTACCCAGCCTAATGTTAACTCTCATGCACCATATAATTTTTGAAACTTATACTAGTATGAAAAAAATTCTGATATTTATTTAAATATGTTTGGAAGAAGATGGTAAAATATTTTGAACTGTAGGATAAAGGGTAAGTCCCAAGTTATTTCATTGTAGATGTGTTTCTCCAGTTCACTGAATTCCCTTTATTAAAATGGCTACGTTTTTAATCAACAATTTTCAGTATCCTTATTGTAATAATTAATACTGTAGTTTAAAGCCATATTATATCAGCGCCCTGAACATGCATTATTTTTTGTTGTATTATATTTTACAATTTCGGTAAAATTTGTGCATATTGATTAGGCCATAAGAAATAGATTCTTTGTTTTGCGTCCCCTTGCTTGCACGATTTTGAGTAAATCAGAAAAAACAAACACATCCAAATAGCAATCACAAGAGTCTGAAAGTACCATCGCATTTCGTTCAATCAGAATCGGATGAAATGGGGGATAATTTGCTGTGCCTCAAAATTGACAGTGTTATTGATTAATTTCGTATACATTGTTTATTTTCGAATTTTTTACCCTTGAATAATAGCTATATGTTTAAATATATTTTGTATAAAATGTATAGATATGTGTTTGTAATCACTTCACATTGGTATGTCATCCCTTTTAATGCCGCCCTTGAAATGTATTCATTTCTCAGCAAACAATTTTTTGTTTTTTCTTGATTTTGTGTTTGTTTTCCTTTTACCCTTGTATGATTTGAATTTTGCCAGGACGCAAAACAAAGAACACTTGAAATAAACTTCTGGTCTATTGACGGTTTTCAATATCCTTACCAAACGTGTAACTGATAATTTTGATTTTCTGTTTCATAATGGTGAAGTAATCGTGAACACGGTATGGCTAAAATTGCTGAATTTCCGCGTGGGCCTGTTTACCCTTACTTTCAATAATGTGTTATTTGTCAATTTTTATCATGAACTGAACCAACTACAAATGCATTTTTCTTGTTGAATATTGACAGATGATACTGCATTTATTTTTTTCATGATATTGAGTAAACACGCGTGTCAATTTTACTCGGAAATCTCCAACACGCTAATATTTCAAGCGTAAATAATCAAGAGATGTTTTCAAATATATTTCTCCTTTTCAAAAACGTGAACGAGGATGTGCGATTTAAATTCCATTTCATAATTAAAAACACCATTTTGAAACTCGATTTGTGTTCAACGGTATGTTAAAATTAGATGCGTTAATATGTAACGTGCAAACGCTTCGTGTTCAGGTGTTTGCCGTTACCCACTGGTTGCACCAATAAAAGAGATGGCTTTGACAGTTTTTGGTCATGTGATGCAGGTTTTAGATACGTTGAGCTAAAACGTTATGCAAATATATCTCTTCGACCATGACATTTCCGTGTGGTTCCTCAAATCATATCGACGATTCGGTTCATTAGGTTTCGGACGAATGGTATTCGGACCATTGGGATTAGGACGATTGGGTTTCGGACGAATGGAGCAAAAACAATGATGTAGGTTTGATGTAGGTTTTAAAAAAAATAATCTGAGGAATGCATTAAGGATTTCATGTTTGATTTTTTGTGTTTTCGTTTAGGAAGACCGATTTAACTTTCTAATAACGTTAAAAGATTTTCGAACAGTGCTCGATTTTTTCGTAGTCAATCTACCTATATAATTGGTCGGTTGGAAAATGTGTTTTTACACGTTCATTTCCTTTGATCCTTCGCTGTCTTCTAAGAGTGTCGAAGATTTTTATGAGAATATATTTATTTAAAACAGCACAATTAATAGGTCTGTTGAAGATTTAATAAGTATTAACATTTTGCCTATAATTTAAAAAATCATAAGTGTATGTTGTCAACTCGAATGTACGTTGTCCCATTGAACTTACTCAATTCACAGTTAACCTTAATGCAGACAACGTATTTTTCATAACACTAACAGATGCATTTAAAATTGAAACAGAGCAATTACAGAATTACTGAAATTAGATTGAACGATTGAAACTGTCCAGATATATCATAAACGGCATTTTTAAAAGTCATATCCAATAAGCTAGTATAGATCAATAGATCTATCCATCAATCTAAATAACAAAACGTAAGGTAGGCCTACAGACGCCAAATAATCAACCAGGCTGGAAGGAGACTCCGTGGCAGTACTAGTCTTCAATATATTCTACTCCGAGACTCTGGATTGGAGTTTGGGCTGGAAGCTACATGAAAATTGTAACACCAAATGGGCACAAATTAACCAGCACCACAACAATACATTCATAAAATAAAAAAGCAAAAAGGATACTTGAACATGTTCGTTAAAGATCACCTGTTGTATGGATGTAAACCTTAATGAATTTTGAAATGAAATCATTACATTGTTTAATACTTACATCTCATGAATTTCAATTTCAGGGACAACGTACATTCTAGTTGACAACGCACATTTCTGATTTTTTTTAATTACTATGAATGCTTGAATATTTATTAATCTCCACCCGTCCTTAATTGTGTAGTATAGAGAAACATATTTTCATAAAAATAATCGCCGGACACTCTTAGGCAACAGGGGAAAAATGATCAAAGGAAATGTGAAAAACCCAACCGACATTTTCCAACCGATCAATTCTCGTGGGTAGATTGACTACGAAAAAAATAGAGCACTGTTCGAAAATCTTTTAACGTTATTATAAAGTTAAATGTCTTCCTAAACGAATACTAGCGAAATTAAACATGAAATCTTTCAAGTATTCCCAAGGTTAATTTTTTAAAACCTACATCACACCTGCATCATTGTCTTTGCTTCAAATCTGTTAAATAGTGACATCGTACATCTAAAGTGAACGGTATATTTTGTCACTATCAGTTATCACACGTTTCAGCATGTGATACAGGAAATATTCCACGAAAGGTAATACTGTATCATCCACGAAAGCGAAGCTTGAGTGGTGATACATTGTTACCCGAGTGGAATATTTCCTGTATCACATAAGCTGAAACGTGTGATGACGATTTTATCACATGTCTAGGAATTTTGAAGCATTTTGATTTGGTCAGTTATGATTGTGTTCAGTATGTGTACTTTTGGTAACTATTATAATTTTTGATTTCGCTTTGAAACAATATGACGTCGTACCGTTGTATTCGTACTTGTTTGTGAAATAGTATGACGTCATACTGTTTTCCTTAGCTAGAAGTGATATAATCAGTGACGTCACATCGTTGCTATTGATCATCACTGGTTGCCTCTAGTAACGTGTGAGACGGCCGTGTGAGACGGGAAAACTCACACGGTAATCAACCAATCAGATTACTGGAATTTTACAGAGCATGTGATAATGTACCTTGTCGATGGTTAGGCGTCTTATATGTTTTCGGAAACCCGTGACATCATAATCACGCCTAACCATCGACAACGTACCGTGACAAAATATACGGGTGTACTTTAGGTGTACGTTGTCATGTTTGAAGCAAAACTTGTAGGTTTTAAAAGATTTATCTAAAGAATAATATGAAGTATTCCATGTTTAATTTCATGTGCATGCTCTTGGCAAGACAATAAATTTTTAATTACGTTATCAGATTCAAGCAGAGCACGCCAAGTTTTTTCTTGGTAATTCACCCACGTCCATGTGAAGATTTATGTTGGTGGAATTAGCTAGAAAAATTCTATTTTGTTTCATTTCAGGCGCCTGTTTCAAACGGCGGCACTTTCCCCTAAAGTGGCACTTCTTGCCCCACTTCTGAACAATTCAAAGTAGGAGGCTAGTCTCAATTGAATAGAAAGGCCTTTTTGCACCATGGCACACGAAAACAAGCACATTTGCGATTTAGTAATTTATTTCAAAACAATACCGTCCAGAAAACAATCTCTCTCGTTTCAATAAACATGGGTTCAAGCGGACAAAAACCCTGCTATTCGCAAGCCCCTTAAAATGATTGCTCTGAGGGGACCCGTCGTGCCCCGCTCCCAGAAGCAACATTCGGGCAATTTTACCACAATCACAAAGCTTAAATAATCGGACAACAGTGATAATACTTATCATAGCAATCACAAAGCACATCCAGTTATCACCCCTACGGTATGATTCTGTAACCCTGCGATACGGAGGATGCCATCACAGCTAAGCGGTGAACATTCCCAACCAGTGATCCCCAGCAGCACAATCATGAACATTCCATTAACTTCTAAGAACACAATTAACTTTTCTTTCTATAGGCTATATCTGGTGGTAATCTGCAAATGGCAAGCAATCTGGTGCAGAAACATTTGTTGGCGAAACCGTTTATTTTACCGTCCGTTAGATCTAGATGGATGTAGTAGGCCTTACTAGCGTCACAATTAGGCCTACAGTCTGCACCAAATAGGCCGCTATCGCCAGCTACTGTGACACACTAGCCTAAATCCCGAGTTCTAGGATTCTGAAATGCAGTCTCACCCACGAATATGAATTCATATATTGACTCGGGTATATTGGGTACCTGGGTAAGGCCCTTGGCATGGCAAGCCGACGCCCGACAGTAGTCGAGGCGAGTGAGAATCCCGGGGAATGAGAATATCGTGGTACTGATGACAATTTCATTTGGCACAACCAAATCCGGGGCATGTGTTGAATTTCACTGAATGTATTTTTATCACAGTGCTTTTAACATGAAATTCCTGTGAAACATTACAATCTGAAAAGCATCGTCATTGATTATTACCATGACTTATCCATGGCTGTATGCAGCGCGGTTGACCTAAACATGACAAACTGAAAGTGAAAGTGTTTGACAGTTCACACATCGACCAATCAAAATTAAGAATTTATTCATATCCTGTAAAAAATGCCCGGATAAAGAACTTAAAATTGGATCTGAATTTTTCACTTTTAGGATAAAAATGCACCATTTTATGGAGGAATTGTAGCAAAACAAGGTTTGCTGGTTACACGATGGTGTGCAAGGATGAGGTTTACACATGGTTCAAAAATTTATCTGGCCCGAAACGCATCGACTTTGTGTGTGGATTGCTACATATGTGCCTCCCCTTGGAACTCAGGTTTTTTGGATCAGTTGTGGAGGATTTGGCTAAAAAGGATTACCACTATTTGAGACAAGCAGAGATTAAATCAAATGATGCTATAGATTTAAAACATTTGACACGTGTGACAGACGAAATAGTCAGGCACAGACTTAGTGTAGCTCTAGCATTAGTACATTCAACGAACAGTGATTGTTCGAATACACTATTCAATATTTTGACGTACCTCACGTCTTGTGTTAGTATGATACCTCTTAATGATCACAGTGCAAAGGAGCTTTTGCTCATGTACATTATGGCCACAAACCATCCAGCATTTACATTTGACCAGCGGCAGCGTCTATTTGAGCAACAAATGTCTATAGAAAATCACTGCAAGGACTTTTTACAGGTAGGTGTACAGGTAGATTGATATACTAATATAGTATATACATCTTAGGTTCAGAAGAAATTATGTGCAGTGAAGCCATTCCCAGGCCTTAGTGGTGTCCCTGTCATTTGGAAGTATTGAGTATAGTGCTGCAAGGTGCTGCAAAAATCAAAAACTGTGATTCATTAAATTGAAATGTTGAAAATCCCAATAAAAACCTTATTTTTTGCCTTTTATTCTAATTCTGACCTTTATGTGCCTCAAGTTCCACCTATCATAGAGAGTCTGATATAGAGAAGTTTAGAATTAAGCTGTTATAAAACTAATGTAGCGATGTTTACATTTCGGCCTCCATTTTTGAAGAGCATTTCAAGAGCAATGAATTGAACACTTCTGGGTAGAAAATCTAGTAAAATTTCTTGCCAATTGATGTTGTTTTACAAAAGAACAATGCAAAATTAGAGTGTAGCTATAGTTCATTGAGGGAGAGGTAAGAAAATGTATCTTCTTAACATACTATTGTCTTTATACAACATCCAGCATCTGATTTCAATACCGGCACTGAAGTCCAGCGGTACTTTCGCGCTACTTCCAGTTATACTGTGATGCACTAATTGAGTAGTGCATCATGAAGGGTTATCTCATTCTGATGTTATATTGTTGTGTCACCACCAGAAGTGGTGATATATTGTCAGTCTCCAACATTTTTGTTGATGGTGTTTGGCAGTTGGCATTCGGCTGTTGGCATCTTTAACAAATGGCAGGTGGTGACATTGTGCATGCTAATGCTTTATTGAATGTGTAAGAAGCTGACAAACATTCTTATGCAAGGATAGAAGGTCAGTCATGAATATTGATTTGTTCTGTATTGTCACAGTACAGAAACAACTAATTTTATTTATTAATAATAGAGCTCATAGCAGCATAATTAACTAGCTCCTCAAGATTGTGGCAGTTTTGATCAGTAATCAAGTAAACCACACTGTAGGGAACATGCCAGTATTAATTTATCGTTTACAGTTGATCAAAGTTGTCAAGCCAGTAGCCGGGGGGGGGGGGGGGGGGGGGGGGGGGGGTTGGGGCTATGGGCCTGGTCATTATGAAGCAATTGTATGTCTGTTAATATAATAAACAATATATTTCTGCATGAAGGGGCTTTTTTCTCAAGTCAAAGTGTGACTCAAGTCAAATACACCAACTGCATACAAATAATTTCCTACAATAAAACCTTATATAAAACCGTATATATAAGCCACTCATATTTTATATTTAGTACTTTATATTAACTCAGCAGTATATAACTATAAATATTTAATAGTAAGAAATCATCACAGAGAATCATGCTACAGGCCTGTAACTTGATAGATGTCAGTGTCCTCAAAAGTAGAACATTTATTGAAAATCTATATTCAACGTTTGAAATTCAAAATATTTCACCAAAAATCGTTAATCCTCAAATTACTTCCTTGATTATGCTTTTTTACAAGAAGTCACCACTGGCAAAATGAGTCTGGTAGAATTGATCAGTTTTTAGATCATTTTGACTTTGATGTTCATTTGACTATACAAGTCACTTCGATACGAGCAATGGCTTTAAGCATACCTCAATACCTCAGAAACGGGTTCCTTTAATTTATTATTAAATCCTTTTTTATCGTTTCTCATCATTACCCCAGTTAATGAAATAAAAGAGTCCTTAGGAGATATTAATAGACTGATCAGATTATTTTATTTTGTTTATATTAATCAGAAAGCAATAATTAATCAATTATAACATCAGATTTGATGACTTTCAGTTATGAACGTCATATTTGAGGTTAGAAAAGGTCTCTCACATGTCTATTTTTGAAGTTGTTGGTTACCTAAAGAGGACAAGGTCATGTAAGCATCTGATTCGCTATCAGCAAGAAGATAATAATAGCTTCTGCAGATAGTAATAAGTATAGTACTATATTGTGTATTGTATCTTACAAATTATTTTGATAAATGGCAGTATTTTCTAGAATTTTGACATTGAATTTGACTGACAAAATATTTTGATAAATGGCAGTATTTTCTAAAATTTTGACATTGAATTTGACTTACAAAATATTTTGATAAATGGCAGTATTTTCTAAAATTTTGACATTGAATTTGACTTAAAAAATATTTTGATAAATGGCAGTATTTTCTAAAATTTCGACATTGAATTTGAATGAAAAAAGGTTGAGAGGGGATTATTAATGTTTAATGAATTAAACAAAAGAAAAGGATCAAAGTATTTGAAAAATTTCAATTTCAAATTTAATTAACATTGCATTAATATATTATGACAGCATATACTTAAGAAACATTAGAGACCATTTTTTAATATTTATGATTTTGGACCATTTTTTAGAATTATTTATTAACCTAATGTGGCGGTCATTCTATAATTCTTGTATGGAAACAATGGGGTCTTAACTGAAAGAAGGGTATTGTTAACTTTTTTTGATATTTTTATTGCAAATATTTTGTACAGCCATAAAAAATAGTAAAATCTGGAGAGCATGATTCAACATAAAGCATCATGATTGACATTCAGAAACAGTGCATTTTGTCACATCTCCCAAGCTACCACATCTACCAAGGTACCACATCTACCAAGGTACCACATCTACCAAGGTACCACATCTACCAAGGTACCACATCTACCAAGGTACCACATCTACCAAGGTACCACATCTACCAAGGTACCACATCTACCAAGGTACCACATCTCCCAAGGTACCACATCTCCCAAGGTACCACATCTACCAAGGTACCACATCTACCAAGGTACCACATCTACCAAGGTACCACATCTACCAAGGTACCACATCTACCAAGATAATAGGTTACAGGTATATATGATCAGGGGATTAGTAGACGAGACAAGAATACTTACCAATTTTATTTGAAAACTTCACAAAAGGACTGTAAGTCAGTAATAGGTATACACATGTATATGAAAAAACTCTCATATTCAGGAGTGTTTTTATGCTATGATAGTGGGACAGTTGGTCCAGCCAGAGATAAAATGAGAATATTTTGAAATACTCAGGAGTCAGGACAAAAGCTGAAAGTTTGTCTTTATTTAACAAAAAATGAATTCCCTAGAGAAATATGAACTGGGATTTTCTTGAAATGTGACTGTGCTCACAACATGCTATCAGACAGAAAAGGATAAAATTTACCCTGAAAATGAAACTACATAAGCGTGCAATAATGCGTAGGTTCATTAAGGAAATACCAGTATTTGTTAGATACATCTGGAACTCGGGTAGAATGTAATTTTTTACTACTGTACTGCAAGTCCAAAACAACTTACTGTGTTTTGACACTTTACTGTATCATAATGTCATATTGACAAGATATAAAGAACAGATCTACACATTTTTTCTTCTGTATTGAACTACAGTGATCTTTAAGCATTGTCCAGTTTGAAAATTGCACTTAGTTGAAAATCTATTTTGACCTATTTTAGATTTAAAGCAAAATTAGAAAATTCCTCATTGTTTGATTTGTAGAATTATATGCCTACAGTTGAAACAAGGAGATAGAGCCAATGTTGAAACTTTACACCTGGCTTTACATCCAAAATATTGGGCTTTCAGGCTATTCAGCTCAGACCATGATTCAAAAATTGAATATGATTGCAGAAAATATTTGTTGTGTCAAGGTGACATGTGGTTGATTCACTTTACCACATTAGGTTCTATATCATATTTTGTAGTAATCTCTTTTAGTATTTTCAATTTAACTGTTTAACACCTGTTGGTTGATTCATAGCTCTGTGTCTGTATTACATGTTTTAGTAGAAACTGATAGTGTATTTACAAATGCTGACTGTTCACATTTTACTGGGATTTCTTGATTCACAAAGTTGCTATGTTGTTAGGGTGATGTAGGATGTAAGTAACTCAGGAATGCTTAAAATGGTATTGCTTATTCTGCAAAGTGTCTCTTAATAATAGTCTTAAAATATATCTTGTTATTTTTATAAGTGCAGTACAATTAAAAGTACAAGTATTGATCACAATTATCGGTTCACTTAACATGCACGTTCCATTTTAAACCTTTTAGAATACTAGCATTAAAATTGATTTGTACATATTTGGCTTCGTGAGAATTAAATGAAGTCTACTGATTTATTATTTGCTACAAGTTCATGCATATGTCAGGAAACATAAGGGTGTTATTAGAAAAGCATGTTAATTAACTTAATTAATTTATACCTTGTCAAAGCAATATTGTATCAACCTAAAGATTTCAGTCTCTGGAGGAATTCTTGAAGTAAAATTAACACATGTGACTAATGACATAGAGAAAGCATTCATTTTGAATATCTGAATATAGTCTTAATAACTACATACAGTGAACACCTATGTCCAGAAAACACCTGTGTATAGTGAACACCTGTATCCAATGAACACCACTTCTCAGCACATATTCTACTAACATTCTACTGACGTAAAATTGCATCTCTGTGCTTGGTGAACACATTTTGTGACACTACACTCACTTGTCCATTTTGAACATCTCTCAATAATCAATTTTTTTGTCCCTAATTTATTTATGCTCCATAGATTTCCATGCACCCACCTGAGATTTTTGGAAATAGGCTTGCACCCACCTGAAAATCCATTTGCACCCACTTGAAAATGAAAAAAAATCATAAAAAATTGGCATATTTTGATCAATTTTGGTCTGAATTGTGGAAATGAGAATTTTGCACCCACCTGAAAAAAAATCCTGGGGAAATCACTGTGTACAGGATTTACTGTATTGATAAAAACAGGAGATATTGTTTAAATATACTCTTTGTAGAAGACTAAAGCTGTTTAAGCTAACTAAACAATTGCTTGTGATTGATTAATTTATTAGACAATAAAAATGTACTTTTAACAAACAGCTTATTTAAAGGATTTTCTCATAATATGATTTTAATATAGACAATCTGATTATGTGGAATTGCTAGTAAAGAATACAATGGCTACCTATCTACTTTTCTGTGATCAATATACCACTTAACAAGAATTTTTACAATCTGCGTGTCATTGATTCATGTAATTCTGTTATAAATAGAAAGGTAGAAAGTACCCAACATGGAGATTTTCTAAAACAAGGTATTCACTATAACTCCGATTTACAGACTAATGTTATGTCACTGGTTGTTAATGAACACTTCTCTGTCTTTAAAGAACACCTGGCTACACTGGGGATATTTTTCTTGAATAGCGAATTAAGATGATCACTCTACCAGATTTATACAGGATTTACGGACTCTAGTTTGACAACTGGTAGTTCATGAACAAATCCTTTTAGAGAATGACTTCTTGAGTCTAGTAATCAATCTTTATGATATACTAGAAATTGGAATTACCTCACTTTAGGTTAATATATCTTTGAGTTAAGTGTGAATACATTATACACACTCCAGGAGTAGAGAAAAGTTACTAAAAATACAAAACTTAACGAATCTATTGATTGATCTTTCTGCTGACCTTGAAATACACAAGCGTGTACAACATGTACCAGAGCATCATAATTTATCTCATTTTCAGTTCAAATGTCATGCCAGTCATGTTCTGAAGCATATCCTTGAGGAGAAAATAGAGGAAAGAGAATGGAAGAAAATTATTTTGGTTGTTGTCTAATGACTATATTGTGTGGAAATGCAAGAAAATCAGTGTTTAACAAGAATTTTTATAGAGTAAGCCATTGGAGTGATTTCTACAAGCAAAATTGATCATGGATTGTTAAATTTTGCTAATGTTAATTTTGGTCTTGAATTCTTGAGGCTTTCTTAACCAATCTACTTTTTAGAAATTGGTATATCTATTTGAGATGACATGAACAAAGACTCGGATCCGTTTGGTTAAAATAGTAGTTAATTTTTCATGTTTTCCCAAACAGTACAACAATAGTACAAACAAACATTGATATTGTCATAATATAAGGTGTGGTTGATAAAATTAAATGAGTTCTGCGAAGTTCAGAATTGCTTGTACATGTCAATAGGAATCGATCTACCCATTGATTGAAGTACCATTGAATACACTGTGCTTTCATTAACGCCGTCCCATAATGGAGAGGACCCGGTTTTTAATATAGGGACCCCAAACAATGAAAATGAGGGGTCACTTGGACGCAGTGCAGGTCATATCAAAAAATCAACTCTGGATGAATGTATTGATAAAGATCTTACCTCCAGTCTTTTATTTGGTCAAAATCTGCTAAATAAACGAAGGATATTCTATTTCTAAAAGAAATAAAATTTTCTTTCGGAGTTTCTTTCCCGGAAGTTGATTTCCGATCAATATAGTATGAGGTATGTGATAGGACAATCACTTGTAGTTGATTTCCGAGCGGTAATCGGTACGAGTCCTATGATTGGCCGGGATTATTAATCGTGCATGCGTCTTTGCCGTCTTAATAATTTTAACTAATCAAATTGCTGGATTTGTTGCGCATGCGCAAAAAATAAACCAAATAATGGAACTTCACGGAGATTGCTCTTAGTGAAGCTTTCGGAGCGATCAAAATCAATAGCAAATTGCTTTGAAATACGCGAAGAAAAATGGTATTAATGGTTGAATATTACTAATCTCTTTCAAATGAAGGTATTTGCATCATTTAATGACCTACTAGACTTGTGTAGAACACTGATCTGGGCCAAAAAATAACAAAACTGATGCAAACTTTTCATCAATCTTTTTCGTTCAGTGCAAAAATGTGACTTTGAATTCCCGGGAACCTTTTTTATGGGGACGCACTTTTTTGAGGGGGAACGCAATTTTGGAAAATCAATCCGTCCCAGGGAAGCACTTTTGATCAAGCCTACTGAAAGCACTGATACACAATGTAGTTGTAATTTAACTGGCCCTGAAATATTTCTCAAATATACCTCATGCTGCTGGGTTCTTATTTTATGGGATGATAATAAATATTTCAAAATAACTGATCCCACTCTGTCAGAGTGTATGAAGCACTCTTTTAAAGAAACAAAATCAGACTCTCATGTTTAAAAAAACTTGAAATGTGAACACCTCTCAATTTGAACAGTAAACAGTCATATTTGAAAAATTAACTTGTCTAATCTGAACATTTTTCATTAAATTTCACATGTTTCATACAAAATTTCTCAAATATTGTTATGATATCAAAACTTTGGGAAAAAACTTGGTCTTGATTATAATAAAAACCGCGAAATGTGAACACCGTCTAATCTGAGCGCTTTAAGCCGGTCCCAATGGCGTTCGGATTAGACAGGTTTTACTGGAGTTTGATTTAGTTTCATTGTTGGACATTAATGTTCAAATTTTAGGCTAAAATTCCTCAAAACAATGGGAGATTTTGGAAAAGGCAACTGGAGAAAATCGCCTTATGCAACCCCTGAAAAATTAAACACCCCAAACATGTGCGGTATGGTAGAAGGACTATTATTTATATGAAACTTAAGAAAGTTCGAGAATTCAAGGTGGACCCCCTAGCAAATACATATTTGTGATCTCCCATTTTTGTGACATTATATGATTTTTATCAGTGTGTAGATATCAGTTATAGCCCAATTACAAGTGTCGGAAGCAAATTAGTGCTCTGACTAATTACGCAAAGTTGTTTTGATATCAGATACATATGTAACTTTCTACCTAGATATCCTTTTGCTCCCAGTGTTAAGATGTTTTTAAATATTCCGTATTATTTTTCAGACTGAAGGATGTGATAGATGTCAGGGTGGCTTGGTGACCACAGGGACTGAAACAGATGGATCTATCATACACAAACCAGGTTTGTATAGAATTATGTATTTTTAGGTTTAAAGGTTTTTATTATCGTATTAATCAAAACCATGTTACATACAGAGCAAATATAAATGATAAAGTTGCAAAGAAAACTTATGTGCCAATTATTACAAGAATTATGTATGAAATAGAGTTTTCAATGACTTTCACTTTAAGTGTTTCACCGTGTTTGGTGTCTGTAATAAATGGTAGACTGTGACATTTTGCATGTTTTAAAATACCTTACAGTACAGGGTGGTCAAAAAAATGGAAACCCTGCATTTTCCTTATATCTTTGTCATGTTACGGAATTACTCCTTGATATTTCACACATTTGTACATCATTCAATTTCCTATCACCCTACCATATTTCATGACCATCAGACTGATAGTCACAATTTTACAGCACTTTGAATAACATGCTTCAGATTTGGCCATTATCGCGCTGTAGGCAAAACAGCACAGTTGTCAATGACCTGAATGCATTCCTCTGCAGGTATGGCCTGAATGATACAAATGATCTCACTTTTTAAGTTTACAATTGTCCTGAGTTCATTCTCATATCCTCTACCTCTGCCATATCCCCAAAGGTAGGGACATTTTAGATGATGAGTAAAGGTTTCCCCACAACAATGCAATAGTGACCTCTGGGCATGTTCTTTAAAGTACTGTAACATTGTAACTATTAATCTGATGGTCATGAAATAAAGTAGGCTGGTAGCAAATTGAATGATGTACAAAAGTGTAAAATATCAGGGAGTTATTTCTTAAAATGAAAAAGATATGAGGAAAATGGTATTAGGTTTTTTTTTTTGACCACCCTGTACAATTATATTATATATTTACATTATATTATTATACAGTATATCGGTATACAATTGTATTTGTGATAGAAAGGGTAGAGGACTTAATTTTTGGAAAATAGATAGGGCAAAGAATGATATGAGCTAACAATATTCCCTACTAAACCTGATTCACCCGATATAAGGTGAATGGAGGGAAACCTAATATTGTGTAATACAGTGAAGGGACAAGAATTTTATTAAATGTTATTTTATTTGTTCCAGTTTGCGTTGAGGAGATTGCCGTTGAGTGTTGTAGATTTATCAACAATCACTATGAGTTTAACATACAGGTAGGTCACTCTTATGTTATATTCAAAGGAATGGAGTAAAATTATATGTTGTTGAGCACCCATTACTCAACAGGGTAACATGATGACAAAATGCTTTGTAATGAAGGAGTTTGTACCTGTTTGACATTTCATAAATCCTTCATTTCAAAGCTTTTTGTATCATCATGAAGCAAAATAGAACACAAAGTGCTGAATGTAATGAAGGATTTTGTGCCTATGAAACAACTCAAACAATTTTTGTTACAAAGTTATTTTGGCTAAATACTTCCTAATGAAGCTATCAAACATGCTGTATAACTCGAACCATAGTTCAGTACCATCATTGACGTATTTGAAAACAGTGACTCCTGGATTCCTTGCTTCATTGAATGTATTTACCAATAATATAATATGTATCAATATGCAGCCACTTTGTAAGAACTCTATCTTCATTATTATGAGAGTTTGAATGGGAAGTGAATATCAGTCCCTTATCGGTAAAAAATGAATTTTCATTTTTTTTTATTCTGTATTCTGATCTGATATGGGTGAACTCTTGTGTAGGGTTATAAGGTAAAGAGATTGTAGCCTTGAATTTAGGTTTCTGTAAACTTTATTTGTTCTTTCGTTACTTATTGTTGTCAACAAATCTATTGTATTCACGGTCAATACTCTGCAGTTTATGTGAACATAACTTTGTTCTGTTGACAAAGTAAATAAAAGTTTATGACGTTGCTTTTAAAGTTTATATCTATGAATCCACAGGAGTTTTAATGATTGTATCTGCGCCATCAAGACTTTAGGATGCATCATTGAGATGATAGCATGCACCAACTTACATGGCGCAGAGCTTAGTTAAATGTGTGTCTGTGTTAAAAAAGTCTGAAAATTAACTTAATGTTGAAACATAGTCACTAGTAACTTGTATATTTACTTTTGTCAGCTAATTACTTATATTTTTGAGATCACCTTGTACCTGTTTAAATCAACAAAGATTTACAATAGCCTATAGACATTGTATAATTTACATCTTACATTGACTTTGCCATAACAAAGAACATAACAGTAACTCTTATATACATTTTTTTGTAAACAAATGGAATTTGTCTAGGCTATCATTATTTTATGAGAAAAAAGTTAGTTAATCTTTAGTCTATAGATCTAGTATCACTTACTTTTGACATTGGTTTTTTATAACAATATAAATATCATTCATATGCTACATAAGTTTTTATCTCCTACACCCTTTTGTTATATCAGTTCATGAAATATAACCTTGTTTAAACTGACACATTTAAGAATAGTATATTCAAAATCAGATAATGAACTTAAAAAGTTAAACTATACTTCCTTAAAAATCAATATATTGTGTTTGTTTTTCTTGCTCTAGGCACCAGCGTTTAAGCATTTGGACTATGTTATGATAACTTAATTTTGAATGCCTGTCGCCTTTTGAATGAAGTTTTTGTTAAAGATTTCGCAATACGCATTTACTTAAAAAATACAACTACAAAGTTAGATTTTGTGACTAAATATCAATTATAAGTTGATATTAGAAATCTAAATTGGAATTTTAACAAAGGTTTTTAGAATGGATCAATAAATTATATCTATGTATATTCCCCGGACTAAGATTCAGAAAGAATACAACAGAGATTGGAGTGAATATTAAAAATTAACACTGGAGGATTCAGAAATTTCATACGTCAAAGTTGAGCAAATTAAAATGAGCTGGACCTAATTTAAGACAATCAGTAGAGGCTCAGATATTCAAAATGACTTACCAGGATGTAAATTACATATTTAAGGTGAGAGTCTGCTAGTGGTGCTACGATAAATCGGCAACTCGAATAATCACTCGTTTGGGGGAAAAAATTTGAAATTCGATTTTTGTTTTCACCTCCGATTTCGGCTCGAATTGTGTACCATTCGAGTTGGGTTACGTCAATTCGAGTCAGGAACACTATTTACTATAAAAGTACTTACATGTTGATCTATAATCAGCTAATAAAACGTAAAATAACATGTAGAAAACAATTTGTTTTGTTCATTTCTTTTACTTCCGGGATCTAACCTTATCTCAGTGAGCTCTGGACGAAATGCTACAGTAGGATAATAGGGTCAGAGCCTCGTTTCGAAGTTGACCTTTGCGGTGCTGCAAATTCTATAGCTGGAACCGCTAATATAGCAAAATAATTAAATGCATTTCGAAATTTTACTTCCGGGCGTCTTTTTTATTTGTTATTCGCCTTTAGAGTTGATAAAATAAACAAAAAACATGTTTGAAGGTATGTAACACATTGCACTTTATTTGTTTTTACAATAACATCGATGATTTACATAAAAAAAGTGGTTGGCAGCGGGTTGGGAGATTCCCTTCAAAACTTTGGAAAAAATCGAATTTATTCGATTAATCGTCGTCAGTTTGATCCCCGATAATCGAGTCCGAAAATTCGGGCGAGTCCCACCACTAGAGTCTGCATTATAAAAGATGCTTGTGTTCTATTTTATTGATGTACACTCATTGAGTTGCACTGCCTTTGCTAAGGTGTATATCCAAACACTATATTAAAACAAAACTAATCAAATAAGATAAGCGGCTAGAAGAAACAGTACCGAGGAAATTTGATTTCTAATGAGAATTAGCGATCACTATTCAACAAAACTGTTCAGATATGGTCAGAACTTTTATCCATTGCCCATATATGGCAATATTTCAAACGGACAACAAATGAGCCAGGTAGGAAAGCTTCAAGAGAGAAATGACATGGAAAATAAATCTACAATTTACAATCTAGCCAAGTCTCTTACTATGGTAATCCTTCATGTAAACACTAATTTTGTAATCACTTCCATGTTTAAAATTCTGAGTGGCATTCAGATGAGACAGGTTAAACTGCAAATCAATCATAACTGTAAAACACATATGATTTATGGACATCTTAAATCTGCATATAATTGTGTGAATGTAACATCACTAATTCGAAATGCCACAGATTTAAAATTGTATACTGTATAACATGAAACATTTGGCACATTGCAGCTTTTGCAAAAATCAAGAAAACATGAATATGTGAAAAGAATATGTTCAAATCTACAAATATTGCTCGACTGTGAATTCAATGTGTTATACACTTACAGTATATTTCATGTATTTCCAGGTGAGCTGGGACAATGGAGACATCTCAGAGGTGTGTAAAACTTACCAGGACCTACATGAGTTTCACACAAAGGTGAGCCATTTAAAATTACATTAGAATTAATCTTAAGGCACATATGATGACATGGTAATAGATTAATAACATGTATGATTAAATTATCCGGTCCAAAATCTTTTCATCCAAGAAACAATTAATTACATCATTTTAATCGGCCATTTTATTCCACTATTAAATGAAGGGCCACAGTGCATTGGTTATATTTGTCCCACCAATTAACTCTACCATTTTACTAATTTATTAAACCATTTATTCTCTACCAATTTTACTCTTCGTAGCATCAAAAAATACATAAACATAAGATGTTCATCTTTTGTTTTTAGTTGTTGAAACTGTTTCCCGAAGAAGCTGGAGCACATCGTCAGAAACGGAAAATCCCATACTTTCAAAGTCTGCACAGCAAGCAGCGTGCACTGAAGGAGGAATCACTGGATCACATCAAGTCATTGGTTGTTGAGTATACACAGTAAGTGGATATACAGGGTGATCACAAAAAGTTAGAACCACCTTAAGTTGTAATTTTGTATCTATTAATACAGTTGCATCAATGCATCAATTAAGGCATGGCAACTGTAATCAGAATACTGTCAGTCATATTATGATATATAATGTGATTTAGATTGTTACTGAATGTACTATAAACAGAGGAATTTCAGATGACAATTTCTGCTTCAGACAACTAGCTGCTCTGCCCTCATATATCATGGAATGTGACCATGTGGTGACATTCTTCAATGGGATGACTGATGACCAGACAACAAGCAGCAGTTCTGCCAAATCATCTCCAGTTAATAACCAATCAAATGCTATGAATCATGCCAAGTCTCTAAGGAACAGCCAATCAGAGCCTGTATATACCCCTGGTAGGTCTTTAGTCTTTATGTAACCAATCTAATGCTATGAATCATGCCAAGTCTCTAAGGAACAGCCAATTAGAGCCAGTATATACCCCTGGTAGGTTTTCATGTAACCACTCAAATGCTATAAATCATGCCAAGTCTCTAAGGAACAGCCAGTTAGAGCCAGTATATACCCCTGGTAGGTCTTTATGTAACCAATCTAATGCTATGAATCATGCCAAGTCTCTAAGGAACAGCCAATTAGAGCCAGTATATACCCCTGGTAGGTCTTTATGTAACCAATCAAATGCTATAAATCATGCCAAGTCTCTACGGAACAGCCAATCAGAGCCAGTATATACCCCTGGTAGGTCTTTATGTAACCAATCAAATGCTATAAATCATGCCAAGTCTCTACGGAACAGCCAATCAGAGCTAGTATATAACACTGGTAGGTCTTTATGTAACCAATCAAATGCTATAAATCATGCCAAGTCTCTACGGAACAGCCAATCAGAGCCAGTATATAACACTGGTAGGTTTACATGTAACCAATCAAATGCTATACTGTATATAATGCTCTCTTCGGAACAGCCAGTCAGAGCCAATAAATTTTTGGCAAAATTAAGAGCTTATAATATTATCATGTTTCTTTTATATTCAAGATGTTAATTTGTCCTTTCTCATAACTCTAATTAAACATTTGATTCATGCTTTTTAGAACCCCCTGAAGATGGCAGCATAATCAGCCCGACAGGCCAAGTGAAAACATGCACGATTTATAACTCTCAGATTGGTGACTCTCCCATCAAGCCAGGTAATGTTACTATATCAAGTTGATAATATAATTCTATAGTCAAAGTTGCTTTGAGTGTTTTATATGTAATATTAAAATAAAATAAATATACAGGGTGTCCATAAAGTGTCTTTGCAATTACATAGTCTGTGTAAAGTGTAAAGAGAGTTTATGAATACCCTGTATTACGTTTTACAGCTTGCTGGAATAATCATTTCTATGGTTTGCAATATTTTATTTGCGACCAAACATGAAGAGATGGGGTTTATATGTCTTTATTGTATTTTAAGTTTTTGGCTACTCATGAACAGTAAATATGATTTTTATAGAATTGCAGATAATTTCTGTTTATTTAAGTCCATACTTATGATGGTACAGATACCCATTACAAAGCACAGCAAAAAGATACATTGAGGAATATTGGTCATAAGGATAACAAAACCCCAAATATCCCAAACTATATGGTCTAATTCAAAAATAAACAATGACTTAAAAAAACTCCTCCTCCATTATTCCAAAATTATTTTGAAACATGTTGAAGTCAATGATTTGTGTATTGTTTCAGTAACTCCCCCTATTGGTAAGATGGTTGATCCAGTGCAACAATCTGCGCCAATCAACAATGTCAACACCCTAGTCACAAACCATAGGTATGTTTTTTATCGTCTCTTTATTTACATTTACCATGTCTGCAGGCCTCATTGTTCTTACCACAATTTAATTCAAAATAAACTGATTAAATAATTAGTTAGTCATTCCTTTATATGTCCTCTTTTTCAGAATTGTAAGTTTTGAATTTATTTTTCAGACACACATATACGTTTGTGGCAAGTTCGCCTTCACCCCATGGATCTCCTCTCCCCTCCCCACTCTCTTCTCCACATATCTCCCCCTCCCTCTGCTCTCCAATGGTGCTAACTAGTGGCGGTAGTTCTCCGGTACTACCCCCAGGGAACTCCCCTCAGTCCTCCCCAAGGCCAGGTAACGCAATACAGCAGTGGCTGAAGAAGATACGTCTTCACAAATACGCAGACAGACTCAGTACTTACACATTTGAAGAGGTATTTATGCTAGATTCTAACAAATACACTGTCACAATATTTCATTCTTAAAGTTAAATGATTAAATGGTTGCCAGTTTTTATTAGCTCAACTGATCATTCAGTATTTAGTATGGATATTTATGAATCAATTCTAACTTTATTTTAATAAACTTATTTACAACATGGTACTAAGCAACAAGGAAATGTTTTGTTTTTAAACTTTGGTGTTTACAATTGGAATATATTTATGTGTTTATATTTTTATTTATTTATTTCATCCATCATTCTTGGTGTTGATATTACAAAGTCTCAGAACATATTATTAATTTTGTTCATAATAAAATGGTAATTTTTTGTATAAAGACTCTCTTGAAAGCCCATGGTCAGATCAACATAAATGTCAGTCAGAAATTTATCACAAATTATTTCAGCTCTTACGCTTGTCAGACAAAGATTTTCAAAATCAGGGACTTACAGAAGGTGCAATCGGGAAACTGCGGCGAGAAATCAACTGCATCAAGTAAGTTAAGAGAATAATTGAATTGTTTATTTTACAAATATTTTGTTTTGTTGTTACTATTATGTGTATTCTCATATTACTTTTGAAAGGGACAGGTATTCCCCGAAAAAAAAAATTCACCGAATATTTTTGTCATGTGATTCATGTTCAACCAATTAAGAATGAGAAAGATGACAGTAAGAAATGATAAGCAATATTTAATTTTTACGTCAGGTTAGGCATGTGTTTATTTGATAAAGAAACGTAAAATCTTTCTGTTTCAGAACAAAACTTAAGAATTTTCATTTTTATTCAAAATTTTTTACGCAATCACTTTATATCACAGTCTGATTTTTAAAACGTTTCTTCATCACCTGTTACATTTTAAATTAATTTATTTTTACCTTTAGAGAAAACAAAAATGTGAATGGGATCTCAATGCTCGACCCCAATGGTCACGTAGTATTCAAACGCTCTCCACAAAATGCTTCGCGTCAACTAATGTCTCCCCCTGTGTACAATATTGCGCAAGGATACCTTCAGCCAAGCGGACTTCTTGCACCAGTTCAGAAACTATTTCCCCAGCAGATGGAGCCATCAGTTGCAAGTAGTATCGATAGTTCATCATTGTGCTCAGAATACTCTAGTCCAGCTGCTAGCCCTGTGCCTGAACATGTAAAGTCTGGAGATAGCCAAGATGAACTCATAGATTCAGGTAGTCGATAAAACCTTGACTCTTTTTTTAATCACAGAAAGGTAGTCAGGATTGTTAAACTGAACTGACTGTGCTTGAGATATTACTTAGTTACTATGTTGTGTCTATAGTCGTTACTACGCAAATTCACAACCTTTTTGGGATAAACATGTTTTAGCATCATATGTTTAAGAAAAGTCATCCATTTGTGAATCATCGCTACATGAACATAGTTCCACCACAGTGAAGCTAAGACATAAGACATTTAATATGTATTATCTTATTAATGTATACTTCACTTTTTCAGACTCTCAACTTCAAAGCCCCACAAATAGAGGAAGGGAAGACTTGCATACACTTCTAAACAACTCATTGGATCAACTCGAGGCATATAGTAGCAGTCAGACTAATAACCCCTGTGTAGACATGGTGGATGGGTCAGCCCCATTGACTAGTCAATTCTTAAATAATGCGCCTAGCCAGTATGTGCCAACTCAGAACTCAGTTTCAGTGCTTATTCCCTCAGATAGGACTATATCAACTAGTTATCAATCACTAGTCACCATAGCAACAGCTCCCTCTAGTGTGCTGGCCCCTGGTGAACAAACTATAGTAAATATGCCATCTGGTGGCCAAATAAGAAATATATTGCCTCCAGGAGAGCACATGCCCCCTGGTGGCCAAATACGGACAATGATGTTGCCATCTAGTGAGCAGTCTGTCTCTGTAGTGCCACAGAGTGGCCAAATAAGAAACATGGTACCCTCGTGTGAGCATACTTCAATGCCCCCTGGTGGCAATATTAGGGCGATGAGACCCCAAATGATTGGCCATGTCAACCCACATGTACCAATACAAATCTTGCCTCATCCTATGATATGGCAGCAACAGCAGCAAGTTCGCATGCCCAGGCCTGCAATTAAGCCCGCTGGTCACCAGACCAATGCCCCTACTAATTATATGACCTCAAAGGTACCTCTAAATGGCACTCCAAACCCTGTCAGCCAGTCGGGCAGTTCTGTAGCCAGTGGCAACCCTAACTCTGTGAATACCAACACAGTAAGTGACGTTGTAGCTGATATCAGTAAACCCCCAATGAACAGTGTAAGCGTCTCAGCATCACCATTGGTCTGTGCAGGTGTACAATCACCAGACATCATCGCCACTAGATCAGGCAGCTCCTCTTATGTGACTACAGTGCCATCTATCCCTGGGTATCCTGTACAACAACAAGTGCCTCCAGCGCCAGTAGCTGACGAACTGAATGATAAAAACAAGCTGAATATCAGTACAGATGGGCAGCCACCTATTTATAAAAGTGTTGTGACATTTACACCCATTCAGAAGTCTGCTAATCCTATGATAAACTCAATAGAAAATGTCCAGTTCCGAGATTCCGAGCTGGTGCCCCCCACCCAGTGTCACCCAAGGGCTGAAAGCCCAGCACGCCAAGAACCTCCCCAAATGATTACTGTGTCTCAGGCAGCGTGTGATAAGCCCCTAGGGGTCATACCCTCAACAAGTTGCCCACCTCCAGGGAATATAGTACCCCAAGAGATCATGTCACCCCCAAGTGGGCCACCCCCTGGGGTCATTCCCCCTCAAGGTTGCCCACCCCCAGGGGTCATGTTGCTTCCCCAAGGGGTAATACCACCCTCAGGTCCACCTCCTGTGGGGGTCTCATCTCCAAGCACTGTCTCCACAGACTCGGATACTGCACAATGTGTAGATAACATCGATAACACTACAAAGAAGCTAGATGAAGGGGAATCTGTATCAGTATCAAAAAATGTTCAAAATTTTGAAAGTTTCCCGCAACATCTGCCGCATAGTTCTGCAGTTGTGCCTCATTCTGGTTGGAACCATCCAGTGGTGCCCCCTGGTGTACAAATGTTGCCACCCCCTATGATCCCTGGTACTGATCACCGCAACATGACTGCAACTCCTCCCGGGGGACAGTCGGGACATCATGGAAGCCAGCCATCTTGTAGTAACTGTGGATGTAACGGGCAACATAATGCCGCGAATTACGCACCATATAACGTAACATTTATCAGACAACCTCTGCCTTATATGGCGCATCCTAATTTCATCCCACCGACTTCTAACGGACTAGTGAATCACCTAGCTGGGCTTCCCTTTAGTCCTATGCATCATGGACATCTCCCAAATGGCCTTAGTCAGGATCTTATGTACAATCAACACAGTCACAATGTTAACGTTTTGCCATCGAGACCACCTGGAACTCCCCCAGGCCATTTTAGACTACCCCATATGCCTTATCATAGCATTGCCCAAAAGCCCCATGGGAAACATAGGCTGTCATGTTATAACTGTGGCGTGGCAGGACATCGGGCGTCAGAATGTACTCAGAAGACAATGGACTCTGTGACATCACAAGGTAATTGATTATATTTAGAAATTTTATTTTCACACTTAAAAGATGTTATTATGCCACCACCAGAAGTGGTGACATATTGTTATAGTGTCCAATTTTTTTGTGGATGGTGTTAAATGGCTGGTGTTTGGTGGTGATTGGTGTTTGGTGTCTGTAACAAATGATGTTTGGTGCCTGCAACAGGCTGCAGGTGGTGACATTTTGCATTAACAGTGACTGCAGTATGATAGTGTCAAGATCTGATTAGGTTTTTAGATGCAATGTGAGAACTAACCACTGCAGGCTGTTGGTATAGTGAAACATGTAAAATCATATGACATACACTACATAAATTAAAATATGACCAGCTTTGGACATTTTTTTGTATTAGGATAAAAAAAATAGAATAAAGTGACAATTTGCACTTTAAATTAAGGAGAAAAATTCTGGTTCCAAGTTTGTTAAATCATTAACATATTGTCCTTTAGTGATGAATAAAATTGCTCTTAAATACCCTTCTTTATTTTATGGTTAATAGTTTCAATACATCTCTCTTTCAGGTCACTATCATCTGAACTACCAGCCAAAATCAGACTCTGACTGACAGGAGCAGTCTCACAGTTACCACATATAGATTGACTGTCAGCAAATAATATCGTATACAGAAACCATGTAGATTATGTCACTGTGAAGATTCTGTTTCATTGGCAACTATGTACTATAGTTTTAAGAGGGTAACGATAAATATTGAGTCTCTATGACAATTGTATACATGATGTAGCTATGGCAACCAAGTATATAATGTTAAATGGTAACTTTGTACATTTATCACCACATATATTGATATTGTCACTGGTAGCCACTAACATCACGATTCTATGGTAAGCTCCATACTTTTGTCACAGAGAGTAGTTACTAAAGAGACAATATATATATTATGACCTGGTGGTTGCTATGTACATTTAACATCTGGTAACCACTTATAGTATGTCTTGTATTGCAATGAATCATGGTTTAATGAATCTGAAATGTGATTCACAGCAAACCATTGCTTCTTCCAAGCCCTTTTTCTAATCATCCTTATCTGCTGCGATACATGGATCTGACAAAAGCCATCTTTATTGAGCATAACTAGATACAAGGCCATCTAGTGAGCATAATTTGATTTTTAAGGCCCTCTAGTGAGCATAGTCTGATGCTAGGCCATCTATTGGAGACTACAATGCCATCTTGTGGCAGAAAAACACTCAATTTGACCAAAGACATAAGGAAGTGATTAAGATTTGAATAGAATGATTTGACTAAATGGCATGTATACACACATGTACATGGACCATAACGAGCCTTTTATACAGTACTTAAAGTATGTGCCAGATGATACCGGGCAGTCGGAATATTGGGTAACGACATAAGTATATGTACATTTTATGTTAATGTGGTGTGTAACTGCCACATGTCCAATCAAAATAAGGAAAGTTTATGTTTGCGCTGTACATTATATGACGTACAACAAGCACATATCTCATGAATGCTGCTATATGCTTTAGTTTACAAGTTTAAGATAAAACTGTATTATATAATAATTACTATTGTATGTGATGTGAGTGTTTTATGACGTGTGACTGAGAATTCAGATTCATTTAGTTACGCCATATTTTTGAATGGTAAGTTTTACCATGTAATGTATAAAGTAATGTATTTTAAAAGGTGTAACATCAGAGCATGTTATTTGGATGAGAGGTATTGCTAAAAAATGATCAGACTAAATCCCAACAATTCTCGCAAGAATCAGGGGGCCGTTTCTTTAAAATGTTGTAAAATTCAGTTGTATTTTATGATACTCATCAATAGTTACTGTAAATACCTACAAATATATTTTGCAAATCAATAATTTAATTTGATATTTTAAGATAATGGCTCTGGAATTAACAAAAGCCTCATCGATTCAACTTTCTGAATTTATTTATGTTTTTGAACGTGACTGCCATGACATTGATTTTGGGTAACTACTGTACTTTTTTTATCACACTTTTAAAAAGTGCTTTATTTTCATTATCTTACATGTCTTAGAGACAGGCGCCACATAAATCTTGTTATCAAAATTCCAGGAAAACTGCTTCTCCGTTGAAATTCTTACAGATGTTACAGATGCAATAACAGACTAGTGCCGAGATTTTGATTTGGTTTTGTGCATGCTTACTTCGCATTCTTACTTATCAGCTGGCGTCCTGCACAAATGTGACTGGCGTGTTACATGGCAGCCATTTTGCTCTTCATACTTCAAAGTTCGATATTTATCACTGTGTGACTTAAAATATTTATTTGCAACAATGAACTACATTTTTGAGGGTATTACCTTGGAGTATTTGGTGTAAGAAGAGGATACAAACAAATATAAGTATTTATAAAAGTGTAGAATTCTCTATTGAATTTTATTTATCTGGAAGATAATGCATTAAGAAGGAATTTTATTCGAAAGAATGAAATATTGCAATAGTATGTAAAAAGAAACAAAAACGGGTAGAATATTTTAAGTGTATTTGTATAAAGTATACTGTATAAAGCAACTTTTGCCAAACATTCAGTCATTGATTGCTAACTCAGTTATGGATTGCAAATTCAGAAATGGATTGCCAACTCTTGTTTTGGATTGCAGACTCAGTTATTGATTGCATATTAAGTCATTGATTGCCAACTCAGTTATGGATTGCAAATTCAGTGATGAATTGCCAACTCTTGTTTTGGATTGCAGATTCATTTATTCATTGCATATTAAATCATGGATTGCCAACTCATTTATGGATTGCAAATTCAGTAATGCATTGCCAACTTTTGTTCTGGATTGCAGAATCAGTTATTGATTGCATATTAAGTCATGGATTGCCAACTCATTTATGGATTGCTAATTCAGTAATGGATTGCCAACTTTTGTTCTGGATTGCAGAATCAGTTATTGATTGTATATTAAGTCATGGATTGCCAACTCATTTATGGATTGCTAATTCAGTAATGGATTGCCAACTTTTGTTCTGGATTGCAGAATCAGTTATTGATTGTATATTAAGTCATGGATTGCCAACTCATTTATGGATTGCTAATTCAGTAATGGATTGCCAACTTTTGTTCTGGATTGCAGAATCAGTTATTGATTGCATATTAAGTCATGGATTGCCAACTCATTTATGGATTGCTAATTCAGTAATGAATTGCCAACTCTTGTTTTGGATGCAGACTTAGTTATTCATTGCACATTAAGTCATGGATTAGCAACTTAACTCAGTTATGAAAAATAAATTCTATGATGGATTGTTTTGAATTTGAGAGAAACGGAAGAATTTGTGTGGAATTAAGGATTCAGTATGTGTGTAATTGAGGTTTTTGAGTGCAATAGAGTATTTATATGGAATAGTGGAATTTAAGTGGAATAGACAAATTTGAATGAAATCGAAGAATCACTGTAAACCAATATACAGCTCCTCTGGGCATGCTATCTAATGCATATTTTCCTTCAAAACTTGCACATTCTTTTGCATTAGCCTCACTATACAATTAAGAATTTGACATTTTGTTTATGAGATTTATTCCTCGTTTTTTTCTTTTCATTATCTCTTAATTTTTTTCATTTTAATACGTGACTACCAAGAAATTCTTGACTGAATAGGTACTCGTTGTAAATTTTGTAAATAGTAAAACGACTCCATGTATACTGCGATATGTGCAACACACAATGAGAGTAATATAGTGTCATTATCACAATAAGTGTAATATAGTGTCATCATCACACAATAAGTGTAATATAGTGTCATCATCACACAATGAGTGTAATATAGTGTCATTTTGACAAATGTTATAAATTATAATACATAAGACAAAGGGCTTTAATCTTTTAACTAAATGCCAATCAAAAAATAAATTCACATCTTATATATGGTTTGGAAAGTAGTTTTGCAGTTTTCAGCATTTATTATGAGAAAATTGAAACTTTGTTTATATGGACTAAAGAAACTTATCCCCTGTCTTTAAGAAGCCTGACATGAGGACAAATTGCAAGCATAGTGTAATAATTGACATAAACTGATAAATCATATTGTATTGTTATATGAGCCGAAACATAGGAAAACTTGTCTTATCACAGAAATTAAAATTGGAATACAAAAGCCAAAAATGTGACCAAGATTAAGAAGAAAATGTTGTAAATTCTAATCTGTCTTTTGGTCTATATCTGCAAGGAAAAATTGTTGAGACATGTGCCATGGCTCGTTTGAAAGATCTCTTTGTGCTTTTTAAGATAAACAAAAAAATTCTTACAAAATCTGTGATGAGACCCTCTTTCCTGTGGCCTGGCTCATATTGAGAAATTGAGCCCTTCTGATATTTTCAAAAATTGTACTAATGAAGTATGAAATATAATTTTAGTTTGATCTGTAATAAACTTTTTTGTTATTTCTACTTTCTTTGCAGTTTGTTTAGATTTTCTTTGATAATATAAAATATAGGCATATGGCTTTGTTTTGTGAGAGTGGCAATTTAGCACATAAGTGTGAGTTAGAAGGATCCTCCTGTTACCTCCCCACTTTGATGTATCTGCTATTAATTCCTGTTGAATAATAATTCTTGAAACAGAATCAGAATTGAGGTAATTATGTTCCAGTTCGCCTAATTTTTCACATTGACTGGTCTGTAAAAAAATTGTGGATCTTTCATGAGAAAGTTAATATCAATCAAATCAGTTAATATTTTCAAAGGTTTGAAATCTCCATTATTTCATTAGACAGGAGCTTGGACCCGATTGTATTGTGTACTTCGCTCTGGTTATACCATGTCCTTTGGAGTAGTTATTCTATGCATATTCAAACATATGATGTGGTTGAGCGTATTAGGATCCCTATCATATTCATGAACTCGGATGCAACAATGTTAGTGGACGCAGAAAAGTTATTCACGGTTGATCCTTTGGTCTTGTATTTTTTCAATTGAAATATTTCCAAGGTTGGTCACAGGAACATACTGGATTTCTAGAAAATATCTTGAATTACAATTTGAGAAAATCATTGTCTTTCACAGGGTCACATTTGTAAAGTCAATATTTTTATGTCACCACCACAAGTGGTGACATTGTTATAGTCTCCAACTTAATTGTGGATGGCATTCGGCAATTGGTGTTTGGCATCTGTAATAAATGGCAGGTAGTGACATTTTGCATGTTTATGCCTTGTTTAGATTTTATTCATGAAATTCATTTTTTTCACAATCTTATGAGATATTTTTTATGAACACCCGTACATGAACACTTACATCTTAAAGTGTTTGCATTCATTTTTTATTATTTTGCAGTTTTCTACTTATTTTGAGTTTTTGTATAGCTCAACAGATAACTGTGATATTGTATATTTTATCTGTTTTTATTATGTCTACTGAATAGAAATGTTGAAATAGCCTACTGTCAACATTTGAGTTTACATACATGAATTATATCTGAATATTTGTTCATATGCTGATATATACTTAAAGGGCTTTAAAAGTACTGGACCACCTTTTCATGACAACTCCAAGGTTCATATTTTACATATTTTATGTTTTTGATCATCAGTAACACATGCCGCAATAGGTACAGCAGCCATGTTGTTTGAACGAACATGAAAGAAATATTCAATTTTTATTATAATCAAACCAAGTAGGCAATCACTCCAATTACAAAAAGGTTCATATTTTACATATTTTATGTTATTGATCATCAGAAACATTCTGCCATAGGTACAGCAGCCATGTTGTTTGAATGAACATGAAAGAAATATTCAAGTTTTATTATAATCAAACGAAGAAGGAAATCACTCCAATTACAAAAAAGGTTCATATTTTACATATTTTATGTTGTTGATCATCATTAACATTATGCCATAGGTACAGCAGCCATGTTGTTTGAACGGACATGAAAGAAATATTCAATTTTTATGATAATCAAACCAAGTAGGCAATCACTCGAATTTCTTGTAGAAAAAGCACTAGAAAATTGGTAGAATATAGGATAAAAAACTGGAGTAACTGACTCACTGGTGATCCACTCGATTACGCTGGTTACCAAAACGAACCGTTTTGGTAACAAAATGTCGGAACGTCGAAGGCACGATTTCTCTTTTTTCCTTATTTCACGCGTTGTTGGCAGAATCCCCACGACGTTTTTTCTCACAGCGTACAGCAGTATCATATGTTTTAGAAAATGTACATGTTTGCGAAAAAATAGCTCAGAGGATAACAGAATCGTCGATTTACTTCCTCACTCAAGTTACATAAACGGTTTTTCGAAAAACAGTTAAGATCTGCACTTTTAACCCAAACCATTTATGTAACTTAAGTGAGGAAGTAAATCGACGATTCTGTTGTCTTCTGAACTATTTGTTCGCAAATATGTACACTTTCTTAAACATATGATACTGATACACGTTTGTGTTAGAAAATGTCTTGGTAATTCTGCCTACAACGTGTTAAATAAGGAAACGAGAAAATCGTACCTTCCGGATGTTCCGACATTTTGTTACCAAAACGATTCGTTTTGGTAACCAGCGTAATCGAGTGGATCACCAGTGTGACTGATAAGTCAGCCATGAAATGATTGAAATGTTAAATAGTCATAAATTATATGATGATCATACAAATTGATATATTTCTGCAATTCTTTTCATTTTTAACTCCATATAGTGTAAAGTTAATATCAATATGTTTGCTTGCTCATAAGATGATACAATGTGTGGATTCGGCCACTGACACTTTATATGTTCTTTGAATTTCAACAAATAACATTAGAACTGGATACCGAACAGTATACAATTGTTGACCTCTCCAGAGGTCAACCGGCAAAATTGTATACCGAGACTGTAAACCGAGAAACTACTGTTGACAGAGACCGAAGGTCGAGGTCAACAGTAGTTTCAAGGTTTACAGTCGAGGTATATTATTTTGACGGTTGACCGAATGGAGAGGTCTACAATTGTTTTGTTAGTCAGAAGAAACTAATAATAGTTACACATATAGACGACAGTCGTCAATCATGGCTTCATTTCACAATCTTTTCTCCGAACCACGCCAGCAATAATTTGTTAAGAAAATCAGAAGACAGTCGTAGCTAGACTCTCTGTAGTAAATTAATGTTAATTTTGCGTTTCTATTTGTATTTTTGCTATACTCGTCGTCTAGCAAAGTCAAAATATCACTTTCATCAACGTTTACAAAATGTCCGTCTTCAATTTTGTTTTCTGTAAACATTGTGACGTCATATTCCCCATAATTCACAAGTGTAGTACAGTAACATACGCGGTCAATAATATGATATCCCATGATGCACAGGTGAGGTACAGGCAAAAATGTTGACCGCTAATTGACCAATCAGATGCGAGTATTTACACTGAGGTACTAACAATATAAAATGTAAATCTTAAACTGAAAATGTGAAATAGGATTGAGTATAATATTTTAAGAAATGTAAATGTAAAAAGTGTTAAAAAAGACTAAAAATAGAAAATATTTAACAAGACGCAAGTGAATCAAGTTCTGTTACTTTATTAAAGCGTTACCCTAGTTACTACACTGTACATGTAAAAGCTTTTCACTTACACATTTAAGAGAGGTTTTGGTCAACATTTTTAGCTCAGCATATCTAAATTCTGTAACACATTCACCAGATTTGTGCGTCACAGTTCAATTAAATCGAGATGCAGTTGCGGATATGTTTTAGCCATAACCCGTCATTGTGAAACCTCTCTATTGTCTATAGTTGTGTTTTATCCCAAGTTTTCTGTTTAATTTGATATGTGAATAATATTCTCTGATGGTAACTCATGTCAAAGCAATTTGTCAACTTCTCTCTCAGGTTCATGATATATCAACACACTCAGTCAGTTAAAAAGCAGGAAGGTTGGAGTTCAAGTCACCCTATCCTTACAGTTCTTGACCCTGTGTCAATAGATGAGTCCTACAAATAGGTCCTACCAATGGGTATAAGGGTGTTGAATTCGACACTCTGGTTGGTTAACTCATTTCATGCAGGTTTCCATCTCCCTAGGTATTGATTTTCTTCTAGAGTTCCTCCATTTTCTCACACTGCTCTATTTCTATCATAACTTCTCAGGAAGGAAATACATGAGCCTTGCCATAATTTCTGAAAACAAATAAAACAACTGTTGTCAAAATTTATTCAAATGTAAGAATTGAGTTTTGCATTCCTTTATCTCGTATGTCATCATCAAATTGTTTTTAAGATTAGCATTCCTTTACAGCATGCTTCAACCTTACCTAACATAGAGTTATCAAGCTGTTTGTCAATACTCCATTTATCTTGCAGAATATGCATTTTATCCTCTGATGTGTATGCAACTGTGTTCATGGCCAATTCTCTTTCCCCATAGCTGGTCATAGGTTAAGGATATGTTTATAAAAACTTAAACCAATATTCACAACTTTAAAGAGTGTACAATTTTTTTTAGTGAGGCCGCGAGGCAGTTTGGCATTTTTGAAAAAATAAATAAATTTTTTTGTTTGTTTTGTATCACTGTTGTTCACCATATATGTAATATTTTAATGTGTTCATTGAATAGAGAATAGGTTGCAGAATTTGTGGCCATTTTCAAAGGATACTTCAGTCGAACTGCCACTTCTATAGACTGTAACCATAGCAACATGTCAGTTATAGATGGCCTTAGTGGTTGTCCCTCCATAGCAGCCTGGATGTCTAACTGAGCAGAGTAACGTTGACGACATAATTCGCTTGTTGAAGTCTGACATTGGGTAATATGCCTGACACACATTTCTTGGTTATGCCTGGTGAGACAAATAATAAAAACATCAAGGAAAAATGTACTATACATTTTTCATGTTGCCATAGTAACAATAATTATCCATTGTGACATAATCACAATGACACTTTTTATGCCGCTCATAATACACTTCCCCTTCTTTCTGAAAATTACAAGTAAATTGGTTCATAATAAAATTACAAACAAATTCCCAGAACTTCATGATCACCCTATATTAACCAGATCATAACACTACAATTTTGCAATTATACAAGATCATAACATGAAAGCTCAAACAAAGCATAACAAATCCAAATTTGAACCTCTGACTGCAAAAGTGTCAACAATAAATATTTGTTGCAAAAGGTGATTGAAATAAATATTATGAGACAACCCTCGTATATACTTACAGACTCAATGCTAGTTTCTCTATCAGGTGCTCTATGGACATCATTAGTTTTCCTGACAGTTTATCTTTAACATCAGGGAACTTTTCTAATGGGGTGCTATCCATCTCAACATCCTTGATAGCAATCAACTGTTCAGATAAATTCACTATGGACTCTACATACTGTCGTGTCTCTTCTATGTCCTTATTGTATTTTTCGTATTGATGTTTGACTATTTTAAAAGATTTCTGGAGCTGTCTAAGAATGGCTGACTCAGCTTGCATATTGGTTTTTATCTGAATCTGGTATAATCCTCATTAAATCAATGCGTTGAACTTTTGACAATCATCTCACCACCTGAAATATGAGATTGAATGATTTAATCCACAATTGTAAGGTCCAATTTTGCCTAATGAAATATGCTAGACCATACTGGACAAAGGCTGTAAGGCTTGATGGTTGAATGAACAGTGATTCAGAATATACAGTCACACTGCATCAAAGTAATCAGTTGAACCTAAAAATAAGAAATCTGACATTTGTTTATCTTGGATTGCTTGTGAATTTGGCTTATATAGTCTGTAACCTCTTTTATTTATATATTTTCTGAAAAATAATAGCATGGCGGATAGACAAGAGGGGACAGGCTTATTGCACTAAAAACTAAATAATCTGAAATATACAAATGTCATTTGTGTGCAGTATGAATATGTTTTTTCCATGTATTATGCACAATAGTCTTTAGATTTCTTATTTTTAGGTTCGACTGATTGCTTTAAAGAAGTGTAACAGACTGTACATGAAGATCATGTTTCCTAAAATTTGATGAAGTAGGATGCAAATGAAAATGGATTACACTTGTTACATGTATATGGAGCGGGGTATGGTATGGCATTGGGTAGATACAAAATATTTCGAACCAAATTTGATAAAAACCAAATTTTTTAAATATCAACATAATGCGTGATTTGTGTGACATTTTATCATACACGCAAAATTGATGTGTGAATTCAATTTCTCCAGCAAATGCGTGACAATCACACATAATGCAGCTCCTTACTCTGTGTATACCAAGGAAATGTGGAATGTTGACAAATGGGTATATGTTTTCGTTTTTTTTCCTGAGAATAATATCTTCACCGTCGCGCCACGGTTTGGCAGTGTTTCACAATGTAACCTAATTAGGCCTAAGGTCGGGTGTTAAAGGACTTTATGAGATAATTCTGCCAGGGCACCCCTAGTATGTATCCAACAGACTGACTAGAAGTCAGTCTGTTATGATGTTCTACTTTCCTGTGGAAATTGCAGTGAACTTTTTTGCACAAAATTATGAATTAGAGGAACCATTTCTTCAATAAAATAAACATTACAAAATTTCAAATAAATAGTAAGGTACAATTAAATGCAATAAAAAGTAACACAGCATATTGTCAAGTGTAAATAAAGCTAGTTGAAGTAACAAATTTGCAAATTAATTTTACCCAATCGGCCATTTTGAATAGCACTTCCTATGTAAACAAATATTTAGAATTACCAAACTTTAACATAGGTGCCTTAGGGGCGGGGTCAAAATATCAATGTTCATATGGAGACGAAAGTAATTTCGTTTGGAGAACAACCCCCCCCACCCCCCTCTAGACGAAAGCTTAGGTCACTTCAAAAAAACATTGATTTTCAGTGACTGTCAAATGATTTGGAACCCGTGATTACATTAACACACGTTCGCAATTTAACTGCATTGAACTCTTCAAAAGGAGGAGGGAAAAGTATGGAATTTATTTGAAAAATGATCGAATTATCGTCTTTATCTACCGATATTTTGGACCTATCACACAAAAAAGCTCACGAACTATTGAAAACAAGCCTTTTTATCAGAACATAGCGCCAGAAAAAGTGGGTAAGTCCAATTATTTTTTGTATATCAGATCCGAATTATCGATGTTTTTTTGGTCAACGAAAGTGCCCAAAAACCCCCTCCCCCCCTCGTGAAAGTACTTTCGTCTCCATATGAACATCGATATTTTGACCCCGCCCCTAATATAGTCTGAATATAATTCAGACTAAATAGGATATAGTCTAAGGGCAGCCCTGTATACAGTTGGGGACAAAAATAAATGACAGGTCGATTTTCGATCACCATTTCCTAATTATGGTGGTCTGAAAGCCCATAACTTCCAATATTGTCTAGATATATATCCCTTAAAATTTGTATATTTTACATTTTGTATAATCTCATCCACTGATGTATGGCCTCTTGTAAATTCTCTTATTTTTAACATGGGAAATCCTCACTTCAGCAAATCCACCTGTCATTTATTTATGTCCCCAACTGTAGCTGTACTTTAGTTCATGAGATTCTTATCCATATATAAATCACAAATAATAAAATAATACCCATACGTGGAAATGAATTCACAGTTGCAGTTTATGTGGATTGTAATGCATAGAAAAAATATTTAGAAAAATCTATCCAAGTGGGCGATAATACATTTTTAATAGGAAATCATTAAACAATGAGAGATATAAAAGAAACCATTCGACTAATTGTCTTTGTGTCTATGCGTGGTACTATACAGATCAATGTCAACATGTAAAACTATACTTATACACGGTACTTTTGAAGTAAATTCACTTCAATTTCAAAAATATTTTTTGAAACATGGGCGCAGACATCTTGAAATCACGTGACTATTTCTCAATCGCTGATTGGACAATCCAAAAAGTTCAAAATTTTGGCGGATCTGTGAGGTAAATAAACATTCATTTATTTGTCCAAAACTCACAATATCTATGGATATTATGATTAAATCACTATTCTGTAGTCAAAGTCTAAATGATTATGCTGGTTATAACACACATTTCATGTGTTACAATCTCTGATTCAAGCCAGAAAATGAAAAGGACGAATGATTAAGGTACAGCTGGAAAGTAACATTTTGGTAAAAAATTGCTATACCTGCACATGTTATTTTCTGGTACAAAATAAAGTATGAAGGCATGTATCAATTTCCTTGCTTTTTTCAGGAAAGTATCATTACATTGTCTTCTTTTAGAATATCTGGTAGGCGTTCAAAGGGAACTCCAGGGAATTCTGATATTTCACACTTCCTGTTTTTCCAAATTTTCTTTCAAAGTTTCCAGACAACACAGGAGCTACCATTGACCTGTTTCCAGGTTTACTAAAAGTAGACAGTGTAATGATACTTTCCTGAAAAAAGCAAGGAAATACACACATGCCTTCATACTTAATTATGTACCAGAAAATAACATGTGCAGGTATAGCAATTTTTTACCAAAATGTTACTTTCCAGCTGAACCTTAAAATTAAAAATCCACGATTTTCAAATAATTTTTAGGCCTACGATAATAGCCTGTTCAAATTGACATGAAAAAAATTGTGCAGGAGATAGTAACTGGATAACCCTCTTCCTAGGAGTAGGAATGATAATGTCATCTCCCATTTGCATGGATATATTGTTTCTGGTTTCACTACTATATAGGCCTAGTCTAGACCTCTATTATGGACATTATGGATATTGACTTTGAAAGTCAAAACCCCGAAAGTCTAACTCATCAGATCTGAAGCGTCCCCGACTAGTTACTTCGTAGGAAAATGATTTACATGGGATGGGGAAAAGTACAGCGTTAGAAAGAATGCCGTCTCTGTTGACATTGATACTGTATGAAACGTTTGAGCATGAACAGTATTGAAAACAATTTTGTGGCACTATGGCTCAAAACGCCCCAATTCAGTTCAGTATTCAGTTCAGTATCCTTAACTCTGCTGATCCAAGCCTTTTATTGATTCTGATATTCTTGTCTTGTCAGACCTGTACTGTACGGCCAGCAGGACATGACAAATAAGTAATTAAGGCCCGTGAGGGTTTGACTGGTTGAACTATACTCAATTCAGATTCAGGAAAATTCAAATATGTACATATTAAAAAAGGTACCGAGGCTGGCCAATGGCATATTATTATTTGGTCAGAATTAATTAAGATTGTTTGAACTATTTCAGTCTTAATATTGCTGATAGAAACTCAAGAAAGCAACATGCCACGTAGACGGCACACAAAGGCCCTGAACAACCATGACAAACCGTGTACCCCCACTGGAGATGAAGGCAAGAATCTATCCATTGAAGATCGGAGACAGAAGCTCAAGCTACTGTTGGAAGATTATGACAATGAAGGTAACAACTTAATCCATGCTATTGCTCACCCTCTCTGGAGTCAAAATAAGAGAGATTTCTCTTGTTAAAAAGATGCATCATTTAACTAAAAAAATGTCCTTATACATACAGTGAAACATTTTTAAATGGTTCAGCTTAAAATTGTTCATGTTTCTCTTACAGAGGTTCATAGTTAAATCAAAGGGTATCAAGTCAGCAGACTTTGAAAAATGTTCTACTTTCTTCTTCTCTTCACTCATGTCAATTACTTGAAGTTTTCTAATCTTGATCTGTTGATTGTGTTGCAGTTAAAGTTCGGGTGAAGTCCATGAGATCAGATGCCAAGACTATAGCCAAGCGTATCAATCATGCTCTTAGACTAGAGCTTATCAAACTCCCAATGGTAAGTGGATGGCCTCCCAGCATAAAAGCAAAAGCAGTACATGTACATTGTAGTATATTCAGTTACGATTTATTTGTAAAATAAGGTTACTATGGTATTTTTAGAAATTTAAATCCGAATAGGGAAAATTGAATTTTAAATAATAGTTGAGCAGGTAAAACTACTGGTAACTCTATTCCCCAGAGTCGTCGCTGACTCGAATCTGGTTTGCCCATCTTACTTTGCATTTCAAACATAATTTTTCAAAGTGAGGATCATTTGTCCTTCATGCATTGTAGTTTATTAAATTATTATTAATGTCGCATTGTATTTGTCTTTTGCAGCATATACGTGGGATGAATAGACTGGAATTTTTCAGTAAGTTTAGAAGTAGCAATGTCAGTTTCAGCTTTCCATGTTTTAGGGTTTCTTTACATCATTGTGCAACTTACACAATGATTTTATGATTAGTTTATTACGTTGATCTCATTCAATTGTCCTGTTTTATGACATTGGTGAAACTTTATTAATATATTTGTAGTTTGAACTATTTTGGAAATTTGATAACTTGACCCTTTTTAAAAAATGAGTATATTGGGGTCATCATGAGAACTCACCAAATACTAGTGCCATTTTTATTTCAACTCATTATCAATGCAAATTTCAAGAGAAAAGTAAACTGTATTGAAATGATGTATGAAGGTCACACTGCTTTTTCTTGTGATTTTGAAAACTATTCAGACAGAGCAGAAATTTAATTTTGAAATATTGAACATTTCAGATAGTGGTGGCAATGGTAATACATCAAGTAAAACTGAGGAGATTTCGGACATTGTAAAAGATGTAGATTCTGCAATAGCAAGTACAAGGTAAGTGTAATAACATATGAGTATTACAATTGTCATTGGATCACATTTATTGATCAATCATATTATTGAAAATAGTGATACTTTCAATTTTGTTTGTGGGTCAAAATTTAGAGCCACAGTTGTGGGTCAAGTTTATCATCATAAAGACCAAGTGAGGTGAGGTGTCAAACAAGGTCATTTCTCAAGGTCATAACTCATGGTTAAAGCTTACTGAAATGTCATTTTTTCAAGATTTTTCTAAGATCTGTAAGATACAATATTAAGTAAAATATGAATGGAATTAGATGTGAATTAAATCAAGTTTTGAAAATAGAATTGTTTATTTTATTCTAAAGGTCTGTATATTTCAGATTTTTTTTAAACATATTTATTTCCTTCATAATCAAAAAATACACAAAATATCTACTACCAATCGCCATAGGCATTCTAGGTAGTTTAAATTACAATAGAGGATTAATTACAGTAATCATGGATGGTTATTGATAGTAATGTGAGGGGTTGGGAGGGAGGGGTGGGGTGTCACAAGAAACAAGTGAGCAAGTGAGAGTTACATTAATTTGATGGAAACTTATTGGAAACTTTAACAGGCCTGTACAAATTGCATATCTCAGATAATAGAAGGCATTTTCCACATTTTTGCAATTTGATATAATATGAATATGGTGTTGTAATTACATGTTACATGAACATTTTGATATTAATGATTCAATCTAAATTGGCCTCTTAGCCTCCATAAACACATAAGCCTGAACTGGCCTCCCTATAATGTTTGCAAATTATAATTCTAGTGCCAAGATAAAAACAGTACATAGTAATTATGAAACTATATCAGAAGAGAATGAAGACCAACAACAGCAAGCCACACCAGCTTCAAAACGACCACTGAGAAAGGTAAGCTTATTTAAAAATATTTTTAGAGAGTTTCTATCACTTCTTGTTTTTTGAAAAAGTTATGAGATAGTTGTCAGCTTTGATCATATAGGGCGACTTTTTTCCTTGTCTGCACATTACCAGACAAACCGCTTTTAAGAGATGTTGCATAATATAAAAAATAAGAATCCAGAACTGATAGATTTGGGCGTGTTGGATAAATTTAAAGTGGCCATTTTTGATTTTTGGATATTGTAGTGAGAGAACTTTTACACTACAAGCAAAATGCATGAACTTGTACTTTAATGTTAACTGGTATTGAAGGAGAGTGGATCGTTTACAAAATCTCATAGTGTTCCAAAAATGATATAAACAAATTTTGTGTTTTTCTCCGAGGACCTTGTATCGCAACCTCTGTAACATTGTTTATGTACCACTATTACAGCGAAAAGGAAAAAATCAGCAAGAGGCTCCAGCAGTTAGCTCACCGGCACTTGGAAAAACTGTAATTACATATAAACCATGACAATTAATTGCCTGTAAAACATTCTGCATTTATGGTGAAAATACTAGCATTTCTTGCCTCGAAACATACACACTAAAATTAGCTTCAAAATAAAAACAGACAGTCACAATATTTTATTAAAATATCTTCTCATTTCCCAATTTTGCCAACAAAATCCTGCAGAATGCTGAACATACAATTAATTGTGTTGTGTTTATATGTATGTGTCTAAATGCTTGTATATCTGTGCCTGCTTTGGTTGCTAATTTTTATTTAATATTCGTCAGTCCCATCATGTTTATTTGCTTTTGCTGGTGTTTTGTAATATGGGGCTAGTTTGTTTGGAATTGAAACTATAGAACATGCTTCGCAGATTTATAATTGACTGGGCTTCTTATCCTGATCCTTAAATACAGTATTAATTAAAGAAAAAATTAAAGAAAAATCTATACCTTGCTTTACTAGTGTGTAAACGTTTCCCATTAATAAGTGAAGAAACCACATGGCCACTAAAGAAAGTCTACCTTTGATTAGCAGTCCTGGCATATAGTCGCATCCTGGACTGAATCTAACTCATACATGACAACACTAAAAATCATACTTTAACCTGTGTAGTTGTGGATGGCAATGTTGATGTCATGTTTTGCACAATTTGTATTTGTTGATGTCAATATTGATGTCCTTTTTAGCACAATGTGTATTTGCAGGTGGAAGTGTTGCATTTAGAAAATTTGTGTTTAACTTAAAGTCTACCATAGCATGTAGCGCAGAGTTGGCATGATATATTGGAATATTTTCACTTGATGTATAACTTAATTAAAATTGCAGCTAAATCTACAGGAAATCAGATACTGATACATTTATTTTTGTTAAATGATAAAAATATGCACTGATATTTATTTGTATTCCAGTTAATATTTAAAAGTTTCCAATTTTGGCTCACTCTGTAGTATTATTTGAATGTTTCAGAGAGCAGCCAGGAAGACTAAGAAGGGTGTGCTTGAAGAGAGCCAGAGTAGCAATATTGCCCCATCTGCTCCAACTGCAAAGTCATCAAGGTATGCCGCCACAATACTTTTCTGAACATTTTGCATAATATCATTTATTTAAATCTAAAACTGTGGTGCAGCTCCATATTTTTTTATAAATCCCACCTGGACCAGCAGAACATGAGGTTGATAGGCATGTATTAGTGTTTTGACCAAAATGTTGTACTCGTCTTTAGCTATTTTTTATCATTTCTTCTAGGCGAACTAAAACAGCAGCAGCAGCCCAGTTTAAGACTCCAGCATTCAAGGGTGGACCCTCATTGGTTGGCTTTGACACACCTGCAGTCACACCTAAGTTTGACCCAAGGTAAGGAGCCATTCACAAACAGCCTATTCTGTTTCCATTTCAGCATCCAAAATGTTGAATATAATGAATAATTGATGTTAATATATGATCCTAATAATAATGCGAATTCTATTTGCAATTGTGTAAAGCTGAAGCAGGAGAATGTAAAACAAGTACTTCATTTGTGTTTCATATGCTTTTCTGAATCATGGACACGTTTTCAGTATAACATACTGCTTTTCATTGCACTGCTTTTTATTGCACTTTAAAAAACGCTATATTGTCGTTGTCTTGTGCCACTGGGCGTGCAATTCAAAGTGGGATATTTATCGCTGTGTCTTGTTTGTTAAATTCAGATTTTAATTAATGAAATACCATGATAGTAGAAATAAATGTAATATACTGTATATATCGATGTACAGTATTATGATATAATAAAAATAAAATTGTACAATGTTGTTTCATCTAGGTTACCCCAGACTCCGGGGCTTGTGAGAGAACCTAAACCAGGGGAGAGAATTATGTCCCTCACAGGAAGTCCACTGTCCAATGCAAGAAGAACATGTACAACGTCTAAGGTGGCTGAAGTCTATGTCTCAGTGGGAGAAGGAAATGTAAGTATAAAACCTTAATATTTATGTAAGATTCAGTTTTATGATTCCTCCATGTCATGTTATACGATGTTGCACTCAAAAATGAAAACAAAGATAACTTACTTACGATGTTTCTTCCTGTTCGCTATTAGAGATATTTTAAACATTGCAGCGACTTGAAATAAATATTGTTTTTTAAATGTCTGATGAGTTTTGTCCAAACTGAAACCTGAATCTTTTTACCTGGTCTGGATAACAGATACTATGACTTAACCATAGCCATTAGCCACAGTAACATTTGAATATGTATCAAAACCTTTAGAATATAACTATTTTTCAAATAAAAATTAATGATACATTGTTTCAAATTGAACAGGCAAACTTCGACAAGTGGGTGGCATCATAGAAAATTAAGTTCATTGCATCATCAACTATATTTATTCAACAGCATAGTTGTGTCCTTAACATCTGCTTATTGTTTATTACAGGTGTTACAGCTGTCCTCAGATACAGATGTGAAAGATGTTGATATCCCAGAAATGGACCCTCAAGCCAGAGCCAATATTTTACTGCTACAAGAAAAACTAGCGGCCATTTTACGACAAAAAGATGTGAATGTTTCATAGCGATGATATTATTAGTGAATGACACTACAGGCATACAACATACATACATACATGTACATGTATTTGACATTAGCCAGAGTCACCATACTGTATTTGCAAGAAAACATACTGTCATTTTACAACAAAAAGACTTGAATGTTTCAATGCAATCATAAGTGAATGACACTACAGGCAAGCAACATAGTTATTCTACAGTTACAACTTTTGAATATTCATTGAGGATTATTTGAGGACATTGTTAGTGTATAACATTTTTGTTGTATGACATCATTAGTGTTTGACTTCAGATGTGTTATTGTTTGACTTGAGTCAGATCCAGTACATCATTACTGAAGTGGAAGAACTCGTGAAAACCTTACATTTCAAGTCATAGTTTTTGTAATGAAGTATCAGCAAATATCTGTTCTACTTGTTTCATGAGACGAGTGCATATACGAGTACTCCCCCAAGTAGACTTAAATTCTGCACAATTACTTCCTTTCTATATACTTTCAATTACAATAGGCCTATATATATTGGTGGAATAATTGCATACAGAAAGCTGTATTCATAGTTCTTCAAACTATGGTATCTCGGCTAACTGTGATTGGCCTGAGGCCAGAAGCTAAGGGATGATTGGGTTCTTTTATAGAGGGAGCCAATATTGGCTCAATGATAGTCATACTTTTAGAATGATACTAATCCACCTCTACATGTTTCTTAAATTAATATAAATTATAAGCATTGAAGATTTGATACATTATTCTCTTCTATACAAACTGTACAACAGTGTACATTAAGGGGAGGCATCAAAAGTTCGATGTCGAATAGAAAACTAAATAAATCTAGTTAGGGGGGAGGGGGTTCAAACCCATTTCAGTTTGCTATCCGACAAATTTCAACATTTCAAATTTTTGGCAATTTCGACTCAGAATGCCTTCGAATGGTTTGAAAATAAAGATTTTGCCTGATGCTTTCTTTGTCAAGATCATTCCAAAGGATTCTATTCTATCAATAGTTGTTAAAAGCCGCAAATTAGGATAGGAATTAACGAAAACTAGATCGTGTTTAGCAATAATTTTTCAAATTCTCGAACTGGAAGTCAGCGATCAACTTTCATGGTATTTAGTTTTGGGGGGAGGGGGGGGGTCAGAGTCAAAACTAGATTTATTTAGTTTCCGATCCGACATCGAACTTTTGATGCCTCCCCTAAGTGGGTAGCATTAAGTGTACGTCTTGGTACAATAACTGTACCATATTTACCACACACAACACAACAACAATTTCATCAACAAGTACATTAACAAAAATAAGGCCTTCAGAAATATATTTTTAGTAGGACTGGAACGTACAAATGAGAATTTGTTTTTTATCTGTAGGCCTAGCAAAGCCAAGGTTAGCAAAGTTCAAGTGGTGAGTGAAATTACCAAAAGGGAGCATTGCGAGAAACCTTTCTTGAAATAAAAATTTTGTAAGTTGAATTCTGTAATAATGTTTGTAACAATCGAGAGTAAAATATAAAGGGCTTCTATATTATGGAGCTCGAAATACTAATTAATTTGCATACTACATTTACATGTACATTTGGAATGAGAGATTTTAACTTGTAAATAAAGTAAACAACAGACATAAAATAATTTATTTTGTTTATTCTATATTAGTTTATATACTTGCTATATACATATTTTAAATATATTTCCCCTCTTGGTTTACCAGTACCTTATATACAGCAAATAAATAAACATTATACTCCCATGGATTATTTTACAAAATACAAATTAAATTCAAATGTTTATTCCTAACCTTATATTGTAGAAACCTAGATATCTAAAATCTAATTGGTTCAGAGACAGTCACTTAACACTGCATACCAATAAGATAATGTATGCAACTCAGTTCATATGCAGCCAAAAGATAGAACAGATTTTTTCATACCCCCAAATGTCGCTCCTTTGGCATCAATGTTTTTCCAGTGTCCATCAATGAAGAAACAAAGATTTTAAATGTCAGAGCAGTAAAGTTCCAATGTTACTTCATTATTTAGTTATATATTCAGGCCTGATCCCCATAGATTCTAATATCTAGCCGCTGGTCCTTGTAATTTAGAGCCTAGGAACTAAAAAACATGGGCCAGAGGATATGTTGAGATACTGTCTATACATCATCTTCAATCTATACTGAGGTCTCTCATACCAGCTATCATTCTATACAATCTAACAGGCATTTTCTCTGTAAGCTCATTGAAGTCATCTTGTGGGGCCTTCAGAAGCGTTTCTATGTTCTTCAAGTTCTCAGTGGGGTGAAGACCCAGATCATCCAGCACATTACAAAGATAATCTGCAAGTGAAGTTTGTTTTGGATATTAATGCTACATTCACAAAAATATATAAGGGAATCGATATGGGATTTATCACATGGAATGATATCTGAATGACAGAGAGTGATTGTATGCATAAAGTAGTATTCATTAGAGAATATTTATTTAATATAAGAAAGCTTTATAAAGGAGTCATATTCACACTCTGAGGCTATTTCCTCCCAAATATTCAACTGAAGACAGAAAAATAATATGAGGATTTTACCAAGAAAACAAGTATCTATTTGATCAATTTTGACAAAAAATGTGAATAATATTATTGAATTTGACTAAAAAATTTCTTGGTAGAAATCATAGTAGTGTCTTAAGTCCCCTCTGTTAGCTATGGGGTTAGTCTTACCTATATCTGTTATCATCTGGCGTGTAGCATGAGCTGTTATTGTGTTCACCTTCAAGATTTCCTCACTGTAAGTGTGCATAGTGCCCTTTGATATAGAGTCCAACCACACATCAGCTATGTGTTCAGGCACCTCTGTAATGTGAAATATGTGAAAGATTATATACAAAATGTGAAAGATATCCTCACTGTAGGTGTGCAGAGTACCCTTTGATATAGAGTCCAACCACACATCAGCTATGTGTTCAGGCACTTCTGTAATGTGAAATATGTGAAAGATTAGATACAAAATGTGAAAGATATCCTCACTGTAGGTGTGCATAGTACCCTTTGATATAGAGTCCAACCACACATCAGCTTTGTGTTCAGGCACTTCTGTAATGTGAAATATGTGAAAAATTAGATACAAAATGTGAATGATCTCCTCACTGTAGGTGTGCATAGTGCCCTTTGATATAGAGTCCAACCACACATCAGCTATGTGTTCAGGCACTTCTGAAATGTGAAATATGTGAAAGATTATATACAAAATGTGAAAGATATCCTCACTGTAGGTGTGCAGAGTACCCTTTGATATAGAGTCCAACCACACATCAGCTATGTGTTCAGGCACTTCTGTAATGTGAAATATGTGAAAGATTATATACAAAATGTGAAAGATATCCTCACTGTAGGTGTGCATAGTGCCCTTTGATATAGAGTCCAACCAGACATCAGCTATGTGTTCAGGCACCTCTGTAATGTGAAATATGTGAAAGATAAGATACAAAATGTGAAAGATCTCCTCACTGTAGGTGTGCATAGTGCCCTTTGATATAGCAGGGCTGTCAACTTGGGACCACCTAATATGAGTGACTTACAAATGTTGGACACCGAAGTCCAAATCTGAACACTTTTGTCCAAATTTTGAACACCTTTGGCCAACTTTTAAACACCTTTGGCCAAAGTTTGAGCACCTTTGCTAAACTTTTATCACCTCAAATTTTTCGCGCTCGCTACGCTCGCGATGTCGTCAACGGGGGGGGGGGGGGGGGGGGGGGGGAGGTACGAAAATTTCCAATGAACATGCGTGACATATACGGGATCCGCGTGACAAATCCGAACAAATTGCGTTCGTTTTTTTTCCGACGTTCGTATTTTTACCGTATCATAAACATATTTTGAAATTTTTTTTACAGAAACATATTTGCGTGACAATTACCAGGAAAAATGCGTATTTGCGTGACATTTTGTGTCACGCAAAAAAAACTGGCGTGACTTCAAATTCTTCAGCAAATGCGTGACAAATACGCAAATTGCGGGACAGTTGACAGGCCTGATATAGAGTCCAACCACACATCAGCTATGTGTTCAGACACCTCTGTAATGTGAAATATGTGAAAGATTAGTTACAAAATGTGAAAGATCTCCTCACTGTAGGTGTGCATAGTGCCCTTTGATATAGAGTCCAACCACACATCAGCTATGTGTTCAGACACCTCTGTAATGTGAAATATGTGAAAGATTAGTTACAAAATGTGAATCACTGTAGGTGTGCATAGTGCCCTTTGATATAGAGTCCAACCACACATCAGCTATGTATTCAGGCACCTCTGTAATGTGAAATATGTGAAAGATAAGATGCAAAATGTGAAAGATCTCCTCACTGTAGGTGTGCATAGTGCCATTTGATATAGAGTCCAACCACACATCAGCTATGTATTCAGGCACCTCTGTAATGTGAAATATGTGAAAGATAAGATGCAAAATGTGAATGATCTCCTCACAGTAGGTGTGCATAGTGCACTTTGATATAGAGTCCAACCACACATCAGCTATGTATTCAGGCACCTCTGTAATGTGAAATATGTGAAAGATAAGATACAAAATGTGAAAGATCTCCTCACTGTAGGTGTGCATAGTGCCATTTGATATAGAGTCCAACCACACATCAGCTATGTGTTCAGGCACTTCTGTAATGTGAAATATGTGAAAGATTAGAAACAAAATGTGAATGATCTCCTCACAGTAGGTGTGCATAGTGCCCTTTGATATAGAGTCCAACCACACATCAGCTATGTGTTCAGGCACTTCTGTAATGTGAAATATGTGAAAGATAAGATGCAAAATGTGAGTGATCTCCTCACAGTAGGTGTGCATAGTGCCCTTTGATATAGAGTCCAACCACACATCAGCTATGTGTTCAGGCACTTCTGCAATTTGAAATAGTATGCAAAAATGAGACACAAAATATGAATGACAATATGGATATGATAAAACAAAAAAGTAAATATTCTTAACAAATATAGAATTGATATGCAAAAAAAGTTTATCCTATTTGTAAATGAAACCTTATTTACACAAAAGTGTACCTTGTATATCTGTGAATGGTAGCTTGCCATGCTTTAAGGCAACAATCAATGCTGGGTTGTCCTGCATGGTGAATGGCTCTAACTGCTGTGGTAGAGTCATCAAGTACTGACCAATCTGAAGATGAAAAATCAATACACTTGTCATTAAAAAATAACCGAAATATTTTCACAATTTATACCCTAATATTCCAAATCAAAATCCCAACGAATTATTCAACGTGATTTAACAAAATAAATAAAATCAAAATAAACCCTTTAAAAAATATATTCAATATACCACAAAGTATGGACTTTACTCCATATGATTTAATGACATTATTTCTTAATGTTTTTTCCACTATATCATGTGAAAACATAAAATCATGCATTCTACTTCATGATTTTACCTTTGTAATATATTCTTGAGGAGAAAGACTAAAAGTAGGTAAGTCTGATGTAACGGCACCACCAGCACTTTGGGATGTCCATATCTCCATCGTTGACAACCCCACAAGGTCATGCTTCAAAGGAGCAAATGCTATGTCGAATGCTAACTTATGTACAAGCTCGCTAAGTTTGTAAAACTCTTGCTTTATCTCAGGTAAAACTGAAGGTGTGTCACCTAAAATGGAAAACAGAATATACATGGAGCTACAAATTAAATTAAATCTCAAAAGGAGTAGAATCTCTAAAATATTGATTTGATCTTCATAAAACTTGAGCATAAACAGGTCTATTGCTTTCTATGTGGTAAGCAGGTATAAAAGCTTTTAGTGTTCAATGGATACCACTTATATTTTACAACAACATTTTTAAATATCCATGCTATAGTGAGCAACTCTAATGGATGAACATTTCAGATTGTAAATATCTTTTAGATTCCATATTTTGATGTGTCATTGACTCCCATATCAGAACTTTGTTACAAGGCATTAACATGCAAAATGTCACAACCTGCCATTTGTTACAGATGCCAAACACCAACCACCAAATATCAAACACCAACTGCCGAACACCATCCACAAAATAGCTGGAGACTATAACAATATGTCACCACTTCTGGTGGTGACATGAAAATGTAAACACCTCTCAATGTGAACACTTTCATCAGGTGTTCCTGCAACTTAACAGTTCACCAATATATACACTCTTTGAAAATAGCTACACCTGCATCAAGCCTCAAGCCTATGTGATGCCTCTCCCAATTTCACTCTTAACATTTTTAGAAATAGATAGATATAGAGTTAAAATATGCCTATTACATATAAACATTTTACCTTCTTCCACCTGTGTGATAAGATGTTCCAAGGCCAACTGCTGGCTGGGGTCTTCTAGATAGAGACTTGTGAACTTGTGGAACGGTGTCTGATTAGTTGTGCCTCTGTAAAAATCAATCCTAATAGTTGAGATGATTATACAAACTTCTATATCACATTTTCAAAAATTTTCAGTTTTTCTTTTGCCCACATACCTATTCCCACAAAATTTGGACTTTATTTCATCAAAATAACATAATATTTCGGTTATATCAATAGATTAATAAGCAACAATTCTCTTTCAAATCTTTGGAATTGGGACATTTCTACATCTTAAATCTTCAACATATAATCGTTTTTAAGATTATTAAGGGAGGAAAACATTCTTATGTTTTTTTTAAAGTAGACTCCTTCCGACATTTTACATAGTCTTGCATATAACTGTATAAGTACAGAAAAATCTGTTTAAGAAGAACACCTTTGTTTCATTTGAGGTGTTCCACTAACAGAGGTTCATTTATATTAAGTCAGTTGGTCTTGGGACTCTGAAAAGTGTTCCACTCACAGAGGTGTTCCACTTCTAGAGGTGTTCCACTTTACAGGTTTCACTGTATGAAAGAGTGTTCAGATACAAGGTAAGCCTATTTATTCATGCTGAGCTTAGTGACAAAATGCCAATGGTTATTTAGCTTGTATCCAGGGCTATAAAATGTCTCATTTGTTTCCACTTGAAATGTATAATTACCTTTTGTCCAGTTCTTTGATAGTTGACGGAGAGAGTGGTACGCAATATTTTCCGGCAGACATTAATAGGTTGCTGATCACAGCGCCATCTAATTCATCTAAGTGCAGGATGAGGTCTCCTAAAATAACATGGTTGTGAAACATGTAAGGATTAAATATGGTCATGACAAATGCCACAATGCGTAAATATGGTCATGACAAATGCCACAATGCGTAAATATGGTCATGAAAAATGCCACAATGCGTAAATATGGTCATGAAAAATTATGCAATACGTAAATATGGTTATGAAAAATCTTGCAATGCTTAAATATAATCATGACAAGTTTACAATGGTCATGTTTCAAAACAAGACAACATACTGTAAAAGTCAAGTTCCTTCAAATAGAAGCTTCTAAGAGTTTCAGTTCAAGATAACTGAAATTTATATACTATCAGGTATAATAGAATTTCTACAGTACAAAATTTTTATGTTTTTATTTGCTAAATTCACTTACCACAAGTCTGTATCATTCGTAAAGAGTGTTGAAAAAATGACCAATCATCAGCCTCACTACGATTGTCAATCTTACACTTTTCTCGTAAATTAGTCAAAACTCTACGGAATTCCATCACATATGCAGAAAAGTATTTCTGAAATAATATATTAAAAATTGATCATTACTGCTAGAAAGCACACTGGGCAACATTTGAAAACATAAATAAAACACCTAAAAATAAAAGTTGAGTGTTGATACATGAAATAAATAAAATATACTTTTTGGGAAAGCAATTCAGTTTGACAAAGATGGATAAATTCTTGTCACATATCATTAAGAATGAAGAAACTAAAAATATTGAGTTACATGCATTTGGAAGATCTTGATTGTAAACATATGTATACTAGGAGTCCCAGGGAATACTGTCCTCCTGTCAATTTGTTGATATGGGGATCTTATGAAATCTTTTTTCTTTGCACCTTCATACTCTATAAGGCATTGTTAAACATTTGCATTTGTGTTCTTTCCAACTTAACCTCTGTTATAACATGTCTAATGATGACATACCTGCAATGCATCTAGTAAGCCAACATATCCGCATCCATTTGTTAACTGGAGACATCTTTCATTCGCCTGCAAAAAAAATATAATAAACAATTTCATTAAAATAGAACTTACTATCTCAAGAGACGTACAAAACAGTTTCATATGTCTGATTATCATTATTATTATTGCTTGATAATCATATTCATTCAACACATTATACTTAAAATACAGACTAATCATTTATCAATGTATTACATATATATTTATTCATAGTATTATCTATTGTTGCAATACATTCTGTAACACATGAATTGTATTCCACTTTATATTGTACATTTTATTGTAATTGTATTTTATTGCAATTGTATCATATTTTAATTGTATTTTATTGTAATTTTATTTTATGTGATATTGTATACTCAAATGTTGTGTAATATATTATTATAGTAAACAGTTAATGTTATAAATTGCATTGCATTGTATTGCATTGTATTGTATTGTATTGCATTGTATTGTATTGTATAGCATAGGATTTGATCCAATGTATTCAAATTAACTGTATTGTATTGTTTATCCCAATATTTTGTATATGTATTGTTTTGTATTATACTGTTTTAAATTGTTATAGAGTAATATATTTTATCATATTACATTGTAGTTGTATAATGTATATTGCATTGTATCATATCATATTGTACTATTCTGTTCTGAACAAAACTGAATAACAATGAAACACAATGGGAAAAAATAGAACATATCATAGATTAAAAATGAGTGTAGAACTGAACCTAGCCTATTGAGGGGAATATATAGGGACAAAGATAATAATGTACTTAGGATAAAATAATGCCCAATGGGTTGTTGCTGCACTTAACGTTCCTCCTTGAAGATTTCTGCTCTAAACTACCTCTGACTTATGCTCCTATGTCTTGAAGGCAGTTCTACAGAGAAATGAGAAAATTCTAAAATGGACAGAATACTGTCCTGGAATGTATAATAAACTTAGTGAAAGTAAACAAGTGCTGTGACAGCTAATGAAGATTTAAATGGCAATGTTCAGTCATATGCATGTATTTCATTTCTGATTATTTGAGTTATTGGTATCATATTCCTGGTCATTGTTTTTAATCCAAGAAGAATAACCTTTTGGCTTAGTGAAAATAAAGTGAAAATAAAATTCAAGAGTGCTACCTTAATGTGAAATTGTATTAGTGGTATCAAAATTCAAAAACAAGTTTATTTGCACTCTATAAAATTCCCTGCATGGGATTTGTTTTAAACATGAATAGCATGTCTGACTGCATGATCAAAAAACATTTTGGAAGATTCAAATAGATTCACGCCAGAGGGAAGGCTCTGGAACGCATTCCTAACTTCAGATAAGCGTTTCAATGTTTTCTTACTATTTCCGGCCATCATCTTCCATCAACAATAAGCTCTGGGTTTCTTGATCATAAAAAGCACTAAGCGCAATATCAGGAAAATAGAAAACTAGCCAAAAAGCTTATAAACATAATCTTGCATGGAACCCCTATTGCTCCTCTCCCTCGAGGTGACTCAACACAAGTTGAGAAAACAGATAGTGGTTGATGGCTGATGAACCAGGAATTAGTGACAAAGGGCAACATCAGAAAAACTTGAAATACCGTATTCTCTGTAATTAGCGCCCAGGGCGTTTAGAAAATTGAAAATACATTATTTAGACCATTCTAATAAGCGCCCATGTATGAAAGAAATCAGAAATCCCGAGGAATTTCATGTATGGCAATTTTTCTTGACAAGAATGCATTTTCTTCAACATATTTTTATAATAATATGACAAGTGCTGTTATTGGAGAGAATACGGTAAAGATCGCTTAGACAATATTGACAGTGGTTGAAGACCCGTCTATGTCTAATTTATTTCCGGCACGCCCACTTTGTCATTATCGCCGATTACCTTCAATATTTTTACTAGAGACTGCTGGATATCGATCTAAAGTTATACATTATTTCTAATTTGATGAGAGATCATCATTATTCGTGCAAAAGTCGTGTAAAAGTCGAGAAACATTAAAAAGAAACCAGAAAGTTCACGACCTTGACATGCGCAGAACATCTGCGCAGTAGCTTTTGAAATTTCTGAATGCCGATAAAGAACAATTCCTTCATTCATTATGGACTATTTGGAGACAATATTAGCATGGTATGGTGTGGGAAGCACCCATCGATAGATATGTATCGAGAGGATGCATAGAATTACAAAACGCGTCGTGTTTACAGCAGTTTTAGGGTAAGTACTCTATTATCGCCCGCTCCTGGATTTTGAGAAATATTTTTTTCCTGATATATTCTTCAATTCTTGTTGATTCCTCGATGTTTCTTGAACTTTGTGAAGCGGGGTGGGCGCTTATTAGAGAGTGGGCGGTAATTACAGAGAATACGGTAAGTCAAAACACTACAAACATAGTTTTGCATCAGTTTCCTATTTTTTCCAAAATACAAGTTGTGGACTGGATATGGTATTAATGGGATGAGGATAACTAAAAATATTTGTCATTAAATTTTCATGGCAATATATTGGTGATGATACAAACTCTAATATTTGTCTTAGTTCATGCTTCTGGCATGCTTTTTCCTCTATAATTTGAACAGGGCATTTCATTTTTTTGTATTTTCCCATATGCTGGCTACCGCTATATATGTATGTCTGTTTCCTTTCTTAATAATTCCATCCTTTTTCAGTCAATTTCTGGTTGTTCAAACCTCAGGACAATATAACCTTTTATCAACGGGCGGTGGACTGAATTCTACGGCCTAAGTGAAGATGCTTTATGGTGCGTTTGTATTTCTTCTCAAATGAACGGAAGTAGTGAATTTTAATCCTTTTACCTGCTGTTCGACACAGGTTAGTACAGGTGTATATCAGGTGATATTTCCACAAGATTTTTTCTGAGCTGTAACCCTTCCCAATAGTTTAATTTTGAGTGTTTAAAAGAGAGCTTCAACTACTCTCTTTGAGTTAGAGATAATCCTTTGATTTAGCCTTACCTAATGAGATTATGGTGAGTAAAAATCACACTACCTAATCAAAATATAAGTCATTGAATTTTATGCTTTCATAAATATCTGACATTTATTCCATCTGGGTCTATGCATTCGTTCAACTTCTTTCGAATGGAATTTTTAAAAAACTGAACCCCATTGACAAAAGATGGTTACAGGCCTGTAAGGTATGATGATTTCATGCATGATATGAGTATGTAATCTTAGATTTAAGATATGTAAAGGGAGGCATTTCTTTTGTAAGACATCCTTTCTTGTCTAAAGTACTCCATAGAAAGGCGATGAAGACTCTTTATAATTGTTTGTTTGTTTGATTGATTGATTGGCGTGATTGGCTCTCAGTTTAAGTGAGAAAAATCCTGTAAATCTCAGAATGTACGAGTCAACCTTGAAATTCCACTCTGTATCACAAATCAACACAGCATTACGATTCCCAAAATAATCTTTATTATCAGAAAATGAGTTTTACACATGGTATCCGATTGCTTCCATGCAGTTTTTATTTGGATACCATACGAGATAAATGTGAGACTCATCAATTGCTCGTTTCATAACATTTGAGGATCAAGTGAGTATACGCTAATTAGATTGACTTACATTGGAATTTCAAGCTTTCGACTATGTTTGGGTATCAAGATATCTCATAATTGGAAAGTGTTGTAAAAAACTGAAATGTAATTGATATCCGTGAAAAAATCAAATATCAAACTCAGGTTGAATTTTGGAAGGGGAGGGAACTCTCTAAAGATTGCATTCGGATACTAATCAGATTTCCTTTCTTATATAATGGATATGGGATTCCAAATGTCAAAGAGATTAAAAAGGTAATCAATCAGATGACACTTGGATTATTCTCATACTTTTTGTAAAAGTCGATGAAATCTTACAGGCCTCTTATATATGGCCATATCCTTGGCCATGGCATGCTCTACTTCAACCATCCTCTCAATCTTAGCACGCTCAGTCTTCACTTTGTTTAAAGACCGACGGGAGCCGAGTGAACGAAGATGCATCCTCTCACTTTATCCCATAATAGTAATAAATACAGTACAGTAAAACATGTCTTAGTGAACACCTCTCTCTAGTGAACACCTGTGTTTAGTGAACACCACTCCAACACACATTTTACATTAACATCTGTGTAAAATCCCCTCTCTGTAGTAGACACTTACATTACAGTGAACACTTCTTTGTGGCTCCATAGGTGTTAACTATTTACAGGTATACTGTAGATCAAAAAGCCTTGCCTCCTCCCCTTTAAACAAAAGGTTTTCTAAGGTCACAATAGTAAAATATGATCTGGTGGTGATTCTCACCTGTAGAAAGGTTAATTAGCCCAGGTGATAGCTTTGATCTTACTTCAGTGGTTACCTGTCTACATAATCCAAATGAGGTAATGTATCTAAATGCAAAATAGAGTGAAAATGGGTGGAATAGCCAAGGAATAAAGACATGCAGACATGGAATTCATACTCTGGGAGTTGCAGTGATGTTAAAAATGGATAATTCATTTGTGTTTTCGAGAGATGGATCAGAATAAGTACTAGAGAGGTAATATCTCATTAATGGGAATTGGGGAACTACCTGGAATCTACCTGTGCAAGAGTTCACATTAGCCAGCCACTATTTTGGGCTGCTATATAACAATTTGTATGAAAATTTTATGTTTGTCCATATAAACAATTCTTTGCTCATCCCTCTTAAATTCCCCCATGTCCTTTAAAAAGGCAATCTACAAGTATATATGGAGGGACTATTATATTCAAGAAAGGATAAATGATAGAGACTTATAAGAGAAGATTGTACATTTCTCATTTGGTTTCATCATTAAATGTCATGCCTTTTTCTTATATCCAACAGTTCTGACTTTATTTTCGGGGTTACAATCCTTTATTTATTGAGCATTTATACATACATTATAGAATATTTATACCTACGGTTGTATTCGCGAATGCAACTTTAGGCGGTCGTCTACCGGATTAACTTACTGTTTTATGACCTACCATATTTAAATATGAATGAAATAGTGGCAGGTACTATTC